AGTGTCTGGACGCTTGGCGTAGTACTCAATCTGAACGAAATTGTACCGGAGCATTGGAAAATGACAAGGACATCGAACGGCCCCCGTCGATCCATCTTGCAGATTGTTTTTATTTTGACGTTCATCTTCATCAAGGTTCACTCTGTAGCAGGTGAGAGTTGGTATTCTACTTTTGATAAAGATACCGGTACAAAGTATGGAACGGCTCGAAATTGAGTGTTCGTGTGATTATCTGGGATGTTTGTTAGTTTGGAATTTTTTTAAACAGAAGGCTTCGTTTTTTAAACTCTTCAGTAGAGCGTGTAAGTTGACATGAAAACCTGCGAGATTTGACGAGAATATCCGGGGACCTTGTATATGAGCTACAACATGTGAAGCGTCCTATTTTTGCATTTCCTTTAAGTCCTGACTGAGCATCCAATCGAGGCAACACAAGAGTATTTGGAAAGTAGCATTATATTGCACATTGATAAATATTATAAATAAAAATTGTTGACCTCAGCTTCCGTTCAATCGATCACGTGGATAATAATTGGGTACATGCTTACACGGAATTCTGTGTTTAGACTAGTCAGTGTTTGGTACAAAGACATTCGAAAATAAAATAGTCAGGTGGCTTAGATCAAATTTTCGTCAAGATCGTGACCGACTGGTCCAAAGCACCAAACTTGGCAGATAGATTCTTTTAGACCTAGAGAAGATATTTAGAAGGAGTGACACCTGAAATTCTTCTGGGAAGGGTGCCTAATTTGCATAAATCGTTAATCCCTGTCGTGTAATATATTTATTCCCATATTTGGGTATATTTTTATTTTTTTATTTTTTTGAAAAGTGTATTTTGGGGATTCTACTTACATATCTTTACTTAAATAACATTTTCCAAAGCATAGTAGTGACTGAATAATTATGAGGACATAGTAACGATCCAAAATGGCTACTATTATGCCCTAAAATTGCGCGCATTTACCCTGTCTCCAGATATCATCAATTAGTCTTGCCAAACATCAGCATTGATGAACTTCAAATTCACCAAGTAGCTTACTGGTACAGTTACCCTATTAAAACCTTTTGCAAAATCATGTGAACAATGATAACATTGTGATATTTAGCCCAGAAAACAAAAACTGGGAAAAAACGAGGTGTCCATAAATTAGGCTAACAAGTAGGTGAAGGGTTGCCTAACATGACACACTGGAACAAGTTCAAGGAAATTCCCAAAATTATTGTTGAGAAAACGTTTTGGCGTAGACAAAATTATTGTAAACAACAATAATCTCTTATTTAGGGGGATTTCGTTGAACTTGTTCAAGTCCCCACGTTACCCTTCCCGTACTAATTAGTACTAATAAATGCTATTATTATTACTAGCCCAATTTACGACACCACATTTTCTCCCCTTTTTTGGTCTTTTGGGCTAAACATCAAGATGTTATCAATTTTCACTTGATTTCCCACTTATTTTTGTTAGGGTAACTATGCCAGTACTGGTAACTTTGTGAATTTGAAGCTCATCAATACCCACGTTTGGCGAAACTAGTTGATGATATCTGAGGAAAAGGTAAATGCGCGTAACTTTAGGGTAAAATAGTAGCAATTTAGGTTCTTTACTATGTCCTCCTAATTATTCAGTCACTTATATGTTTTACAAAATGTTATTGAAGTAAGAATATGCAAGTAGAATCACCAAAATACACTTTTCAAAAACAAAAACAAAAATATATACCCAAATATGGGAATAAATATATTACACGGCATGGATTAACGATTTATGCAAATTAGGCACCCTTCCCAAAAGAATTTCAGGTGTCACCCCTTCTAAATATCTTCTCTAGGGCTATAAGAATCTATCTGCCAAGTTTGGTGCCTTGGACCAGTCGGTCACGATTCCGACAATATGCCACCTGACTAAAAGTGGTCTGGCGAGACTTTGACGCTCTGCTTGTATAAGATGATGACGTTACAGCTCTCTCGGTGCCAGATTCAGAAATAAGCACAGTTCATATAAGTGTACTTGTGTGTGTTTTTTTCTTCAAAACCTGATGCATGTTTAGTCCGACTGTTTTTCTTTTTTTGTTCATGATGATCCAAAGTATTTCTTTTGATGGGTCCATTTTTCTTGATAAGTCATCACGGAAGTAAAAGCATAACAAATGTATAAGCTCGCGGAAGTAAGAACAAACCGTTGGTTTGTTTGGTAGCTTTATCAATGAATGAAATAAGTTGTGTTTGACAAGCTTTACAAATAAGCAGAAGAGAAAGAGGGGGGAGGTCACAAAATCGTCTATTATTTTTTTTATTACCATAGGTCTCGGTGCCGGTGTCATTTGGAAATCCGACTCCTCTGAAAATCGGCCTCCTTTTCCCTGTTATTGGTTAACCCCTCTAGTCAATCTCCTAATTAGCATACTTGCATGCGCAATACTACCAAGGAGTCCACATTGCACGGAGTCGGATATTCACGCTAACACTGCTATTGGAAAATACCAGTATTAGTCAATATACAAAAGCAGTCGGTAATATGTTTTATATTAGGTTTTAAGGAAGTAAACTTGAAAAACTCTTTCTATGGTGGGGTTGACGCATTGGTATTGGTTTACGGAAACGATTAATTATTATCAAATGAGATAAACGCTAACATGAGCCGCTGTGTCTCGATTACTATATAGTGTTTCTGCGAAATAAAGGACTGTAAAGTGTGAAGAGAACTTGTGAAGCTACTTGAAGAGCTTCATTATTTGATATTGCCTAAGAGTGCGTGCATTGTATCATAGGACAGTCGTGCGGGTGAAGCATGATAAAATGTGATAATAATGTTTCGGTTTCTTTATGTACCGTGTAAAGTGCGAATCCCACGCTAAGTTGGAATTCCCACTTTGTCCGGCTTGGCAAAGTGGGAATTCCAATACTGCCCGGCAAAGTAGGGACGCATCCAAAACTTAATATTGACAGTTGTGCGAAGTTTTCAACGTACTTTGATGATTGTTACGCGAACATTAACAAAGAAGCAGACTGTGCCCGTTAAATTTTGATTTTACTTGCTATAGAGAAGGGGTATTAAAATTACTCATTGTTAATATTCCTACATTGCGCTGCTACTGAACCTGGGCAAAGTGGGAATTTTTGTCAACGTCGATGTAACTGCTATAGTCAAGGGGTGTTGAAATTACTATTCCTACTTGACGCTACTACTTAACCTGGGCAAAGAGGGAATTTTGTTAATTTGATGTACTTTTCTATAGGTAAGGGGTGTGGAAGTTGCCCATGGGTAATATTTCCACATTTATACTGACGAAACGGGGCAGAGTAGGAATATTACCAATGGGCACTTTGAACAGTCCTTATCTACAGCAAATTAAATCAAAATAGACCGCGATTCCCACTTTACCCAGGTTCTGTATAGTAAGGCAATGTGGGAATGTTACCAATGTTTCATATGGAAGATTGATCAAAATTCCCACTTTACTCAGGTTGAGTTGTAGCTCTATGTAGGAATAGGCCTAGTATACATAATGACAAAATTTCCACTTTGCCCTGGCATATTCCGAGTTTACCCAGATTCCCACATTGCGCGTGACATTTTCAAACTAAGTGTTTAATGATAAAAAAAGAAATGAAATAGGTTACGAATGATTGCTACAATAATGGAAGTAAACAGTCAGGGTGAAGTGATGGGTGTCTTCTGAAAACAGGAATAATTATTGGCTTTATTGATGGTAATTGTTCTGAAGTTGATTCTACATACACTGCAGAACACATGCACTGCATCTAAAAAGAAACGTTTTGTTGTAGATCACATGATGTTTGTCAATTTTGCAGCTACCATCATCATATTTATATGATACATGAATGTCATTTAGGGTGGCGACTGTTTTGGCGGATAATATGTATAAACCCTACCTTTGCTATTTTTGCCAACCATATGAGGGCAAACTACGGGTGGCCGTATAGGCGAAGGAAAATATTAATTTACGAAACACAATGCACGTTCTTTGTTACATTTACAATATAGATACACCTAACAGTCATAAGAATATGCCAGAAAATTAACGAGGATAATTTCGTCTTCAGTCCCCAGAGAATAACAATCTGTATCGATAACCATCGAAATTAATGCAAACGATGGCAACCCATTACAACTGACGTTCAGTGTGTACAAACCAATGAATGGTCTATAGGGAAGCTGACTTGTGGACTAATAAAAACATTGAGTCGAGCATGGAAGTTCGGGTCACGTGAGGGCCTCAACAACACCAGTTGACAAAGACACCGTGATGGTGTCACAAGATCCTGATATGAGTTCTTGTGATCAAAGTCCCCAAAAGGTATCTTTTATTTAATAATTAAAAACATTGTTTGCAACTATGGGAAGAATGACGTTTAACCTAGCCCCTAAACTAGTGGCGTTGCGTATGAAGAGTTTATTTCCAATTCGAGAAAAAATGAATATTTGCAGGATTATTAAACTTTAAAGAATAAAACAAATTTAACAGCTGTTTCTATATTTCTTTTTTTGCCTTACTGTATTTTCAATTTGTGTTTAAGTATATCACAACCGTCAAACTTATTTGTGGGCAGCCGGGAGAGAAAAGGATTCTAAAAGGGAACAAAATGGCGTTACTTTTGGATATAAAGTCTTCATATATTTTCTAATATTTGGGTTTTTTCCCCAAATTCTGCAATATCAACCAGCCTAATTCACATGCCCTCATATATCACGGTATGCAACATATTACAGACCTGCTACATGCACATTGTATGAAAGTAGAAGAAAATAATAATAATTAAAAAAATGACAAAACAGCGTCCTTAGAGTCCGGTAGACCCCCCCCCCCCCCCCATCCCCCATTCCTCCGTCCCCCTGTTATAAATTGCTCATGCTACTGCCCCCTTGTTCTATTGAAAGTTGCTAAGTAGGCCTAATAGCCGACTTCTAAATGTAGGATCCTACAATGAAATTGCTGTACCGGATTTTTTGTTCAGGTGATGCAGTGCGTCTGACAATGGTCGTCCCGTATTACGGTTCGTCAGCCCCATTGTTTGTGTGCTTCCGCAGCAGTCCTGATACCAGTGTGGGCTTGAGCTTCGGTAGACCCTTCCAGATGGGTCTCCCAGGGTCCTCCATCCAGACGTCGACATCCCTCCCTGACGGTACTACCGCTCTGAACATCAATGGACAAGTAGTCCAACGAATGCCGTTGGACGTTAAGTCTGCAGGCTTGTTTTATTGTGAGGGGTCTGATGGGCAAAACACAACACGGGTGTACAGCCTTATCCACAGCTATGCCAGTAAGTCGATCGACTATAAGGAGTGCAAATTGTTACCGTCAATGTAAAATTGTGTTGTATTTTTAACAAGTTCAAAAGCTGTTACTAGTGCATTCAAATTCAATCACCTCACATCGATGTCCAGTTAAAAAGCAAACGATGTCAAGATTAGAACACCATTTATATTCGCTGGTTCTCATTTCCGACCGACCCAATTTGGGGCTCCCGTCCCAAGTAACAAAAGCTCCTTTTTTTACCGCCGACTCTGTCTGCTATTGGAACCAAAAAGATAACAAAATTCAGGGGATCAGGTTCTGTGTTATTTGAAAAAGCTATATATTAACGATAAATACCATTCTTTACGCGATGTAAGGCGCATAGCAGACAGTGGAATCCCAGAAGATGCGAGGATGTTGCCTCTCACCATATATGCAGTATACCTTTACTGCATGTCGTGGCTGCCACTAACAGCCATGGTGCAGATATGATGAAAGCCAACTACATCTTGCCAAGTGTGGTTTTATTATTTCATTCCGAGGCATCAATTCACGACAAGCCCGTTCCAGTAAACAAACATAGAGGCAGTACGCAACGTGCATCATTTAATATTTAGCCCTCGATACTGATGCAAGATATTTTTTGGTAAGATTTTTTTTTACCGACAAACTCTACTTCAGAGGAATAAAAAATATGAGAACCACAGAAATAAAAAGAGACACCCTTAACTCATTTTGCTGGACATCGGTAATGCATTGGAGGACAGCCATTTTGTTTAATTGAAGGGTAGAACCATTCAGAATCAATAGTAGTAATCATTCTCAAGAGGTTATAGACAGGAGCAGAACTAAGAAAAACTGGTGGCAATGCTGAAGACCTTTGGAATTTACAGACGTATCAAGAAGACCCAAGAAATGATGCGAACATTTCGTTCCTTCGAAAACGTATTCATCAAAAACGAACATATCACCGCGGTCAATGATGATAAAACTCATTGCATGAGTGTTTTTATTTCTTTACGAATTCAAAACGTTTTCTTCAGTTACCTAATTTGATGGCTATTTCGGTTGCATTTTAACCCTAAAGGGGCCGGGGCGGAATCCCCCCCCCCCCTCAACTTTTCCGCGATAGCCCTAAAAGAGAAATTTCGCGACCCGAGCTGTTATGACTTCTTAGCCTCGATCCTTGCGCATCTTTTGATACCAAAAAAAAAAAATCGGACCACGGGTTGCTGCATAGCGGAAATTTTTCCGACGCTACGCCGTGAAAACTGAATTTTCCCATATACGTCATGTACACAGAGCACAATTACCCTTCGTACATATGAATAATTAATTAGCCATAATTCCAAAACACTTTTACCTAAATAGTCTTGGGTATGTTTATGATGAGTTGCTCTATGCATGTACCGAGTTTCAAGGTTTTTCGTCACTCTATGGCCGAGATCTGGGGGGGGGGGGCGGAATCCCCCCCCCGAAAGATGGTCAAAATAACCCGGCCTGATTAGGGTTAGAGTTATATACACTGCACACAAAATGAAGTCATTACTCAAGTGGTCTAAAAAATCTGTGTTGTTTATTTAAAATCCACACAGGACTGTTTTTACCATCTGATGGACCAGGAACAAAGACAATCAACAAAGGAGAAAGTGTGGTCCTGTCAGTAGCTACTGTATCTTACAACGGTAACAGCGGATCCTATCATCGGTGGGCTCGCATCAGGAATGGCGCCTCGTCATACCTGATGTCTTATGATGACCAGTCTTCGATTACAATAGCGCCTTCCGAGGCCCGCCACGGTGACCTGTATGCTGTAATAAAGCGTACCGTATCACTAAGCGATAACCATTTTGGTATGATAAGGCTTATCGTGAGAGGTAGGTACGACAGGAGTACAAAAAAGTATTTTCAAAATCTTGGTATGGTTTTATCATTCTAGACTCTGGAATTTGCTGTGCGGTACAATGAGACATTAAAGAAAGAGCAGCCGATTTCACGAAACTTTATTTGAAGGATGTTACTACTCCACCTCCGCTACATTTTGACTGCGTAAAGCGCTAAACATGCCACGTTGCGCAGCTTTTCAGCAACGACAAAGGCGTATTTTATAAAAGTTTTACAATGCCAAAAATATTACGTAACTTGATCGACCGATGTAGGCGTATTTCACAAAATAAAAATCGATGTAAAAGCGTCAAGGGGAATTGTTATCAGTTAAAAAGGGTGAACAAATGTTGTTTTCGCAAAGGCATTTCAAGGAGAAGTAATTGGCGAGCCTTCTTTTGAGCGAAGGATTATTTTACGGAGTATAAAGTCCCTTTTCTAAGTGTAAAACACAACCAAACACATTTTGAGGAATGCTTTATTCATCATTATCTCTGTATACAATGTATTGTCATTATCTCAGAATGTGTTGCTGGTAAATGGAATCCTCCTGCCTGTGACGGCGTGTGTGATCTGTGCTACAACGGAGGAGTGTGTGATGATAAGACAGGAGATTGCATCTGCCCACCAGGATTCATGGGACCAAACTGTCTAACTAGTAAGCTGACTGCATTGTGAGACATTTGGATCTATATTGAACATCAGTATATACCTCATAAGCAAGTGTCAAATTCTCCCTGATCCCTTTACAATCACGTATCCACCATTAAAATATGTTTATCACTAAGCGCGCTTGCAAGGATAAACGAGCTACACGTGCGCTTTTACTAAATAATATGAAAACAAAAGTTACACGAAAAGATGGCGGCATACGCACAGCAACATTATTCGCCAAGATAACCCATTATAACTGATGTGTAAGTCGATGAAATTCTTTAAAAGGAAAATGATTTCGGGAAGAATGCAAAATCAAACATAGGGTAACTCAAGACTTGGCCTGATGATATCTACATATTTTCTTTTCAGGTTGTCCATCTAATTCCTTCGGATGGAATTGCGAATTTAGGTGCGGATCTTCCTACCTTATCAGCAATTGCCAACAGGCTCGGTTTGGTTTACCAGACCCCTATGGAATTAGCTGTATGACAGGACGCTCAGGAAGATCCTGTTCCTCGTGTAAGGACGTTTCAGTTGGCTTAAAATACTAAAACGACACCTGCGACGCAGGGTCACCGTACAAACTTACCCTACCGTAGTGAATCAAGCATACTAATCGACCTGAACAATGAATGAAATAAATACAATCAAATTGAAATACCTGTTACTTTGCTATCCAAACTAATGTGTGAAACAACGTTTAAAACAGTATGAAAATTAATGTTTATCAAAATGTCTTCCTAATTTAATTTAGTGGAAATATCTACATTTAGGGGGGAAAACATAATTGTGTCGCCAAGCATGCGTTTTTATGAGTGAGGTGGCAAACATCTTATTACAGATTAGAGTCTGCTCAAAAACTTTCCGCAATACAAAGTCAACGACACGAGACACTTCTTGTCCATGATCGAGCAATGAACTTTAGGCTGTAGCATAATAATTCTGTTTCACACTATGAAGACATGAATTACCATTAACTGTGAGTTGATCGTGTTCTCATCATTTCTTTCCTATCAGATTGTGGCGCACTAAGGTTTGGTGCTGGGTGCACCCAGACATGTCACTGTGCGCTAGAGTACCGAGGATGCAGCACATATACTGGCATGTGTAATTACGGTGGCTGTGCCGCAGGTTGGACGGGAACTAATTGCCAAGGTTAGTTTAACAATCTCCTTATTACTGGCAGTTACTGGATCATAGCAGTCCTTATTGTTCCTTTAGAGGACCCTCAAATTCCTATCATCAAATAAAAAAAAACTGACCAAATGCGGGAACATTCTTATTATGCAGAGTTTTTACATTTGTATTAAAAAAATTTTTTTGCCACGTCGACTCGCCACAGACGACGTTATTACCCATGTACACAAAAATATTCGAAAACTGGCTTCGAATGCCAGGTCGTTGTTTTGGTGCCAGCCAATATTATACCAGTTGTCGTATAAATTCCCTGCCCACATTGCAAAACAAAATGTCGAAATTGCCAAATGTCTTTCGCGTCATTTTAACAACAACATTTTCTCTACAAGTGACTCTAATCCTTTAAACCCAGGGGTTTTTTTTTCATTGAACTTCAAAGGTTTATCTTCAGTTGTACCTATGAATTACTTTCATTCCAATAATGTTTCACTGCCTAAAATGAACAGAAAGTGAACTCTTTTTTTCATATTTTGTTGTCAATAGCTTATCTGCTATATAATTGAAATGATCTGTTATTGATGTTTCTGTTTTATGTTCAGTTCCAGACGTATGTCCTGTTGGTTATTATGGTCTTAACTGTGTGAGTAAGTGTCGATGTAGCACCAATGCAGCATGCGACAGGCACACCGGATACTGCAGTGTAGGGTGCGCCCCAGGATTTACTTGTGTGTCAAGTGAGTGAAAAAAAACAACAACCAATCAGCATGATAGAGTAGTGTGCTTAACCATTGTCTTTTTGTGTTATCAAGTAATAGAGCGCTGTATACCCAATTCTGTCAAAGAACCTGCCGAGGTTAGTTGGATTCGAGTCCCGCCTGTCTTAACTTATGATTTTTGTTTTGTGTAGTCTCTCGAATACCACAAAGTTTAGAGTACGGAGTATACAGGCAAAACCCAATGATTCAAACCTGTTTCAACCTATATTTTTTAACCCTTGTTCAGTACAATGTGCATCTGGATATTTTAGTGACGACTGCAGCAGGTCATGCCATTGTCTGAATGATGCTGAGTGTGATGGATTGACTGGTTATTGTGGTGGTTCCGACGGAGTGTGCGCCTCCGGCTTCCAGAAAGATGAAAACAACTACTGCTTCAGTAAGAGAAATAATGAATACTTTTTCTGATACATGTATTCGGGAAATTCACCGGTTCCAGTCCATGCCAAAGTATACATCTCACACAAAAAACATTTTGTTGTATGACACGACTTCAACAATCCCCCCCCCCCCCCGGATCTGCGCCTGAATAGTTTCATAGAAAATATTAATTCCTCTCATTTAGGGGCTCCTGTGTTAAGTCAGCCTCCTACTGTAACAGTGACAACATCAACAGCTTCAGTTAGCTGGGAGGCATGGGGTTCAAACTCCGCCGATACCGGTGATGGACCAGTTGCTGCATACAGGGTCTACTACAAATGGTCCAGTTCCTGGATCCTTGCCAGTGTTGTGCCAGTGACAAACGCGCCTCAGGTGGCGTACAGCTTCACGATTCAGTCACTGCAGCCAGGAAGGATGTACTGGTTTAGCGTGGCTGCAGTCCGACCAGGCCAAGGGGGCGAAGGGCCCAAGAGTCCCTCGATATCCAGCCAGACGCTACCGCTGCCTCCTCCATCAACCACTACCCATCAAACGACCACCAGTGTGCCTTCGCCTACCGTAGACAGATTAACGCCTACCTCATCAACCCATTCGGCAGGTGATCTCTTAAATGTGATTTCAAGGCTTCAGTTGCGAGTACTACTTAGGGTTCGTTTACATACACAAACAGAATCATATTCTTACTTCTCAGAGAACGTTACTTTTGGTTTGTTCGCAAACACATTACTAATAAAGCGTTTGTCATTGCAAAGTGTAACTTTCTTTTTCATTGGCAGAGGATGAGCCGACAAACAATGCGCAGCTTTCCCAGGTAGGATACTACAATGGTATTATTGTGGTCGTGTGTGTGCTTGTTGTGGTCATTATCATCTTGGTTGCCTTGGACTACTGGAGATTTCGAAATTTGAACAGAAATCTACACATCAAGACTACCCACGCTGCACTAGAAATGGTAATCCTTCTTGTAATTTGGCTTTTGGTATTAACTTATAGTGTATGTATGTCAGGGTTCATTAGCCGAGAATGTTCGATGTAGAATTCACTCGTGGTAGTGTTTGCTTTTAACAGAGCCGGTATGCCCAAGAACAACCACAAGCATGTTACTTCAACTCCGCGTTCGACAATAAGGAGTTCGGCGCCGAACACGTGTCTCTGAGTTCTCGCAACAGTTTGGCGTCTGCCTGCACCTACGAGCCAGTCGGTCTGCCGCCTTGGACGAAGCCATGGGTCGTACCGTGGAGCAACCTCCGAATCCGAATTAAGGTGCTTGGCAACGGTCGATTTGGGAAAGTGCGACTCTGTGAAGTAAACAGAGATGCCACTACTTCAAAGGCTGCCCTCAAACAACTTGACTGTAAGTTAAATAAAAAAAATAACGTCGAATAGGCCTACAATTGAGTTTCTCACACCATGAAGAAGTAGATTTGAATAAAGGATAATGTCAATGGACGGTAAGCAAGGGAAATGAGTTTGCCCGAAGAAGGTTGACTTTTCATCTTCGGTCCAAATTCGTTAAATAAAAATATATGGAAGTTGATTGAGCTTATTTCTGTTTTTCACTAAAGTAAATGCAACTTCAGCTGATGAGCGACAGCTCTTCATGGACCAATACCAAACATTGGCACGTATTCGGCGCCATCCTAACGTCATGAGCATGTTAGCAGTTTGCCAGCATGAAGGTGGGTGGAACCACATGCACATACACCTGCTCGAGCACGTCTTGATGTTATTGAGTTTTCCTAATACCATCATAGTATCTAAGGAACTCCATTGTATGTTAAGCTCGGTGGTATAATGAGAACTTGAACGTATAAGAAACTTGATGGTATCAGGAACTTGGTAGTATTAGGAACTTGGTAGTTTTGAGAACTTGGTAGTATTAGGAACTTGATGTTATTAGTTTGCTTGGTTTAGACATTTTTCATTAATCTTGCTGGATGAACACATATCCAGCCTTGCAAAAGAAACCTCTCAACTGTCTGTATCTAGTGCAGCAAATACCTTCAACCGTCTGTCATAAGGCAAATGCTTGGTCATGTTCATACGAAAGAAGAACCTAAACTTGTTATGGAAAGTTGCAGTTATGCTTGTTATGGAAAAACTGAGCCGGAGCTCAAGCGCAATCTCTTTCCTCGATCTTGATTTCGATTTTCTGGATTAATATAATACTTGTTCAATAGACTAAGACTTAAATTATTACAAAACTAATACCAACAGATGTTTTCTACGTGGCCTTGGAGTACCTTCCCAACGGGGACCTGTTGTCCCATCTGAAAGGAATCCATTCCAAAAACCAGTCGTTACCGGTGGACAAAATGGTGCAGTTCGCACTTGATATCGCCAAGGGGATGGAACACGTTGCCGATGCAGGGGTAAATATTGGCTTGGGAATTGGAGTGATATAATTGTAGTTAAACTGCGAAAAGCAAAGCGGAAATGTTGGGGCCAAAAACATGAACACTTCAAAACTGAAGATGTGTGTTCATTTTGGTAGGTAGATATAATATGGGGTCTGCTTTTCTCATATAATTGGGAGTCTGCTTTTGTCATATTAGGCAAACCGCATACTCTTATGAATACGATTGAAAGGGGAATTTATATTTTATTGTTTGACTGTAAAACTCGCGTAAATTTAAAGCAAATTGACCATTTATATCGAATACACAGTGACAAACACATATATCTTTGGCTGTCGATTATTTATAGACGTACCTATTTTTTGGCAAAACAGGTGATTCATCGCAATCTGGCGGCAAAGAACATTTTTCTTGGTGCCAATCTGGTTGCCAAGGTTACTGGGTTCAGCCTATCGCGTAAGAGAGATGTGTACGTGGAGGTTTCTGAGGTAAATGTTATTATCTGTCGTTCGTAAGTGATAGTAAACGAATGAGATCCTTTGATATTTATTAGAGGAATAAATGTGTGTTCGAAAGGTATTATAACACTTTGTTTATGACCAGTGGGAGTCTGGATGGGTGATAATTACCCGAGGCGAAGCTGAGGGTAATTATCACCCAGCCAGACTCCCACCGGTCTTAAACAGAGTGTTCAATACCGCCGGACACATATTTATTCCCATTCATAAATACCTTTTCGGTCAAAAAAAAAATCTGTTCGGTCCAAAAATCAAAACAAGTCAAAAACTAGACGTTGCCAACCATTTTGTTCAACAATTTTACTTCATGATTTACGAAACACCCTTCTGGTTTTGATATGGAATGCCCCTCCACAACTCGTTACCTTAAAAGGACATTGGCGTGCGCGTCGGGCGTACTGTGTGCAATGTCGCGCAAAACACAGCTGGGCTGTGAATTTCGGACCATGAAATACTGGTATGTGAGGAATGTGAACGTTCAACCAATGAAACGTTAAAAGGCACAGGATTTTATGGGAGTCCAAATTTCATGTGACACTAGAAAGGTGTTTAAGACCAGCTAGAAGTTGTCATCCGATTAAGACTGGGCACGTGGCGGGCTCTCGATAGGAATGCGTAAACTTTCATAGTTATTTTTATGAGTAACATTTAAAAACCTTGTGTTAATACGCAGTCACTACTTGCTAAGCAAGTTACTATAGGAACGTTTATAAGAAATTCAGTGTAAAATTACAAACATTAACATGCTTTTGGTCTTTTTAATATCTCAGAACAAACCCCGATCTCCCCGTTGGATGGCCCTTGAATCTTTGACCATCGACAGGTACACCACCAAGAGTGACGTGTAAGTAGGCCTAGCCTATATATTCACGATGTGAAGATTCCATTTTCTTTTTACTTTAGTAAAGACGGTTGATCTTTGTTCTCTCACCAGGTGGTCCTTTGGGGTTCTCATGTGGGAAATGACAACACTTGGTATGTATTATCAGTTTATGGCTGTGCTTACTTATTTCTTGTGGTCGGGAAAGAAATTTTGTAAATTGTAACAACGTTGTTAAAAGAGAAAAGTATCAAACGTCATGTCTTGCATAGTATATTCTTGTTGTCGAATTATCGGTTGTAAAAAAGTCTACATTTTAAATGTTCTCTCCACTGTAATTTCTCAGTTCTGTTTAGGGTAATTCAAGAACCATTTAACTGAGTTAACCAGCAACAAAAAATGAAGGGTCTTATAAAGTGGCGACGTCGGACTAGAATGATCCGAGAACAGGCGGAGACGGTATGAGTTTCGTAACTTAAATGGGGAAATCCATATAGTCATAAAGTCTAAATCTCCAAGATGAATCATTAATACATATACAATAGGAAGATTTATTCGTTCTTTTTGTGTTCTGTTCCAATTTAGGAAAAACTCCGTATGCGGGTTTCAGAACTGACAACATTGTACCCAGATTGAAAGGTGGATATCGTTTGCCGAGACCAAGCAACTGTGAAAAAGAAATGTGAGGCCGTTTGCTATAGAATTATGATTTCATTTCTCTGTTTATTTTTTGTTTGTTTTTTTGTCGGGACATGTGATGACGTCATCATGACGTTACTCTGCTTTTCATCTGAAACACATCCCTGTCTGAAGTTTCAAACTCAAACGGAATTGTAATTCGGAAAATATAGGGCTTTGAAAAATGCCCCTTAAATGTGACGTCACGTGACACCCGATGACGTCATCGCGGCGAAAATCTTAGCGAGCCATCTTCAGGTGTTGGTCTTAGTATCTGCCAAGTCTTAAGTCAATTACAAAAGTGCCAAAGTGTATGGGAAAAAGAAAAATCGTGTGAAAAGTGTTTGAAAAACAGGAGCCGTTTCGACTGACTTGCCGAAACAGCTAATCACACCTAGTCCGTGATGCAGGAATTGTTACATCACATTCATATCTTCTATCCATATCTCCTTTTAAAATGTGTGTTCCCTCTTCCAGCTATGAAGTGATGCTACAATGCTGGCAGGAGGATCCCAAGACACGGCCTACCTTCAAGCAACTCGTGAAAGTGATGGCAGACAGGCACACTGACAGCGTAGGTGTCCTCGCTTTGAAATATTGAAACATGAAACAACTTGAGGCGAAGAAAAGAATCTGAAATTGGTTTGCTTTATGTCACTCATGTGTGCGAGCGTTAATCTCGCCTAATCATACTTTCACATGATATGAAGCAAAAAGAAGATGCTTAAACATTGAGCTCCTCATTTATGAGGGGGACGAATACTGGAGGAATAAGGTTACAATGTGTGAATTATTTTAAATGTTTGTATTGTTTGTTTTTTTCTTCTCAGCCGTACATGGATATGACGACCTCAGACGCTTGAAATGGATTGCATGAAAGCTTCGGTAACCTTAGTGTAATTATTACAATTCTGAATGTAGCTGCAAAACTGACGCACATCGTTAGTGATCTAGAAAACACAAAGGTTGGCATATCTCTTGTGTGGTTGTGAATAGTGTTGTACTTGTAGGCAACATATACAATTGAGGAGCAGAGTGTTCAGTGTAGCATGGTTGTATCTGTATCATTCAGAATATAATTGTGATTTATGAATTCGTTAAAACCCTTCAATGAACCTTAGGTCTTCAAATATATCCCTGTTGGTAGTGCCTGAACTGAATAAAACACTGGGACCGTTCCTTTTCTCATTCTAAAACCTATGCTATGGAACAAACTTCGTCAAAATATCTGTGATATTTGTCCTTCCCAAGACATTTATTGTGCTCTGAAGACCCACCGTTTCAAGTAACATGTAGCTCTTTCATTTGATTCATATGTTGATGCATTGCTGTATCTCCTTCGTGTAATTTTTATTTGTGTGTATCTTATTGTTCTGTTTGGTTTTATTGTGTAAGTTAAATGTCCCCCACCCCCAACCCTTATGGTCCCTACGCTGTGTTGGGCGACAAGACGATGCGCACTAAGTGTTTTGCCGTCTGGAATTTTATTGTACCATGATCACCGATATTCTATAAAGAAGAGCTAAAGTACTTGGGTTATGTGAGACACATATACCCAGAGACAAAGACATGATCTCCAAGAGTGTAGACAAGAAGTAGTATTATTATTTTGGAACTAATGCAAACATTTATAATATGTTTTTGCACAGATTTATTAAACGCTGTAGCCTAAACGGTAATCGTAAATAATCGTAATTATTTGCGTTTACAAAAAGTAAAGCCTATTTTAGTTCTATGATTACAGCATGTTTTCACTTGATAAACTTAAAATTCATGATTTCTATTATTTTGGAAGTACGGCAATATGAATGACATTATTGTTTCAGTAACATGTTTCAGTAGATTCATGATTGCCAATACCACCTCAATGGCGATTGTGCATGGTTCAGTCGTACAGAAATAAGTATCATTGGAAGTATTTGCAAAAAACAAATTCCGGAATTTCCAGACCAACAAATTGTGCACGTACTCGTTCTCATGGGTGTCAGCAAACTCTACATTGTAATGCGCTGCCGGTATGATGAATTTGAACATCCAAGGCACTAAAACTAACCATGTCAAATCATTGCATCTTTTACTAATGCATTCGGAATATTTTGTATGTGAAGATCATGAGGCATTACGTCATGTGCACAATAAAAATTATTATTTAGAAAAAAAACTTGTTTATTTGTTGTTCTTAGCTATTTCCGTTTCCGTGTATAGACGATTCTAAAATGTGCCCTCAACCTAGAAATACTTTTTAGCGCGGTTAATTTGCGTTCCAAGCGCTTTGTCTGTGACCTTCACCTGTTATTATTACGTACGAAAGTAGTAGAAAACATCCGGTATTTTTCTTTTGGAAGGGTGAACAGACTACAAAGGCAGTACCACGCGTCATTGAGTACCACGTCACTCCTTAGCCAGATATCCTGGCAGCAAAAAGTACAGGCCAATGACTCACAGTGGTTTCAGAAAATGTAAAAAGTGATTTTTGTACAGAATTCGTCTCTCACAATTCGCGTATCATCGCAAGAGAGTACACTCGTTTCGTGTCACTTTTGAAAACCTTGTGATCAAGAGTACTACAGCAGATCAGAGATCGTCCACTACCTGTTTCATCATAACTTCCGGGGCAACCTTATCAGATATAGTGGTGTCATGACGGAGGTTTCAATTACTCTCCTTACACTGGTCGTTTGGGCCAAGTTCGTAGTGGTAACGGGTAAGTCTTAGAATCTTGAAATTCTTTTTTTCCATTAAATAAGCCGAAAAGGACCCGAATTTTAGGCGATGTCTTTTTTTTATCCTAAATGATTGGTTGAAAGTATCGATGTTGATACAGAAATCACAAATAAGAAGTGGTGTCTAATTCAAACAAAACTGTTCTGTCAAAATCAGACTTTTCTGGGCATGAAGTCAAAAATGAGATTTTTGCATATTGTTAAAATATGTTCTTTTTTCTTTTAATAAATGATTAAAATTAATTTAATTTTTGAAACCAGTCATTCCTGGGCAGAGTTATGCTATTTTGAAGTTCATTGTGTTGAAAAGTAGAAAACGGAAACAATAGCCACGAACGTCACAAAACAGTAATTTCTTAAACTGATGTATCTTAACAAATCATCAAAAATACTATATTTAGAGTTCAAATTAGGGTTTCAAAACAAACTTTTATATTATATTTTAGACATTCAGGATTACAAATATGCAAAAATTAGGAGATCGAAAAAAATCATTAGATATAATTGCATAAATTTGCCGTTCGCCTGTTTTTTAATAAAAACATCATTCAGTAAAGGAGATTGACTGTATTGTTTTTTTTTCTGCAGACATACATACGGATGTTTTCAAGATCAGAGCAGCACTTATACGGGAATTGTATTAGGGCTAATCCTCTGCGCAAGAATACAAATCGATTACAAAGTACACAGAGTGATCCGGATCTGGGTCTGGGAGATAGGGGTGCATACCTGCAAATAAACTCCCATAGACACTAGTGCTAAATGCCCGTACTTCAAAATTCTTTTAAAAATACTCAAAACTCTCACAGGTATTCAAGCTGCACAGAAAAATGATGATCAATGTGTCATCTTTCATTTTCTTTTCAATTTATGGTGGTTGACCATTGACTTTTCGAGATATTTTCACGCAAAGAAGACGACCCCTATTTTCCCCAAAGCGGAAAAGTAGCCATCTTGAAAAACGATCCCTCCACAACATGGCAAAATAGCGCCACTTTCGAGCCCAATAGCATCCAAAATGCTCAGAATTGGAAGGCCCAAATCCGGGCCAGAGGTTCACTACCATATCTCTTCAATTCCCCAATTTTACGGCGCTCAGAACTCTCTAATATAGAATATTTTGAGGGTATAACTTTTATTCATGAGCTTGGCGGATCGATTTACCGGTGTGTACCCATAGGGCACGTGGAAAACTTTGACCCCATTTGTGCGCACAAAGATTTGACCTGTGTGTTCAGTTCAACACGACCCCAAGCACTGACGTTGTGTATGTGGCAACCAGTTCATGGACTCAACTATTCACATAATAGGGGATCGGTAAGGACGTGTACTTGTTGTGACCGACTTTTTTCCCCATTAATTTAATTGATATAGCCCTAGTACTATTAGAAGTTAATCAACTGTTATATGATATGTGATGCGTGCACTGACAATATATGACGGAGAATCGTTCAGCCTTGGCGGAGGTTTGCACTCAGAGAGCTCAAATATTTTGCAAATAAAACAACCGGCATTGGGGGTTTATATGTTAATATTATTGTCATAATTATTATAATCATTTGACCAATGTTCCGCCAGTACAGTAGAATCTGCGTTAAGTGTAGGCGTGATTATCCACTTTACAGTCCTATGGCAATGATAATGTAGGTTTTCCAACACATTTTAAAAACATGGAGAAGACTGGAACGCGCAAATGCTACAATGAATTTAGTCGTAAAGTTTAATCCGTTTATGAAATAGGTAGGCACAATTTCTTGTATGGGTAATGACTGATCTACCCCTTTTTACTATGGCTGCCACGCCCCTAAAAGGGTGTGTATGCATGCGATGGCTCTACTTTTGGATTTTTTTCTCATGATTATAAATGTCTTTGTGAAGTTTTATGCGTTTACGAAATGCGGGCATAATTTTTTTTAATGGTGAGCATAATGAGTCCCCCCTTTTTTAAATGACTGTCACGCCCCTAAAAGGGTAAATTTGCAATGGCTCTACATAGATCATTTTCTCTCATAAGTTTAAACATCTGTGCAAAGTTTCCCGTTTTATGAAAAAGTTCACATTTGTTTCCTTTAACTGCAGCTGTAGTAGAAACCTACTTCACTCGAGGTAATTTGACCCCGACTATTTTAAGACAGTAGATTGTATGTAAAAAAAAATTGTATTCAGTTTGCTGCGGCGGGAAGTGAATTAGATTGATCACTGTACCGGTTTATGATCAGGTGTGGAGAGGGGCAGGGGTCTGTGGCCGCACGTACCCCCGACCCCACCACTACCCCCACCCACACCGACCCCGCCTCAAAGGAATTCAACATGTCTAGATAAACAAAACAGAGAACGAGTGACATGATTGTTTTGAAATCGATGTTCTTTTCTTTAATGTCACATATCGACACTTTAAAACGATCAACAATATAAAAGAAATTCTCATCTTCTTTCACGCCCCGCCCCCCCCCCCGCCTCTGCACTCTGCTTTTCCCTATTCCCCTCCCCCCACCCGACTGATAATCAAAACGCAAAGTGTTCTAAATATAGGCAAGGGCAGATCCAGAACATAATTTGTTGGGGGGGCACAACATTGTTTGGATTCTACATACTCTGTAATGCCATCTAAGACAATTTCTGACCACTTTAACCAATTTCTTGAGGAAAAGATGGTGGTGTACGCAGTGCCGGCCTTTATTGAGACGTTACTTAATAAAATGGGTCATTGGAGGGAAGGTAACAATGGCCCCTGTTACCTCCCCCCCCCCCCCCCCATTCGCCCTTGAATCTAGGGAAAGTTTTCGCAAGAAAATATTACTGATTTACAAAAACGGATCAATATTCCACAAACAGACTTTAATTGTTGCTGTATTTCGAGAAATACCTTCACACATTCAAGCTTCTTTGATTTTGGGTTTGTGTGGGGGCAATTATACATTATTTTCTATTTACCTTTAAAATCATTTGGTTTTGAAGAGCTTCAATTTCCGAATTCATTCTAATTCATATGTTTCTATAAATGTAAGCACAATATTGTTGACCCTGGTTTACACCTTACACTCTCAACACTTGGAATTAACCCCCTCCCCTCCAATAGTACTACAATTAGCAAACGTCAACTGATGAAAAAAATTGACCTGCCTTTACAATTCTTACAACTAACAGACAAAACTTGATTAAGTGAGGATGTTCAATGTGTTTGTTTCGATTCATCACACATTTAACATTACAAATTGTCAGTATTTGCAACAATCCTCCGATGATGGAGGTGTTCATAGTATCCCATGCTGTACCTCACACACGCCTGTACATCATCCGGTAAACTGGCGAGTATAGGGACGGGGGTGGGCGCACCAAATCCCTCACTGGCGAATACGTGACTGTAGGCGGCAGTGTGGGCCAACAAGATCTTCGTGCAAAGCCATTGATCGACGACGTCTTCTCCCGCTTCCCAAGACAGCAGCTTGTCGGAGTACGGTATTCCCATCTTGGAGCAGTAGGTCGACAAGATCCCCGCCGGGTCCTGCAGCAGATCGTCGGCATCCAGTATGACCGGCGAGGGGTCGATGTTCTCCCGGACGTACTCGAACAAATCGTAGAGCTCCTTGTAACCGCAGCCGGGAGGAAACAGAATGGGAGGCAGGCTTCTCATGTCAGTGAAATTGCCCCAGTAATCCAACAGAAGTTTCCTGTAAGACGGAAACAACTTGTGCGGGTGTCGAATAATGAAACTGTACTTGAAGCCCCGAGGAAGCATGTCGTACCGGCCATGCAGATACTGGGCCTGGTCTTTGCAGAACAAGACCTTCTTGTCAGGGTAGGGTGCTTCTAAGATGTCACGGATGGATTCAAAAGACATCACGCTTGAATCTGACCCCGAGGAACCCATCTGACTTTTCTTGTAGTCTCTCTGAATTAGTTGATTCATTTTACTCCCCATCGGATCTTGTGGACCACCGACAGGTAGCTTGGCGTCAGGTCCGTAGTAGTGAGCATCTGCGTAGAGCTGGGCTGCTATCTGGATCCCATCGACGTAACTGAAACACTTGATGAAAGCCGTGCTCATCGATCGAGGGATGCCCCACAGAAATACTCGGTTCAGTTCGTCAGCCATCTTTCAGATTAAATTATAGATGAGTTTCTGAAATATGAAATAAACAAAGAACGTACGCTAACCATCCGAATGAGAATAGTACTGATCGAATGCTGATTTGTGTACCGTGCATTATAATAGGTGCAATGCAGTTTTAAACCAGTTAAACTCTGCCTGTTAGTTGCGTCCCTATCTGGTAATTTATGGGCAGTGCCTGCAGGCGGCATTACCAAAAGCCGGGTCACGCAGACACGTACTATACGTGTTATTAATTCATGCACATGACCTGGGCAGTCGATCGTGCTGATTGCACACAAAGCGGACTTTGTATTATGAACAGAACAAACCGATCGTATTTAATCAAATAAAAAAATGACTGTGAACATGGCGGACATTATCTCTGAATAAAAACCTCCATAAAATGATCCCAATTACTTAACAGATCCATGGCGTAAATAATCACCAAACACATTTAGCTCATTCTTTTGAAGTTTTGATGTCAATGAGACCTATAGCAAGTCAGGCAGAGTTCGGCAAGGCGATCATATTAATAACATAGCTTGAATTTTTCACATCAAGTTTGGGCGGTTCCAATCTTTCTGGAGCCAGTTTCGGTTCTCAAAAAAGAACCGGTTCTGAGTCGGAACCGGCTCCCGAAAATTCAATGAAAAACATAAGCTTGTGAAATTACATGTAAAGAATAACGGTTTCACCTTGTGAGGTCCGTGTTCCGTGGATTTCGATGTGGAGTACATGAATATTCCACTACGTAATTGGTTTCAAATCATGAATTTTTTACTGTTAAGCTATTTTTGAAAGCAAGCTTAGCGTTTATTACTTTATTATCTGTTCCTTGCCTACGATTTTATTTACCGCGACGACCGCCATGCCGCCGAGAATAGAATGATTCACTTCACAAGTCAGGTACACGTACACTGGTACCCTGCTTTAATTCAGTGTACATTGCACAACTACATGTGCTGTAGTGTGGAACCAGTCGAGTGCTGGAATCGGCTCTGATGGACCCGGGTAAAAAATACCCAGCTCCGGACTGAACGAGTCATGGATCGGACGGTCCGGACTCCGGATCTCACGGGTTTAAGGTGCATGAACAATGAACATGAGTATTATTATCTTGCAGCGACATTTCATTTTTACATGTGCAAAAGGCACCGACCAACCAAAGCGAAGGATTAAATAATTTTTATGCGACAGTATACGTGACGTGACTCGATTGGAGCTGACAACTTTGTGCATAGGCCTATACATGCACGCGGTACCCGGGTAACGGGTCCGCAGAGCCGATACCCGCGGCACTCAGAGCCGGGTCAATCAGAATCGATTACAGAGCATGAAAATGGGACTTCTGTGGAAATCGGACTCCGTGTTCATTTTATTGGTAAAACCCTCTCACGTGATCGGTCCTTCTCCTAATTATCTATGCATGACATGTGCATTCCCTCCTTTGAGTCCGTATTTCATAAAACCTAAAACACTTCTCTGATTGTCCAAGTAACCCCGAGCGGTCTGGCCACGCCCATGCACGTTTATTATCCATCGCACAGGGCCAGTATGCACAGCTCGTGGCCGACCGCAAACACCAAAAGGGCTCTGTTGAGCTGTTGGTCTCCGACTAGCCGACCCGTGTGAATGTCCCGGGCTGCACCTCCGAGATTGATTTCCTGTGGAGCAGATTCTCGGCTTTGGATTTTGTGCACAGAAAATAGGTAATTTAATCTGGAACCGATTCTTTTGGACCCGGAACCGACGATAGCGGGTACCAGGTTCTAGGAAATATTGTACTCGCGGTTCCGGTTCCGATATTGGAGCCGGTTAGAACCGGGGAACCGCCAGAATCGCGCAAGCCAGGTTTATATAGGACCCATTCAAGCATTTTTTGCAAGACAAACTGAACAAGAATAAACTCATGATTTGCAATTGCATGCAGATTACAGAACTCGCTGTTCAATAATATATTATTCAGTGCACCGGTATGGTTTATGATCTCGTAAGGGTGGAAAGACCATGGCCGCCACCCCCCCCCCCACCCCACCCTCTCCCACAAAGGAAGTGAGCATGCTCAGATAATTAAACCAGAGAACAAGTGAAGATGGATGTTTTAAATCGATCTCCTTTTCTAAGTAAGTGTCACATATTGACCTTTTATTAAAGGCGACCAACATTGGAATAAAAAAGCAATTCTCATCTTCTTTAAACCCCCCTCCCGGTCCCCGACGCCGCAAATTATCTGCCATTGCACATATCTTCCCTTGTAGAATAAGCAGAAGAGCTGGCGTTCAATTTTCTGAGCAGTGGCACCCTTGATTTTGCGGGTTTTTTTCAAAGAAATTGGGTTTTTGGCGGGGGTCTGACTATTTTGACGTTGATGGCGCCACTTACACCCACTTATACTACTCGAAAATAGGCTGCATACATAATTACCAAGGTCAAAACGTGGTACACAAAAAAGTCATTACCCCTCCCCCTCCTGATCTAGCTAGAGAAACAAGTCAGTATTACATGTTATTAATTTGAAAAAGTTCCTTTGAAAAGTGTTTTTTTATTTTGTACTTGTGAAAAATTGAAACTCTCATTTTGTTCTGTATTGTCCTCCCCCCCGGGTGCCCCCACCCAAGACGTGGGGATTGTCATTTTTGAAGAGACAAAATCCCCACCCTCGGGCAAAATTTAGGTGCCTTTCCATGTAGTACGCCAATGGTTACAACGTAGTTTGAGTGACCAAAATCCCCACCCTGGGGTAGCCCGTAGGGGGATGGGGTGGGGAAAGCAATTAATAGGTGCATTAATGTTGTTTTCTTACAATTACTCCAGCGCTGATGGACAAGCTAAGGTCCACAAAGATATTAAAAAATTCACAGCTCAAAGACGGACAACTTCTTAAAAATCGATTTCTGTTTTGTTTATAAAGAAAACAATTAATTAATTGTGGAGAATGCGATAATACAAATGTATGTTTGGTTTGTATATAGATTTTAGTCTCAGTATGGCTATATTTTACAAAACAAAGCAAAAGGTAGGTCTACACAGCATTCGGTCTCTTGCTGTTATTATGGTATATTCAAAATAACAATTACCACATTTGTGAGCAATTGGCTCGGAAATAACAAGTTTGCATGAATATATTTGGACCGATAATCAAAGCGGAAGATTATATTTCAGATCTACTGTTTTTCACTACAAAAACAAAACCAAATTTAGAAACAATTCTAAACTGAAAGCTTTTCACACAGAGACTTGCAAAATTGACAACACTTGAATTTACAACAAGCGTCCTCTTGCGACGAATAATTATGTCAGTGATTACTATTACGGTTGATTAAGATTCAAACCCGATTTTACATAATGGCAAACCAACAGAGTCAGGGTATTCCATTTCTTTATTCCATTTATCTTTTCAATTATTGGTTGTCGGTATTTGCAACAATCTTCAGATGATGGAGGTGTTCGTAATACTGCATGCTGTACCGCACACATGCTTGTACATCATCCGGTAAACTTTCCAGCTCAGGAACGGGTGAGGGCGCCTCGAATCCCTCACTGGCGAATAAGTGTTTAAAGGCTTCTGCGTGATTAACCATGATGATCGTAATGCCAATCCACTGTATTTGAATCCATAGGGCAGTACATCGTATCGGCCTTCCAGAAACAGCCTGGTCCTTACAGAACAAAAAACGGTTTGCCAGGGTAGGGGGCTTCTTCTTAATAAAGTAAAATAATATTTTCTTTATAAAGTTCACACACATCCCTACGTGAATTGTGTTCGTTTTTTGTGATCCGTGGACAGAACTTTAAAACGGTGGTAAGGTACCCCAAGGACATTATACCAAGACCAATGCCTCAGGCATGACAAGGTTACACCTGTTGCATAGCCTAATAACACTTAAAACAATTCAGGGAATACAAATAACTCATAATAAGAAAGTAAAAGTTGATGAGGATGGAAAATACCAAGATCCTGAATAATCAAATTACACTTAAAACCAAAAGGAATATAGAAGATAAAAACCTTGGGTATAGGGAAAATAAAGAAAATGTCTAGCTACTGGAATAAACTAAACTAAGAGAAAACTTAAAAGGCTATACTGGATATATCAAGTAAAATGAATACACTTATCAAATGATCAAAGAGAACTGTTACAAATGCACATAATTTGTACTAATGAAATTATTCCTCTACTCACTTTAATCAAAAGTAATTGTTAATGATTATAAGATGCTGAATGTCTTTTGGAATATGCCAAAAAGTTAAATGAATAATCCATGGATGTCTATAATAATCAATCATAATTTGTGTACATGTAGTCCTACAAACTCTTCTTCCTTAAATAAAGTTCCACTTTATTTAGACTAGAGTCGCCACAAGTCTCTGTACAAAGAAATGGCAAATCTGAGTACATAAACTTTCAGATCAATCAAAGAAAATCAAAGAAAACTAAAACAATTTAGGGAATCGATCAATTTGGAGTTTGTTCTACTTTCAGAGAACATGGCTAATTCTCACATCAAGTTATGTGAAAATTAATGCATCAAACATCCAAAAGAAAATAGTGCTTGCTTCAAGAAATGACAACAACGAAGCAATAAAAATGTCAACTGCAGTAAGAACTTCCCAAGTGGATATTGGCCAAAGTTGGAATGACGAAGAACTTAATATTCATCTATCAAGCTTACCAACACTCTGAACTCAACATACAGTGATGGCATGAAAGGAACATAATAGTAATAAGAACAACATGTGACGACTCGGTCTAAACTTTGAGTAAAGAATAAACACTTTAACCTAGGAGTAAAAGTAAGATGCAAGTATTATCAAACTCACCTAGAGCAGGACAGAGGATGAATACATGAATATGGCACGTTCAGTTGGAGGATTACAGAGACAGTTTAAACAGTGAAGCTGAGTGCTTCCAACTACCTGTCTCTGTTAATTGCAGTTCAGTGGTCAAGTGAAGGGAAAGTTCACTGGCCACCGAATTTATACTATTCCTCCTCAAGGATTATTGTGGTTGGTTGCAAGTTCTGCTACCAACCGCCCACACGCGCTGCCAAGCAACCCACATATTTCTAAGAAAGTGAATGACCTAAGTCTGGGGGAGTTAGGAATTCGAAGGAAAAAAATGGGGGGGGGGGGCACAAAATTCATCCCATTACAATTATATTTCAGATCTACTGTTTTTCATTACAAAAACAAATCAAATTTAGAAACAATTTTAAACTGAAAGCTTTTCCCACAGAGACTTGCAAAGTTGACAACACATTTTATGTGATGCATTTCGACAACTTGTCTTTGTAAATTCATGTTCTTATAATTCGGAGTATATTTCAGGGGAAACTAATTGTTTCTATTTCGTTTTTCAAATCATTTTGTTTTGGAGAAGTTCAATGTTCTATTTTTATTTTTAACTAATTCTATTGGAATATCGTGTTTCTATTTAACCATAAACTTGTAGGTTTATGCCTCCCATATTTATAATAACACTTGAATTTACAACAAAATACACAAGCGTCCTCTTGTAACGAATAATTATGTTCAGTGATAACTATTATGGTTGATTAAGATTCAAACCCGATTTTACATAATGGCAAACCAACAGAGACAGGGTATTCCATTTCTTTATTCCATTTATCTTTTCAATTATTGATTGCCGGTATTTGCAACAATCTTCAGATGATGGAGGTGTTCGTAATACTGCATGCTGTCCCGCACACATGCTTGTACATCGTTTGGTAAACTTTCCAGCTCAGGAACGGGTGAGGGCGCGCCGAATCCCTCACTGGCGAATACTTGTTTAAAGGCTTCGGCGTGATTAACCATGGTGATCATAGTGCCAATCCACTGATCGACGATGTCTTCTCCCGCTTCCCAAGACAGCAGCTTGTCAGAGTACGGTATTCCCATCTTGGAGCAGTAGGTCGACAAGATCCCCGCCGGGTCCTGCAGCAGATCGTCGGTATCCAGTATGACCGGCGAGGGGTCGATGTTCTCCCGGACGTACTCGAACAAATCGTAGAGCTCCTTGTAACCGCAGCCAGGAGGAAACAGAATGGAAGACAGGCTCCTCAAGTCAGTAAAATGGCCCCAGTATCCCAACAGGTGCTTCTTGAAAGACACAATCGCTTTGTGCGGGTGTCGAATAATGAAACTGTACTTGAATCCACGGGGCAGCATGTCGTAGCGGCCATCCAGAAACTGGGCCTGGTCCTTACAGAACAAGACCTTCTTGTCAGGGTAGGGGGCTTCTAAGATGCCACGGATGGATTCAAGAGACATCACGCTTGAGTCTGACCCCGAAGTACCCAGCGGACTCTTCTTGTAACCTGTCTTGAGAAGTTCAAGCATTTTACTCCCCATCGGATCTTGTGGACCACCGACAGGTAGCTTGGCATCAGGTCCGTAGAAGTGAGCATCAGCGTATAGCTGGTTTGCTATCTGGATCCCGTCGACGTAACTCAAACACTTGATAAAAACTGTAGTCAATGATCGAGGAATACCCCACAGAAATACTCTGTTCAGTTCATCAGCCATCTTCTAGACTTTGATTTCAAAGGAGTTTCTAAAACCAAAAATAAACAAAAGGGTGATGGATTTAAGGCCGAGTCTATACGTATTCGACTTACCCATATTTCTATTATACCTGCAGGTTCCATTTTGCTAAGGGGTTTGTACCTTCTTTTTTTTTTTACAACAGCACCCCATATAATGCTACATACAAAATTATACTGAGATTTGATTATGATGATTTAATTATGCCCTCAAATTTATACTGGGATTTGATGTTGATTATGAGCATGCCCTAAAGAAATGCAATTTAGTTTCTCTTCAACACCGTAAAATGGACCTCTGTTTTGACCTTGTTAAAAAACTGAAAAACTCTAGCTTATATCAGGACTGGTTACCTCAGCCGAGAAAGTATTCATGTGCAATATCCGTTAGAAACGGTTACAACTTATCCAAAATGATGTGCAAGAGTGAATGTTATCAGAATAGCCCCATCCCATATTTTGTTGACCTTTTGAACAACAGTTCCAAGTCTTAACCCCCATTCATACTAGAATTTGATAATCAAAAATAAGAAAAGAAAAAAAATCAATAATACGAAATCTGGCTACAAATACAATCTATATTATAAAAGAGAGTTTTACTCGGCCTCCGAGACGATGTTTGCTCCTGAAAGAATCCGAGACCGCGGCCTCCCGCGGCGCCAAAATCGCTCCACGTCCGTGGAAAAATGCGGAGGGTGTCTTCCGCCGGGTCGGACACATCGGGTCGTCCTAATTTTCCCGTGCGGACAGGCGATCCGTTTCGTCGATTTTTCGTGACTGCGTTTTGCGTAGGAATTTGCCGTCGTGTGCGCTATCACGTTGACTGCCTGGCCGCCCCCTGTCCATGGTGCGTGGCCACCAAGTGTCCCTATTCTTTCATATGCTTTGCTTGCCGCCCCTGCGCTGAATGCATTGAATACTCAGAATGACTACACATTATGCCTTGCACGGTCTGACCAATCGAAAGTCTACACTGTGTACTTCCGGGGTCTGCGTAAAACTGTCGATGGCAACGCATACTGCAGCATGCTCCACACCCTGGGAACGAGGTTGGGTCTACGGTGCTCGCTATTTGAAGCACAAGCATGTGACGTGATATAGGGCTCTCATGCTTCCATCATGTGTTTATATGCTTCCACCAAGGCTGAGCGTTGTGAGTTCGCTGCCCACCACGTATAATTCAGTGTCGCGTTATAATTTCGGGGCCTGTTTGGGATCAACGAAGGATCGATGCATTGCTTCGAATATCGCGATCTTAAACGCAGTCACAAAAAAAAACGACAAAACGGATCGCCGGTCCGTACGGAAAAAGTACGACCCGAAGTGTCCGACCCGGTGGAAGACACCCTCCACATTTTTCCACGGACGTGGAGCGATTTTGGCGCCACGGGAGACCGCGGTCTCGGATCCTCTCAAGAGCAAACATATCTCGGAGGCCGAGTAAAACTTGCTCTTTATAAAAGATGGTTGAACCAACTTAAATCAAAGTTGAATCGACTTTTTCCTCGCAGACGGTCTCCCAAATTGTAAGAAGTTCAAGTTTACGTTTGTAGAAGAGTCCAATACTGAAACTTAATTATGACCTTCCTCCATCATTTAGACCGTTTGTAATTTTATGGTAACACTCAACACTTTCATTGCGAATGACAACTTCACGTTTGATTGCATTATGATTTATTGTCAAAACTGTACAATCAGCCTTCGCCTGTGTACTACGGTAACCTTTTCACTAATTTCCCACAATGCGACTGCCTCACAAAATGCCAATTTAACAGACCAACGGGAACATTTACAGACAGTTGCCGTGTCACATAATTATCATGTGCGTAAATCAACGGGGGACAGGGGGAAACCCCACCCCCACATTTTAAAACGGGGGCATTGTTTGGTCCCCCCACTTTTTCTTCCCCGAACAAAATTGTAGCCTACTATAGTATAATGACCGATTATATTGCTCTGAATACTGTGTAGCTGATTCAATTACCCCAAGCTCGAAAATGATGTTTAAGAGATGATCTTTCGCTCTAATTGGTTTCAGTGGTCAGAAATTGCTTTTCTATAACTGCATGTTTCCCCAACTATATCCCTCATTTACATTTAACTCCCCACATTTTCATCCCCAACACTACGCCCTACCCGATCTATGATCGGGTAAATCAGCTTGTGATTAATAAACCAGAATAATAATAATCATAATGATAATAATCATAATAATACACATACTGCACTGCATCACGCGAACGGCATCTTGGCTTCCTTTTTTCTCTTACCGGCAGGACAAATTAGACATGTTTCTCAAAGCCGTACCATATGGTTGCGAAGGCGAAGCGTGGCCCATTGATTAGCAAAGTTAATCCGATTACGTACTTATAGACACTATAACAGAGCGGTGAAATTCATGCAACCCCCCCCCCCCCCATGGCATTTTATTGAGCGTTGTGAAAATTATGCTCAGTATGCTTGAAATGTTAAAATATAATGGAAGAAATATTCTAAACTTCCTGTCAGTGAAAAAATCGCCGGACGCGTCGATGCCGAAACGTCAATAGGCCTACTAGTTAGGCCTACTGGTAAAGCTGACCTTAAAGTCGGGAAGAAATCGTTCGAAAGCGTCCCCAAATCTATTTATAAATCTCAATTTCTAGGAATCTACTCATAACAAGTTGTTATTTCACGAGTAGTTGAACACTTATGATATATGTCTGTGTACATGATGTAGTTTCATTCCAAATTAATTGTTATGGAACCTTTAGAAATCACCCTTCGCAACCACAGGGCTGGTACATCCGCAAATTGAGCACTTTCAATGGTCTTATCTGATTAGCTTTTTTCCCTCCAAATTTCGTCCAAGAGGTTTTAGTAATAAAAGATACGTAATCACAGAACACCTTGTTGTTTCGTCTGGTTGTTTATCGGTGAAGAGAAAACAAAAATGTGAGAAATTGTGTCGCTTCAGAAGGGCGTTGACGCGAGATGGTCTGTCCCTTCTGTCCCTCATTGTCCGCTCGGAGGACAATAACGTCTCACTATCCCACCAGACTGGAGAACCCTGCATGTTTGGCAAAACCACTATAAACTTTTGCCTATACCCCGACCGATGCAGCGGGAACGAAATTAAGGGGAACGGGGCGGCGAGGGTGGTAAGACCAAGGGCAAATCCCAAGCCACAAAGTAGTGTTCGTCCCCATACTCCATGAGTGAAACACAATGATACGCGGAGAAAACGGTATCAAGTCCAGGCAGTAAAACCCGATGGTATAGCGTATCTAATACCGTTTCCATGCTTTCTGGTCGCGGGTCGGTTACGTCTCGATAGTCCGGTGTCGAATTGGTCCGACGTCATATTGGTCCGATGAAACATAATACTGTGTACGTCTATAGTTCCCACTGGTCCTAACCATAAACCTATGGGGCGTCAGTCAAATGGGACGTCGGACCAATGGGTCGTCGGACCAATATGGGAAGTCGGACGAATGGGACGTCGGACAAAATGTGATGTCGGACTATATAGAGACGTCCCCGCGGGCCGACAGCTCCGAGTGAGCATGGCGGCCTCCCAACCCGGTGCTCCATTCGTAGGCCGTGGCCCAGATGGATGCACCACAGTTATAGGCCTAGTCGGTTCTGTTCATCAGCCATCCTTGCAAATTATATTTTAAATGAGTTTCTTGAATAAGAACGAAACAAAGAACCTACCCTTACCAGCTGAATTAATGAGAATCGGAATAGTATGATCGAATGCTGATTTGTGTACCGTGCATAGTAGAGGTGCAATATGCAGTTCCGCAGCAGTTTAACTCCCCCTGGTAACCTAGGTGTGACCCTAGCTGGTAATCATATTATGCGTTGCCTGCAAGAGATATTACCAAACGCACGTCACGCAGATATTACACACGCACGGCATATTAATTCATGCCCATGACCTGGGCGGTCGAGCGTGCTGCTTGCACACAAAGCAGACAATATCCAACATACCCCAGCCAGTAAGCCCAAGTGGGCCCCATGTGGGTTATGGTTGGGTTTGATGGGGTGGGGTGACGATGGGTTTTCAGTGGGCTGGGAATTAAATGGGCAACGTATATGGGTCCAATGTGGGGATTTGGTGGGCTACGTGGGCTGTCTATGTAGTGGGGTTTGATAGGGCTTGCCCCTGTAGGCCCTGTATGGGATTATAGTTGGGCGCAGTAGGTTGTATTTTAGTGGGCTAAAAGTGGGCTGGCCATGTGTGGGATGAGGGTTGGTTTTCATTAGGCTGGGAATTAAACGGGCAAGATATCTGGGTCCAATGTGGGAAATTGGTGGGCTACTTGGGCTGTCTATATGTACTGGGTTTGATAGAGCTTGCCCAAGTGGGCCCTGTGTGGGGTATATTCTGGGCGAGGTGGGCTGTACACTGACACTTTTCCACCACACACTCACTTTCGTGCCCTTTCAGTGACTCCCGACACATGGTATTTTGAGCTGGGGTCACACGACACTCTTTACCTTGCATACCACAGAAAACCGATACTGCAGTACTGGCTGGTACATTTGAATTTAGCTGGAGACGGAGAATGTATGAGCACATCGTTCTTGCAAGAAAACATGTAGTTATTCATATAAAGTCACAGTACCAAACTATGTCAAAATGTATCTCATATCGACATGAAGTCTATTCCTGTGCAAGTCTTTTGCTGAATCCCGCGGCCTCATTGTTTGGCATAAAATAACTGACGGAATGGATGTCATGGCTACTCAATCCTGCTGTTTGTCGAATGTACCCGGTAAGTTTGCATTGACTTGTGTTTTCAAATAGATCTTATAGATTTCTTATGAACACGTGTCCATGTTTTCTTCGTTCATGATGTGTACATTTGTACAAGGACCTTTTTCGACTTTATTACACTTTTACATTATGTTTTTTTTTATTTTTTATTTGATATAAGACTCTTTGCGACTGTTGACTCGATCCGTCTATCACCCGTTATCTGTTCAAACATGGGGCTATAAACAAAGCTCCATTGCATGCATGATTCAACAGACAACACATACTTTTTTGATCGTTTTTAGGGATCAGAGAATTATCAGAAAAAAATACAAGTAAATGGAACATTGAAAGTGAACATGCAAATCACAACTTTTGACCATTGCTATGAACGTCTTGTATACGTTATATGGAAAATGTTACGAATGAAAACATTGAAAGCTAAAAAGCTGGTTCTTGAAGGACATCATACAACTGTCTTGCACTTCTTCCAGACAGTCTTTGTTTTTTTTCCCTGCTTTCATTTTGTTTAGTTTTTCTTTCTTTTTAATTGTGTTTATGTATGTTCTCAATGCCAAGGAACCTGTATGAAGAACAGACCAAGCGAGAGATCCAAGTGGCTGGTTGGGGTCTTGGGAACAGAGACAGACGTGACAGGGATGGAAAATTGCTCAGGGAGCCAATTAAGAGGAGGGTGCTAAGAAACAATCTGCAGCAAGTTGGTAACTGCACTGAACAAGACATTAGCTGTTTCATGTGGTTCTAGGATGCGTCTTCTCTGTTCAAGTTCAAGTATTTCAGGTGTGGACATTTATTCGGATTACAGATTATCTTCGTGTCAGTTTATTCCAAGGGACGTATAGTTTTTGTATGCATGACTGTGCTACACAGGTGGTTTGGATTAGTACAACCGATGGCATGTCTTTGTTTATATATAAGTACAATTGACATCCCCGGCACATATTTAATTAATGATAAACTTTGGAGAGTGCGAAATTACTAGCAGTGTGTTTGGTGGGCTTCTAATTGCCATGCATCACAAATTTTTTAACAGCTATAGGCATTGACGCAATTTTGATTCAAATTCTTCTAGGTTTAAAACTCAGAAATTACTCGACTTTCTTGCTGCTCAGTGTGGAATCAGTATTCTAGAAATAGTGTCATTACATGATAAAATTTACGTAGCTTGGAGTAACGAAACCTTTTTAAAATAAAATTCAAGAATTGTATAACATAATTGCCGTCAGTAATGATTATTGTCATTAGACATTCCGGTTTAGTAAAGTACATTTTTGCTGTTGACAACTTATACAATTGTTTCTCACTGGTTTTGTGTTTGCTTTTCTTCTCCTTATATTCTCCATGACCTGAATCAGAGACCAAACCGAACTGCATGAGAGCTCACTGAGACTACCAAGTATTAAACCATTAAATTTCCGTCTTGTGGGGTGCCCACAATGAGCCTATGCTACACCTACTGCTTACCTTTGTATAAATTACACAAGGCCTAGATGGGACACATAATTATGTTAGCCAGCTTATTTAGCCGCCCACATAGGACCCATATTAATATGTACATTTTGCTCTCTAATGACCGGGTTTAAGTGTAGAAGGGACCCACATAGGACCCACATAGAACCCACATTCACACGTACATATTGCCCACTTATGACCCAGTCAAAGTGTAGAAGGGACCCACATAGGACCCCTTTGGGCAGATTTGGGCTAGCCCATTTGGGACCCAAATGGCTTTAGCGGCCAAAACACTAGTGGGCCCACATGGGCAACTCAAGTGGGACCCACGCAAGGGCCTCCAAAAGCCCAACAGGGCCCCACATAAATCCAGCAGCAAACCCATTCAGGACCCACATAGGACCCCGTTGGGCATATTTGGGCTAGCCTATATGGGACCCAAGTGGCCCCATCGGCCAAAACACAAGTGGGCCCATTTGGGCAACCCAATTGGGGCCCACTGAGAGGCCCATTAAAAGCCCAACTGGGCCCCACTTTGGCTGCTGGCTGGGACACTGAACAAACCGATCGTACACAGAGAACATTTTTACTATAAACATGGCCGACTCTCTCTGAATAAAAGCCTTCGTAAAATAATCTTCCTTTGCAAAACCAAAGCGTTTATATTCACCAAACACATTGCACTCATTCTTTTGAAGGCAGCCAACATTGGAATAGAAAAGAAATTCTCATCTTATTTCACCCCCCCCCCCAACCGCCCGCCCGACGACGCAACTAATCTGACATTCCACATGCAAATACCCCCCCCCCCCCCCCTCGTAGAACAAGCAGAAGAGCTGGCAGTAAATTTTCGGGCACTTCTCCTGATCGAACTTGAGAAGCCATCAGTATTACGACAGTAATTGTGAAGGGAATATGTTATTCCTCCTTTGATAAAAGGATATTGATTTTGTAATTGTAAAAGATTTTCTCTAAATTGTTTTTTTTATGTGCATATCAGTTGTCCCCCTTCCCCTCCCCCTAGCCACGCATATCTTCGTGCCAATCCACTTTAATATCGACGATGTCTTCTCCCGCTTCTCAAGACAGCAGCTTCTCTGAGTACGGTATTCCTATCTTGGAGCAGTAGGGAGCAGTAGGTCGACAAGATTCCCGCCGAGTCTTGTAGCAGAACATCGGCGTCCAGTATGACCGTCGAGGGGTCGATGTTCTCCCGGACGTACTCGAACAAATGGTAGAGCTCTTTGTAACCGCGGCCGGGAGGGAACAGAATGGGAGGCAGGCTTTTCATGTCGGTGAAATCACCCCAGTAACCGAACAGGCGCTTCTTGCAAGACAGAAACACTCTGTGCGGATGTCGAATAAGGAAACTGTGTTTGAATCCACAGGGCAGTATATCGTATCGGCCTTCCGGAAACTGCCATGGTCCTTACAGAACCAAAAAAAACTGTTTGCCAGGGTAGGGGGCTTCTTAATAAAGTAAAATAATATTGTCTTTATAAAGTTCACACACATCCCTACTCGAATCGTGTTCGTTTTTTTTGTGGTGGTTGTGTTTAAAATTCGGTAACTTGACATGAGTGATTTGAAGAATTCGTGTACTACAAGAAACCTTTTTTAACAGGGTTTTCATATCCTTGATTTTGATAGTGCTACATGCAGAACTTCATTAATAAAATTGTCCTGCCAGTTGGGTTACCTTTTTACCCATCCTGTATATGACCTGAACTTCAACAGGTTAGTTCTTATCCATAGAACTCAAGATGTTTGAACACTTGTTTGGCACCTCAAGCGATAAAAAATATGCACAAAAAAGCAATTGCACGATGTACATTAATATTAATAAACACCATGCGTTGTAGTTCAGTTGCACAGCAGTTTATTCCTGCTATACTTGCTTTTCAAGCTATCTCAGAGGAAGTGCCACGGTGGGTGAAATATAAACTAGTTCACGGTTGTCCATAATTATGCATTTGACCTATAGGCAGATCAAGAAGGATGGAATAGATCGAGCGCGATGTCGTGTGAAAGTTGCATGCACACGTATGTGCATACATGTGCATGCAACTTTCACACGACATCGCGCGCCCGCATAATGCATACATTACAACGCGGCCGCCATTTTGAAATCGCATGGAGGACATTTTCGGGACGATTGTGGAAGATGATGACTGAAAGTCGTCTTTTGGTCAGATGGATGAAAATATTGAGACCAAAGAACGTTTGTTTTCGAAAAGGTATGAGTTGCTCTACGACAAAGAACCTTCACTTTGGAAATATTTGTCCTGAATGAAAAGACAATCTCGATCAAAATCTGTAGCAAAATCGCTACATCAGAGTGAACAAAAATTCAGTCTGTGGGGAAGCATTGAGCGTCTGGCCGTACTACAGAGCTTGCGATAGTACTGTACGGTCAGACGCAGTCGGGCTAATAAACCATGAGATTGCATGGCAATCGAATATACAGGGTGTCTCAAAACAAACCGAACCCTCTAAGCTCCATCTTTTTTAAAGCTTAAAAAAAACATCGCGAGTAATGATACATATTTGGAGAGCTCATTTGTTTCAACAACGAAAACATATTTCCAATCGGGAAAATATTTAATGAGTTCTGGCCAATTCATATCAGTACTTCGCGGGAGGGGGGGGGTAATAGTGGATATTTAACACCACACCCCCAACTTTCTTGTAAAAAGTGTCCTTTTTCACCAGTGTCTTTTTTTAAGAGAGTCCTTTGTTTACGAGTGCTCTTTTGTGGAATATCACAATGTAATTCCAGATGTGGTCACTGACCCGTGAACCACATGGGCACATCCTGTCCCTTCTACCCCTTGCCCGAATACTAATGAGCTGGGGCTTGGTTCCTGGAATGCGTGACTAATCTACTGCTAGGACCATTTCCTGTCCAATATACTAAAGTATAGCCACATACTTGCAATATAAAATGCATGGTCAAACTCTACTAAGTTTTATCAGAAAAGTGGCTATGGCAAGCAATAAATTCAACCTTTCCTAAAAGTTCAAAACAAGTGGAAAAGCTACTAAATTACACACTCTTCAAACATCCTAGAAATACCTTCAAAGTTTGAGCAATTGCTCTCATCAACTTAATAATCTGGCATCTCTAAAAACATATCAGCTTTCTGAAAGGTTATGAAACTCAATCAAAAATCTAGCATCTTCTACTGAAAACTTAATACTCTTCCTCAAACTTTCCAGAACTATAATCCAAATCTTTGTTTTTCTGCTTCCAGTAAAACTATCATTTGGATAAGTTTCAGAAAAACACAAATCAAAGTTCAACACTTCTCAAGTTGCTCCGGTTTCTTTCAAGCCAAATGTTAAACCAAAAATCACTTGATTCTTAAAAGACAATAAAGTATCAATTCTACAATAAAGTAAAAACAACTAAGTCTAAAATATGAGATATAGAAATGAAATGAACATACCTGAAAAATGAGCAAAAGTTATGCACACATAAGTATGTTGCATAAAACTGGAAGATGGACTTTATTCGTTAGCTGCTCATCAAGGAATGCTTGAGACACAGCCAAGGTGAACAAAGGGGGGGAAGTTCCATTTCCTGCTGGGTGCCTTAGCCAATCAGAAGGAAGTGACCATGGCAACTGGGTCACTGCCCAGCTGACCAGCTGTACAGGCTAAAAGTGAGCATGTGCTAGCCACATGAGCATGGGGAAAACACATGAGGCAAGAATAAGGGGAAAGACTATTTTTTTAGGGGGGGTAATTTCCTTCCGCTCTCTGAGAGGGGCACTACATATGATTTGCAGTTTATTTGGGGAATTAGATTTTCTATTTCCTGTTCAAATCATGGCTTTTTCGAAGAGCATCAATTTTCTATAATTTTAGCTCACCTGTTTCTACAATGTTACCATAAGATCGTAGGCTTATATACCTCCCACTCTCAAAATACGCTGAGTGAACCACCAAAAAATACCCAATAACACAAGCGTCATCTGATGACAATACGTCGTGATTGTACCACTTTTGCAAGCTATTTGCTGAAGTCAGGACATTCAAGTTCTATTTGTTCAGATTTATTACACCCTTTAACGTTATTTATTGTCAGAGTTTACAACAATCCTCCGATGATGGAGGTGTTCGTAGTATTGCATGCTGAACTGCACACATGCCTGTACATCATCCGGTAAACTATCCAGCTCAGGAACGGGTGCGGGCGCGCCGAATCCCTCACTGGCGAATGCGTGTTTATAGGCATGGTCGTGATTATTAGCCATGCAGATCTTCGTGCCAATCCACTGATCGACGATGTCTTCTCCCACTTCCCAAGACAGCAGCTTGTCAGAGTACGGTATTCCCATCTTGGAGCAGTAGGTCGACAAGATCCTTGCCGGGTCTTGCAGCAGATCGTCGGCGTCCAGTACGACCGGCGAGGGGTCGATGTTCTCCCGGACGTACTCGAACAAATCGTAGAGCTCCTTGTAACCGCAGCCAGGAGGAAACAGAATGGGAAGCAGGCTCCTCAAGTCAGTGAAATGGCCCCAGTATCCCAACAAGAACTTCTTGATAGACAGAAGCACTCTGTGCGGGTGTCGAATAATGAAACTATATTTGAATCCTTGGGGCAGCATGTCATAGCGGCCATCCAGAAACTGGGCCTGGTCCCTACAGAACAAGACCTTCTTGCCAGGGTAGGGGGCTTCTAAGATGCCACGGATGGATTCAAGAGACAACACGCTTGAGTCTGACCCCGAGGTACCCATCTGACTCTTCTTGTAATCTGTCTTGAGAAGTTCAAGTATTTTACTCCCCATCGGATCTTGTGGACCACCGACAGGTAGCTCGGCATCAGGTCCGTAGAAGTGAGCATCAGCGTAGAGCTGGGTTGCTATCTGGATCCCGTCGACGTAACTCAAACACTTGATGAAAACCGTAGTCAATGATCGAGGAATACCCCACAAAAATACTCTGCTCAGTTCATCAGCCATCTTCTAGACTTTGATTTCAAAGGAGTTTCTAAAACCAAAAATAAACAAAAAGGTGATGGATTTAAGGCCGAGTCTATACTATTCGACTTACCCATATTTCTATTATTCCTGCAGGTTCCATTTTGCTAAGAGGTTTGTACCTTCTTTTTTTTACAACAGCACCCCATATAATGCTACATACAAAATTATACTGGGATTTGATTATGTTGATTTGATTATGCCCTCAAAATTATACTGGGATTTGATGTTGATTATGAGCATGCCCTAAAGAAATGCAATTTAGTTTCTCTTCAACACCGTAGAATGGACCTCTGTTTTGACTTTGTTAACAAACTGAAAAACTCTAGCTTATTTCAGGACTGGTTACCTCAGCCGAAAAGTAGTCATGTGCAATATCCGCTCAGAAACAGTGTCAACTTATCCAAAATGATGTGCAAGAGTACATGTTATCAGAATAGCCCCATCCCATATTTTGTTGACCTTTTGAACAATAGTTCCAAGTCCTTACTCCCATTCTACTAGAATTTGATAATCAAAAATAAGAAATAAATAAAAATACAATATTGCGAAATCCTATTTGTTCATGTACTGCATTCTTAGGGGGAAAAAACACCTTTTTATCAAGTACTATTCTGGTAGAGTGCGCCTTTCTTACATTCCGATGTGCAAATCTTAACTCATTTTTATAAAATGTACTGTATTTTGACATTTGCATGTATGATGGTAAATGTTTAGTAAGTTTGTATTTCTGATTTTGTGTGTTTAATTTGTACGCATTGTGACAATTTAGACTCTGGCTACAAATACAATCTATAAGAGAGAGTTTTACTCGGCCTCCGAGACGATGTTTGCTCCTGAAAGGATCCGAGACCGCGGCCTCCAGCGGCGCCAAAATCGCTCCGGGTCCTTGGAAAAATGCGGAGGGTGTCTTCCGCCGGGTCGGACACTTCGGGTCGTCCTGATTTTCCCGTGCGGACCGGCGATCCGTTTCGTCGATTTTTCGTGACTGCGTTTTTGCGTAGGACTTTGTCGTCGTGTGCGCTATCACGTTGACTGCCTGGCCGCCCCCTGTGCTGGCTTTTCTGCGAGTCTAGACTGTGCGAGGTCAGCGGCTTCAACGTAGGGGTTCCGTTTACGTGTTCTACTTGGCCGTTCTGCAAAAGTGTTCACCAAACGGCTGTATGGGGTGACCTTGGTAAAATATTTTTTGTCCATGGTGCGTGGCCACCAAGTGTCCCTATTCTTTCATGTGCTTTGCTTGCCGCCCCTGCGCTGAGTGCATTGAATAGTCAGAATGACTACACATTATGCCTTGCACGTGTACTTCCGGGGTCTGCGTAAAACCGTCGATGGCAACGCGTACTGCAGCATGCTCCACACCCTGGGAACGAGGTTGGGTCTACGGTGCTCGCTATTTGAAGCACAACCATGTGACGTGATAAAGTGCTCTGTTGCTTCCAAACTTTTGCCTATACCCCGACCGATGCAGCGGGAACGAAATTAGGGGGAACGGGGCGGCGAGGCTGGTAAAACCAAGGGCAAATCCCAAGCCACAAAGTAGTGTTCGTCCCCATACTCCATGAGTGAAACACAATGATACGCGGAGAAAACAGTATCAGTCAGTAAAACCCGATGGTATAGCGTATCTAATACCGTTTCCATGCTTTCTGGTCGCGGGTCGGTTACGTCTCGATAGTCCGGTGTCGAATTGGTCCGACGTCATATTGGTCCGATGAAACATAATACTGTGTACGTATTTCCCACTGGTCCTAACCATAAACCTATGGGGCGTCAGTCAAATGGGACGTCGGACCATGGGTCGTCGGACCAATATGGGAAGTCGGACGAATGGGACGTCGGACAAAATGTGATGTCGGACTATACAGAGACGTCCCCGCGGGCCGACAGCTCCGAGTGAGCATGGCGGCCTCCCAACCCGGTGCTCCATTCGTAGGCCGTGGCCCAGATGGATGCACCACAGTTATAGGCCTAGTCGGTTCTGTTCATCAGCCATCCTTGCAGATTATATGTTAAATGAGTTTCTTGAATAAGAACGAAACAAAGAACTTACCCTAACTAGCTGAATTAATGAGAATCGGAATAGTATGATCGAATGCTGATTTGTGTACCGTGCATAGTAGTGGTGCAATATGCAGTTCCGCAGCAGTTTAATTCCCCCTGGTAACCTAAGTGTGACCCTAGCTGGTAATCATATTATGCGTTGCCTGCAAGAGACATCACCAAAGCCACGTCACGCAGACATTACACATGCACGGCATATGAATTCATACACATGACCTGGGTCGTCGAGCGTGCTGCTTGCACACAAAGCAGACAATATCCTACATACACTGAACAAACTGATCGTACGCAAAGAATATTTTTACTATAAACATGGCCGACTCTCTCTCTGAATAAAAGCCTTCGTAAAATAATCTTCCTTTGCAAAACCAAAGCGTTAATATTCACCAAACACATTGCACTCATTCTTTTGAAGGCAACCAACATTGGAATAGAAAAGAAATTCTCAACTTATTTCAAACCGCCCACCTGACGACGCAACTAATCTGACATTCCACATGCAAATATCCCCCCCCCCCCCCCGAACAAGCGGAAAAGCTGGCAAGTACATTTTCGGGCACTTCTTCTGATCGAACTTGAGAAGCCATCTGTATTAAATAAGTAATTGTGATCCAAAGTGGATCTCTCTCGTATGTTAAGCCAATTCTAAGTTCAAACAGGCCTGCCAATTTTAATGGTTTTGCCCACGAAAATGCACGATATTTGTCACAATATCAAACCACTCGTAAACACCACCCCTTTATAATTTAGGCCACGCCCACAAATTGGGCGGAGAATATGACTTTTAAAATGCTACAATGTTTTATGTCATGTCCAAATTTATTTCAAGGCATGGAAAAAGAAGAAAATGAAAGTTTAATACAATTCTTCTGAGTTTATATTCCTTTCACCCCCTTTTCTAAATCAAGCTCCGCCCCCAAATCGGCAGGTTTCAAGGTGTGTCCACCTCTTAAAATGATTTTCAGACCGTTTTGGATTTGCACGCCGTATTTAATGCTCTTATCACAAACTTGGGCACGGTTTGGGCAGACATAATGGGCCTAAGAAGCTCCACTTTTGACCAAGGTATTTACGCGTACATTTGTATACATATGAAACATACATGTATATAAATGAAATCTTTAAATCATTCTTAAGTAACTTTATCCGACTTTTTTGCATTCTTAAATAACATTTTTGGTATCAGGGGGTCAATCTCAACACTTAAGTCCAAAAACGGCGCTTGTGCGCGACATGTTAATTAAACTCGAAATTTTGGACACTTGACCATGGTCCCCTGACCCCCATCCGACCTAGGGCAACTTAAGAATGGCCATTTCGGAACTACCCCCCGACGGGCAATTGATTGGTACCATCACACCTTTTGTGCTCAAATTGTTAATTAAACTCAACCTAGCTCCCGGTCTCCGATGATTGTTTTGAAACCTGTCTCTTTTTTTTCAATGTCACATATCGACCTTGTAAGGCGATTAACATTAAAATAGTACAGAAATTCTCGTATCTTCTTTCGCGACTTTCCGCCCCCACCACTTTGTCCCCACAACATTCAGACATTTCACAAGCAAATATTTTTCTTTCAAGAGAAAGCAGAAGAGGGCAGTAAATCTCCAGGCACTTCTCCAGAACTAGAGAAAAAGTCAATATTACGATAGTATTGTTTGCAATGAATATACAAGGTTATAACTACTCCTTTGATGAGTGGAAGTTATTTGAACGTGCATTTTAACATTTTATGGTATATTCGCATAATAAATGCAATTTTATTATTATTTATTATGATTGAGACTCTAATTCTGTTCTTTTTATCTCACAAAATATTTGAGCGCTGATTGGCACAATAAGGGCCACGAGTATATTAAAAAAAAAAGCAAAAATTCCACCCCTCCCCAAAAAAGAAAGTTTTCTGTTAAAATGGAAACAGTGATGCATTTGTAGAGAATACGATAATGTACAGGTACATTGGTTTATTATTCCAAGTCATTGGTGTTACTTTTTTTTTTATTTATTCAATAAAATGACACTGCATTTGGGCCTTGGCTTTTATCAACAATGTAATTCCAGATAAAATTGCCATAGGGGCCTATTCAAACAATTTAGTTGAGGAACACCAAGTTTTGCATGAATTCTTAGACTGATAATTAAAAAGAAATACCGATCTAGGGAAGGTTTTCACCAATAATTATTACCAATAATACACAAAAAGGAAGAATTTTCCAAGAACAGACTATAAGTAGTGTTATGAGAGGTACACGTATTTCGAAATATAACCCTATTGATTCATGCTTCTAATTTGCAGTTTATTTGGGGGAATTGTATTTTCTATTTCTTGTTCAAATCAGGTTTTTTGAAGAGATTCATTTTTCTATTTCCTTTTAACTCACCTGTTTCTATAATGTAACCATAATATTGTAGGCTTAAATATGCCTCCCACTCTCAACATACCTTGAATGAACAAAAAAAAACAATACAACAAGCGTCATCTGATGACAATACGTCGTGATTGTACCGATTTTGCAAGCTATTTGCTGAAGTCAAGACATTCAAGTTCTATTTGTTCAGATTAATCACACCCTCTAACGTTATTTATTGTCAGAGTTTACAACAATCCTCCGATGATGGAGGTGTTCGTAGTATTGCATGCTGAACTGCGCACATGCCTGTACATCATCCGGTAAACTATCCAGCCCAGGAACGGGTGCGGGCGCGCCGAATCCCTCACTGGCGAATACGCGCTTGTAGGCATGGGCGTGGGTATTAACCATGCAGATCTTCGTGCCAATCCACTGTTCCAAGACGTCTTCACCCGCTTCCCAAGACAGAAGTTTGTCAGAGTACGGTACTCCCATCTTGGAGCAGTAGGTCGACAAGATCCCCGCCGGGTCCTGCAGCAGATCGTCGGCGTCCAGTATGACCGGCGAGGGGTCGATGTTCTCCCGGACGTGCTCGAACAAATCGTAGAGCTCCTTGTAACCGCAGCCGGGAGGAGACAGAATGGGAGGCAGGCTTCTCATGTCGGTGAAATCGCCCCAGTAACCCAACAGATACTTCCTGTAAGACAGAAGCACTCTGTTAGGGTGTCGAATAAGGAAACTGTACTTGAATCCACGGGGCAGCATGTCGTACCGGCCATCCAGAAACTGGGCCTGGTCCTTACAGAACAAGACCTTCTTGCCAGGGTAGGGGGCTTCTAAGATGCCACGGATGGATTCCAGGGACATCACGCTTGGGTCTGATCCTGATATACTCATTTGACTCTTTTTGTAGTTTGTCTCAAGTAGTTCTTTCATTTTACTCCCCATGGGGTCTTGGGGACCACCGATAGGTAGCTTGGCATCAGGTCCGTAGTAGTGAGCATCTGCGTAGAGTTGGGTTGCTATCTGGACCCCGTCGACGTTACTCATACATTTTAGGAAAGCCGTGGACATTGATCGAGGAAGGCCCCACAGAAATACTCGGTTCAGTTCATCAGCCATCTTCCAGATTTGGATGTCAAAGGAGTTTCTAAACCAAGATATAAAGAAATAAGGTGATTATTAAGGTTGATGTTTTTCTCTAAGCTGACCTTTCATCATCATCAAAGCATTCCGTCAAGATTCAGAAAGCATACATGGCTCCGCTGCAGCTATCTTCGATCATGATTCGTGACATATACCTAAAATTTGTATTTCGCATGTCCCAGATCGTGTGTTCTTTCGTGATCGTGACGATGGATGTAGATGTTAACATGCACATGCACCTATTCTTAAACCCGTTTTGTCCCTTGACTCTGCAAATTGAAAAAAAGTGGAATAGTTTCAATGGAGTAGAGGAGTGGCGTGTAGCCAGGGTGTGCAGAGTGGCACCTGTGAACGGGCTAGAGACATATCAATTTTCCTATGAAAATGATTTCACCTTAATTGGTATGAGAGAGCATAGCCTAATCCAGATATATAAAAACCACTTATACGAGACGTGGAATTGTGTTTTTTGAAGCTCGATACGAGGTGCAACAGGTATAAGTTTTCATGCGCCCCGGCGCGGCCCACTGCCTAAAGATGGTACCCCAAACGAAAAAACCCTAAAGTTTGAAAAAGCAGATTATAGGTCTATAAACGTACACAGTTGAATGCCGCAAGATTTAGTTGACTACCGATTGCATGCCATGCAAGAGACATATGACAAAGGGCCATGGGTTAATTCATGCTCATGACCTTCGACATGGAGCAGAGCCTCGATGCATGAATGCCGAAGCTACATGTATTCGAGCATTTGGATACAGCCACACGTTAAACGTTCAAGTTTACAATCAACATTATTATATGAATTAACATGGCTGGCATGGCGATGGCTAGGTGAATATCAGTGTTCACAAAGAAATTTTGGAAACGTTAAGGCCCAACCATATGGCAATCAAAGTAAATAGGCATATTAAAAGTCCCAATATTCGCTTCAAGTTCAAGAATGATACAGCTAGGTTATATTAAAACATGAAAAATTGTTTCAAAAAATATATGAGGTCAACTCTGCATTGAAATATACTACACACGAGTCGGTGAAATCAATTTACAGTGGAGTATACAAAGCATTCGAAAGATGGCAGTCACACTAAGGCCTACTTCTTACCAGATGGAAATTCGGTGGTGAACTTATCTATAGCATACTAGCTAGCAGTGGTGTGTACAGGTATAGGCCCATGGATGGGACCATAAATGCATAATGTGTATCGCGATAGGGCTGTTCCATTTCCAGATGGGGAGTGTCATTAGCTGTACTGTACAGCTTTGACGTGGTATATTCTTTTTATAATACCTGAGTAAAGCAACCACACATCAAAGCTGCAGTCAATAATTGTTTTGGTCTATCGTGCGACACAGTCATTTTTATAGACTGAACACGTGACATTTCCAGATATACGTTTATACAAAATGTGCATCGATTATACAAAACTATTTTTTTTTCCTGCCACTGGGTGATGTTAACCTCAAGAACCAATTTTATTTGCCAACTGACAAAGTCCAAGATGATAATGATAATACGATTTTTTTTTTCTATTTTGAATATCACGTACTTCGTGCAGCCTGATATGACACCGACTTAATTGAATAGAAGTATTCAGTTCGCTATGGCAGCTCGATCGGGCTACACGCTTCAAAGGTTCGTCGGAAAAGGATTCATTGTACTAGTGCTCAATATAATAAACTCATAACTCGGTTAAAGTTCAGGTATCGGTAAAAGTGATTGTTGGTTGGGGGCGCCCGAGTGCGGCACCCCCCCCCCCCCACCGTACCCATATACTCTACCCCACTAAGCCTAAGAATATCTCGAAAGTCAATGGTCAATCCACCAAATATTGAAATGAAAGATGACATGTTGATTATCATTTTCTGTGCGGCACAAACACCTGTGAGACTGTTCTGAGTATTTTCAAATTAATGTTGAAGTATGCAGTGGGGATTTAGCATTGGTGTCTAAGAGATTTGTTTTGGGGCTCCCATAGTCTATTATAGGATCTTAGCTGTACAGGGTGCAGAGCACTATAATTCAAGTGAGAATTTCTACGCGAGCTCATCATGAGCATATAACATTAATACCCTCCCCCCCCCCAACAAACATCACACTCAACTTCTTTTGAAAACGGAAACCGTTTGGCTTTAAAAACGGTGGAATCAAGGGCGAATCCAAAACACAATTTTTTTGGGGGGGGGGGGGGGTGGGGTTTGGGGCCCGCTAGGGCCCTGGCATTTTTTTGGATTCTAAATACCCAGTGGTGCGATCTGAGGCAATTTCTGACTACAATTTGACCAATTGTTTTTGGAGGAAAAAATGGTGGTGTACGCATTGCCTGCCTTCAAGGGACGTCACTAATAAAAACTTTTTTTGGGGGGGGGCATGGCCCCCGTTGCCCCCCCCCCCCCCCCCCCGGATCCGCCCTTTGGTGGAATAGCCAAGAATAAACTCCCTGGTTTTGGGGCTTTCATCTGAGGACAGGCCTGTTAAAATTACGGTTGGAAAAATGGGTCATATTTGCCTGAGAAATTAAGTGGAAAGATATCCACTTGTAAAATAGCTACATGCAGGCTTGGGACTATATCACTTTTCGGACTATATCACTTTTTAAAATGTAATTGGCCAATCGACCCAAAATTGAAAAGATATGAAAAGATAAAGGACTAGACAATCATTTAATTTTTTGTTTGAGAAACCCAGTAATGTCGGCTTGCATGTTATTAACTTGCCCTGAACTTTGTTGATTTTATTTTCAATGCACATTATGGGTGCACACATATGTAAATAGGCCTAAACCCCTCCGCCGAGCTCATGAATGAATAAAAGTTATACCCTCAAAATATTCTATATTAGAGAGTTCTGAGAGCCATAAAAATTGGATAATTGAATAAATATGGCAATGAACCTCTGGCCCAGATTTGGGCCTTCCAATTCTGAGCATTTTGGAAATTTGAAAGCCGTTTTTGAGCTCTAAAGTGGCGCTATGATTTGTCATGTTGTGGAGGGATCGTTTTCCAAGATGGCTACTTTTCCGCTTTGGGAAAAAAATAGGGGTCATCTTCTTTGGGTGAGAATTTCTCGAAAAGTCAATGGTCAACTCACAAAATATTTGCAAATAAAATAAAAGATGACTATTGATCGTCACTTTTCTGTGCAGCTTAATACCTGTGAGAGTTCTGATTGTTTTAAAAAGACTAGAACGGGCATTTAGCACTACAGTGTCTATGGGAATTTTAATAGACTGTTGCATATGGCACGCCAAAGCGGAATTTATTCAACCCTGCACGGCAACTGCCAACATTATAAATACATCACAACATTTAAAAAAAAGTATGTCAACATTTTAAAAAATATGTCAACATTTTTAAAAAATATGTCAACATTGTAAACAATATGTTAACATTTCAAAAACGTATGTCAACATTTAAAAAATACATGTCAACATTTCAAAAACGTATGTCAACATTTTAAAAAATATATGTCAACATTTAAAATGTTGACATACTTTTTCAAAATGTTGACATATATTTTACAATGTTGACATACTTTTCAAAAAAGTTGTGATGTATTTCATAATGTTGGCAGTTGCCGTGCAGGGTTGAATAAATTCCGCTTTGGCGTGCCATAGTTGCACCCCTATACCTCATCGTTCACGCTGCTAAATGCGTGCCGATGACAGAGAACGAGGTGATTCAATGTTGCTCATGCACACAGTACAGACGACTGGGAAGGGATCGGGAAAGAGGAACCGTGCAATATCATTTTCAAAATGGCGGCGCACATGGTCGGAAGCACGATGCATGACCAACCGGCAGAACCCCCTTCGTCTGACATTCCACAAGCAAATATCTCCCGGTTTAAGAACAAGCAAAAGAGAGCAGAAATGTACCGGAAAATGAAGGCACAGTTAAAGAAGGTAAGAGTCTTTTTTTTGTTTTGGTTTGTGTTGATCCGATTACGGGTTGTGGTTGTCTAGTTTCCGGACAGTACTGGATTCGCATTGCATTGTATGGCGATATTGCCCGTGTAGCGATTGTGAAGTAAAGGGCCAATGTAGTATCTAGAACTTAGCAACTTCTATGGTTGTGTACCAACTCTGGAGAGTTGAGTACATTTTCAAATGCTTTCTAATCCTATTCCTAACAGTAACACTAACAATACCCTACCTGCCTACACTGGCTACAGTAACAAAATTAAAAATGTTTTTCAGTTCCAACTTCCATGTCTTTTCAACATTTTTGCAACATTGGCTGACTCTTATTTCTCAGTGTTTATTATCCTATCCCCTTGCACAGCACAACAGTCTTTCTTAGGAAAGATTCCCATATCTGGCCATCCCTAATGTTTCTCTTTAGTGAGTATCAGCCATCAGAAAGTGATAATCTGATAATAGGCATATGTCCTAATTAAGTTTAGCAGGGAAAATATTGAAGTACATTGAATTTGAATTGTCAATGATTGTGTTAGTGAAAATAGGCTGCGTCATGCGGTCTGTATGGTAATCCTTACTTTTACCTTTAAGGTTAAAAGACTCACCAAAACAGCTGACTAAATGACACTCAAAAGTGACATTCTGGTATTTCTTGGCACATTTGAACAGTTGGCAATGACACCTCTTGAATATCAGCAGGTTTGATTTTGTAGAAAGAGGGCAGGGTTTTGATTTATGAGGGGACAATGACAAACAGAAAATAGATTTAAAAAGCAAGATGGCGAACTGCAAAAAAAGGTAGGAAAGTCACTTTTTCTTTGAAAGTGCTTTCAAAATTATAACTAACATGAGTTTGTCTGAAGAAAAAAGACTTCTTTAGCCTGCAAAAGTCACTTTGGTACTGGACAGTCATCTGCAAAAGTCAGTTTTGAACAGAACTCGTACAAAATAGAGGTGTCCTAAAAGTAACGATTACCGTCTGTATTGATATTGTACGCAATAATGGATGAGCGAATGTCCAAAGGTTTCCTGATACTGTGGTCATTGCGGTAGCAAAATATTCTTTCACTGAAATCTTCCAAAAACATTCAATTCCTTTGGAATACATAAAGATGTTTTAATCTTTCAAATAAAAGCAGAAAGTAAAGTACATGTAAAAAGTCTGACGCCTCATAGTTCCAATGCCTCATAATTCCCGAAGCCTCATAATTCCGATGCCTCATAGGTCCGATGCCTCGTACGCTTCGTTTATCTGACGTTGGACTTATGAGGCGTCGGACTTATGAGGCGTCGGACCCACGAGGCGGAATAAATAAATTGTAGGCCTCATAAGTCCGACGCCTCATAAGTTCGAAATTTAGGACTTATGAGGCGTTGGACTTATGATACGGCCTCATATTTTCACCCTTTAATTCTGATTCTTTTCTTTTCTTTAGCAAAAGTTGAAAGACAAGTCAAGAAAGAAGATGGAGAGAAAGGCATTAGGTGACAAGGTAAATGTCAAAAAAAATATTGGAAAACTGAAACTTAACAATTTGGCAACTTTTACTCGGATCGTCTGATTTCTCCTTTGTTTTACCTCTCTTGTACAGGTATGCCAATGAAATGAAAAACACTGCAGAGGGTCATGTAAATCTTGAAAATTCCTCTCTTTTTTGTGGCTTCGCGAATGCATGCCTGTTCACCATGGCATACAAGTGGAGTACTGTGCAAGTAACATCGCTTATAATCAGTCTTGTTCAGCTTGTGCTGACTATTGCAGTGGCGCACACAGGATTTGGTTGGGAGAGGGGCTCACAATTTTTTTTTTACACCCCTATTGCACCACTTACACCTGTTATAGCCTACTACTCCAAAATAGGCCACATACATATCACCAAGAGCAAATCGTGGGACAAAAAGAAGTGACTAAAACAAAAACAAACAAAAAACAAGAAATGAAAAATTGACAACCTCTTGGGAGGGGGGGGGGGCTCAAGCCCCGCCCAGGCCCCCCTTGTGTGCGCCACTGGACTTTTGTCTGGTACATATGTATCAACTACTTGAGTACCAAGTTTACAACCAAATATGGGGATGGTTTGGTATGAAAAGGAACAGTGCACAATACATGTATGCAATGGACACCAACATTTCTTATTTTATATATTTAAAATAAATGCAACACTTCCAGACCACATTCAGGTGGTTAAACAAACTAAGCTTTTATGACCCAAGTAAAAACAAGAAAAATTATGGGAAATGTTTAGCTCATATTTGTCATTTGTTTTGCAGGCTCCACCCAAGAAAGCCCCGAAGACCATTGAGAACATGAGGGTGTATGATGAGACAATGGTGGATCCACAGGACGAAGAGGTGGGCGCAGAGACATGATTTTTTTTTGGGGGGGGGAATCCTGCATGACTTAAGGTTCAGAGCCAAACTACAGTGTAAGGTGCACAAAGGTAAATGAAGGTTCTTTAAAATTGGAGTTGTTTGCTTGAGGGTTTTTTTTTTGGGGGGGGGGGGAGCTATTTGTCCTTACTTGCAGCAGAAGCTGAACTGCAAAGGACGCACCCTCAATGCAGTTGGGCCAAAGGCATGTAAAGGCAGGCTGCCACCATACAGCCGTGTCTAGCCAGATCGAAGTATGGCTTTTTGCAGAGGAAGGAAAACAAGTGAACCCGGAGACAAACCCTAATGGCACAGGAGAAATTCAACGAACAACATATATGACCCGAGCCGGGAATCAAACCTGGGCCACAGTGGTGAGAGGCAAGCACTTTATGCATTGTGCCGCCCATGCAATTATAACTTAAAGAAAAAAAGGTTAACATTACATGTGTGAATCTAATGAACAAACCTAGTCCAAAAATTTGGGACACTCAATACTGTGTATGAGAGTCCCAAAACTTTTAAGATAGTGAAAATATGCAATACAAGAAAATAGACTGGCACATGCAACAACCTGTCCAACACCCCTTTTGGGCCCGTGACCATTCAGCCCCGGTATGAAAAGGGCCCCCCGGTAAGCTCTTCCCCTCCCAAGAAGTCCTTTCGTACCGTCCCAGCTACTGGCCCAGGAGCTGGTCCGGTTGCTAATCAGGAACTCCTCTATCCTGGGGTCTATTGTTGCAAATATTGACACATGTAATATATCCCAGAAGAAACCCGCTTGTGGTTTTCATCTCTCAGCGCGAAACAATAGAACACTTTCGTCGGCAAAGATCAAAACCCCTGCCATGCGGTTTCGCGCACAATGGGACCGTAAGTTACCAAGGCGTTATGGAAGGATTTTATCTTTAATCCGGTAAGTCTGCTATTGTTCTGCTCTGGACGTTCTCTGAAGGGCAATAAATTGATGCGCCTGACTGACTTCAAAACTTCTGGTCAGACAGGACCATGTACCGGACGAGACTGGGCTGAAGACCGGACTGGCTTTGGACCGGACGAGGTACCGGGGGGCCCTTTTCATACCAGGGCTGCATGGTCACGGTCCCTTAGTTAGTACTACATCAATCAACTGTATCAAAAGAAACATCTGATACCAAGCCCAACTTATACACTTTCTCACCATAGTCATGCCAACCAGATTACTGAATGGTCAATCTTTTCAAAGAGTTGGACATGTACCAGTCTAGATATCAAATTGCAATCACTTTGCCTCACTCTCAGGTGCAACTTGTTGTAGAAGGTCTCCTTTAAAAATTGAATTGAAACCTGGAACTTGGCTGGTGACATACTGAGGACCTTGTCTTTACCTCTTTCAAATTTTGGAGAATTGGCCTGATTTTGGAGTGAAGTTGGGCTGATTTTGTTCTGCATGTTTTTCTGCACTGAAGTTATTCTGCGCTCTGGAACGGACCCAAGCAAACAAGTGTAACGTAGCATTTTGCTATAAAGTGAGAACGCATGTAGTGCATTGGTCTTCATTGGTTCTCGGCTTATTTTTGCATAGTACATATATTTTCGAGGCACCAAGGTTTTCTTACTACAGTACACTGTTTGACTTCTTGCAGGTGGCTCATGATGAAGAGCACGATGAGATGGCGTCATACTTCAACCGTGAGACGCAACCCAAGGTCCTCATAACTGCGTCTGATGTAACGAGATTTGTAAGTATGCATGCACAGACTTTAACCCTAACTGCCCTGAATCCTTCAAAATCATCTTTGCCAAAGTGGAGGAATTTGGAGGATTGAGGTTACATGGCAGTAGTGCATTACTGATTTTGTAGGATGCACTTTGTCAAGGTCGTGGGCCAGACCTTGTGTTGTTTTTGCTCAGCCATGCATAAATATAGGCCTGGATTATGCTTGAAATCCTCCGCACTGCTCCAGGATGTCACTGGCCAAGCCTCAACATATTGACTGTCACTGCCGCAGGATTTTGCAGGATTCAGGCAATGGTCACCCCTCCACGGACCATATTCAAGAAATAATGGAGGAATTTGCAGGATTGAGGCTATATGCTATTTTTCCATGAGGCTAATTGGAGGATTTTGCAGGATTGAGGCTACGTCCTAGCAAAAGGCTTAGGGAGTTAGGGTTAATGACCTGAAGTCGTATTGTTTATTATTAAATAGAATTTGAGTTGGGAGATGTAAATTTGGGTTTGCTCTTCGATGACGTATTTTTATAAACACTGTATACACAGTGTTGTCCGAGGGCTTGCAAGAACAATTCTAGTACCCGCAGTACCTGCTTCTGTATCAGACTCAAACCGGTCAGCCGACCCTTGCAAGCTCGGTGGTCGAGTGGTAGGATGTCAGCACTGGCAAACAGGAGGTCGTGGGTTCGAGTCCCACCCAAGTAACATTGTAAATAATATTGGGTTCCCCGTTACCGACGTACAGACGGTACAGTTACAGACTCTGTATGCTTTAAATTCATTGGGTGCTTGTAAGTAAAATCCTCAAAAATGTTTGCGATGTAGTTCTTGGGAGAAAATTACCCAGCATACAGTGCTTATAACATTAACCCTTCAAGTGAGAAGTCAATATTCTGAGCAATGTGTGAAACACTTAAAAACCCTGCAGGTCAGTTTCAGGTGAAGGGATATGAAGTGTTAAAGTCACTCTGTCACACAGAGAGTCACTTTGCACACACACAAAAACAGAACTGCGAAGATGTAGAGCGGTGAAGCATGATCGAATCTGCCTGCTTGCCCTGAGCTTAACCACACAAGAATTGAGCAGGGATTTGAAGTGTTATCCATATTCCAAAGAAGATTACCTCAAAGGAATTTGAAGTGTGGGTGTTAACTCTATGGGTAAAAGCGGTTTTGCAAAACCCAAAGGGTTGTGAAGTGCAGAGGTCTAGGAAGATTAAAACATTAAGATAATATCTGTAGCTCATCTTAGCACCATACTTCTGTTATGAAACGATTCACTTCACAAACGCATCGCTCTCTGTCATTCAAATCCTCAAATCACAACTCACTTAAATTTCATCGTAACTTCAAAATAACACTCATGAAGTGATCGAGATTCTCACTAGGACCTCTCAACAAGTTTCAGTGATCTTTTCTTTTGACTTCCCTACAGAAATGCAAACTATTCTGTCGACAGCTGCAGACCTGCATCCCAAACTCGGAGGTCTTCGCTCGACGCCGCTCTGCTTTAAAGAAGGTCATCCCGCAGGCTATAGAGAGGGGATTCACAGATCTCATCGTCATCAACGGAGAAAAGAAATTACCTGGTAAAATACTCCACTGTGAAGACTATTCACCAGTTGACACTTAATACAATTTCTTTCATTGTGTTTTCTTGAAAGGGATTTGTTTCCGGTATGTTTCAGTAAAAGGATTGTCATGTGGAGTGCTGTTGCCTCGTGGTTAAGGGCACTGGATTCGTGGTCTGTGGGTAATGCTGCGGGTTCGAGTCCAGCCGGGGTCATGGTGCGTGTGCCCTTGAGCAAGGCACTTTGTCACTCGTTGCTTCTCTCCGACCAGGAGTAAATGGGTACCTGTGAGGGCAGAGATGGTGATTGTGATTGAATAAGCTTGCTTGCGCCTAACAGGCAGCATCGAGCTGTATACTCCCCAGGGAGCTGAAATGGTATTTAAAATGTTTAATTGGCCCAATGATCAGGGGTAATAATGATACTGTAAGCGCTGTGATTATTTTACTAATAAGAGGGTTCTTAAATGCCGCTTATTATGTGGCCCACTTTCAACTTTAGGCCCTCAACATGCCAGGTGCAACACAGTTAAGCAGGGGTCAAAAGGCTGTGGGACCATGGTGCATGAGATTTATAGTCTACATTCTTGTTAAAGGGAATATACATCATTTGCTTTTGCTGTAATTTTCAGAAATGGATGGATTTGGGGGGTTGGTAATATAGCAAATATTGTTACACTTACTTTTTTGAAGTTTTGGGCTGTAAATACTATAAAAACCAAGAAAACAATCATTTTCCTGTAGTATGCTTCCCGGACTACATTTAAGATGAAACTAGTTTATAGACATTCGGGAATTGTAAGGTCAGGGAACCAGTCTAGCTGGCTTGTACCCGTTCATAGATGTGTAATCGATTGCAAACAAATGCGATGGTCATTGGGGCCAGTATTTGGGGAAAAAAGGCTTTTTTTTAACGCTGGTCGTCCGACCAGCATTGGAAATTGATACAAAAATACCATTTTCTTGGAAATGACAGTATACCACGTGCCACGATTTTACAGGATGCTTTACACTGTCATTCACTAACAGTCCAGCAAGGTATTTCAAAACAATTTGGAAGGTTAATTTTTTGATGTTTGCAAATGTTGAATTTTCCCTTTAAAAAGACAATTAACGGATGTGTTTGTCGCTGCCTGTGTCTTTGCCTGTAGATGCCATGCTGATATGCCATCTGCCTGACGGACCGACTGCACATTTCAAACTCACCAACGTGAAACTGAGGAAGGAGATCAAGGTAGGCTTTTAGTGTTTTGTGACGGGGGATTAACAAGAAGAGTGTAGGCTTTTTAAAGGTCCCATGCAACATATGTTTTTTAATCAGACCTTGAAAATGCACCTTTGAGTTCCATTTATCCTTATTTTTAATTTTTGTTTTGCCATTTTCAAGGGTATTTTTTTGCCTTTTTGGTTTTTATGCTAAGGCAGATTTCTCTATTCATGAGCAAAGGTGTGATGTCAATCCAGACAGAAACCTCGATGTTACAGCTATTTCAGTACAAAAGGTTGCTAGAATTTTGGATATTTTGCTGTCATAAATTTTCTTTTCTTTGAGGATTCGTGGTTGTGTCTGAGCAAACTTTCTCACATATGTTTTCAACGAGAACATTTTGGGGTTCGCAATTTGAACAGAAGAAAACCCTTCAACTGAACAGTGTCTTCTTGAAATGGCATCACAGCAACAGCGCCCTCTGTTGTCCGTAAAATCAAGAAAATGTTTAAAGAGGTGCACTTTTCAATCAAATTAACCAAAAAGGATGTCTGATAGTTTTCATACATTTAAGAGGATTAGACAGTTGCACAAAATGTGTTTTTAAGAACAATTTTTTGCACGAACCCTTTAAACTTGGAATACCACATCGTTACTTGGGGTGTGATCCCTGGCTACATGGCATAAACAGGTTTATGGCTTCTGACTAGCGCCCCTTGAACAAAGACAATGACAAAATGGGGAACCGCCAACATAGGGCTGGATAGCTCAGTTGGTAGAGCACTGGAACGGCAATCCAGAGGTTGCAGGTTCAAGCCCCACTCCAGTCAATGTCTTTGTTCAACTTAAACAAACTTATAATCCACTGTGAACAGTCCAATATTCCTTTTAATACTCCTTGACTCATTGCAAAAAAAACATTTGGCACTATTCCATTGAATTTCAAACATGACATGAAATAATCGACCCACTCTGTTTCTCCCAAACCAGAAATGTGGTGAAACAACAGACCATCTGCCGGAGCTTATCCTGAACAACTTCAACACCAGACTAGGGCACAGCGTCGGGCGCTTGATTGCCTCCCTCTTCCCCCACGACCCCGACTTTGTAGGACGGAGAGCCGTCACGTTCCACAACCAGAGAGATTACATATTCTTCAGGCATCACAGGTAGGCCTAATGAAAGCCTTGCTATTGTTGATTGCTTTCCGGAGGTACTGCATGTAACACCCTCTTCAAGGGAGCAAATTGATCTCTCTCACACGTCATCTCTTTCATTAACCCTACCTCCTACGTAGTTTTACTAAGTCGAAGACCATGTCCGTCAAAATCCATCACTCACTCTGATTCACATAATGCTTCAGGACCAAATCCGTTGAAATCCACCACGGGTGCTGGTGGATTTTGATGGACTTGGTACGCATGGCTTATCTACCAAAATCCCCCAAAATGGGGGGATGGATTTTGATAGAGTTGGTAAATAAATACAATGTAGTAATTTACAATTGCATATGACTGACTGTCTGCAGCAATTAATACCTTGTCATCAACCCCGACTCTATGGGCTCCGTCCGCAACAAGAGAGGCTGCTTATTTGTGACCGGCTCCTCAAAAAAAAAGGGTATTAAGTCGCCCTTAGCATTATTGTGTAATGGCCCGCTCAACATTGAGAGGGTGAACATTTTGTCAAAATGTGATTTTCTTTTTTGGCATGAATGTCATCTTTAATACCTACAGTTTCAGGTTTCATTCACAGAAACGTTGATTTTGATGTACGTGTAAAAAGTGGGGAAAACAACCATTTTGTGTGTGTTTTCTATTGCTATACAACACAGTCAGCTATTTCAAGGTCCGTTTTCTCAGTTGTGTAATTTGAACTCCAAGGAAGTAATTAATATGCAAATACGTCATATCTCCAGAACGGAAGGGGCTATGGAGCTCTATTATATACCAAATGAAAGCTAACATTGTGGGATTTCCAACCATGTACATGTATAACTCACTTTCACTTTTTTTGCAACATACAATGTAGTACCCTTTTTTGTGGAGCCGGTCGCATTTTTACCACTTTTGAGAGCCCCGTGGACATTACACACCGTGTGCGTTTACTTGTTATCGCAATGTAAGCACAAATATGTTTATTCTGAATGTGCAGAAAGCCATAGCATCTTCGTGTGAGTGTGAGGCGTTGTTTCAGAAATGCACTGGAATGTCTCTCCCAGTGGTCTCCCCCAACTCTCCCTTTCTTACCACTGAGGGGGTACTTGCGAACGGAGCCCATTGGTCCAAATCTTGTTTCATTGGTTCTTAGTGTAGTCCAATCGCTTCTGACAAGGAGACCCCCTTCATTAGCAAAAGCATCGTGCCAGTTATTTTTCCGATAATCCGTCATGGAACAATAGCTACCACAATGCCTTCGCCATTAAAAGGAACTCCAAGTGTGCGCTGTGATCACCTGCCCAGATTCTTCATTGGGGAAATTCAAGAAAAGGAAAGCACAGTAAATATGTTAAACAGTCCTTCTGATTTGAAAATCACAGGCGTGTGGAAAAAGGCACACCTGGATTTTTCTAGGCGTGTGTTTTTTCTAGGTGTATGATCTGTGGTCCAGGGAAATTCAGGCGTGCAATTATTCACACTCCTCGAGAAGCTTTTAGGTGTGCGATGGTGTGGGGGTGCGATCGCACGCCTCTAATCAGAAGGACTGGTTAAAGATGAGTACATTCTGTCACGAGCCTATATGGCCTATCAGGCAGGTGGATATCTCCGGTTTCCTTGGCACGAAATGACTGAGAATATCCCATTTCCCCCTAGATGGGATGCTAATCCATCGCAGGTTACTCCCCCTGCTAATGCCAGTGGATATGTAGGATATCCTATGGACTATAGGATATTCCATTTTGTATTTGGCAAAATGTTGGAAGTTTTATTTGTCACACACGTAACAGTCACACGTTACACAAATGTTACCTGTGTGATCGTTATATTTTTTGTGATTTTTAAGTTTTTCAGATTTTGTTTATTTTTAGTTAGAGTACAGAGTATTTAGTATGTTAGGGACTATGAAACTAAGGCCAAAAAAAAAATGTTTGGTCTCTGGTCAGATCAAAGTTCTGGAATTGATGCGGGGACGCGGCTTTTTTTTTTTTTTGCTTTTTTTTTTCTTCAAGCTTGGATTGTACAGACAAGGTGGGGTACTATTTTGCTTTTTTTGGTGTCCTCATGTACACTGGTGTCCTCCATAATTTGCCTTGGTGCTCTCGATCATTTGCCTTGGTGCTACCGCGGAACATTTTGGAAAAAAAAAAGATTGACGCGCATGATTAAAATCGACGCGCGCGCTTACCAGAGACCGACTTATTTTAATTTTTTTTTGGCCTAAATCATGATTTTTTTATTTCTCGGTGGTTTTCTTTGTATTATAACTTTGATACTATTTGTAAGTTTTGTCACATGTGTGACATGTGTTTCACAACAATTTATACAAAACAAAAACAAAAACGTATAAATTGGCTTAAACTCCCCTAAAAATGATTTTTGTTATTGTTTCATTTGGATGTAAAACTAGTTAAGAATATTCCCAGTAATAAATGTTGTACCTTCACTTAACAAAATATACATAGCAAGAAAAAAATACATGAGAAACAAGAAAAGCATATTTTTGGGGTAGGCCTACAATTTGTGGGGAAAAGTTTTTAAAAAAAATTAAAAATCAATTTTCATTGAAATCTAGTGGTACATTTTCTGGCTGCATTGACACTTTTTTATTTTCATAAGGTGAAGTTGTTGTAGTGGCACCATGTGGCAAAATCTCTTTTGTGAGTATGTGTGGTTCTGAAAAGAACCAGAGGGACTCAACGTTTCGAACAGTATGCTCTGCCCGTCGTCAGGAGACTGTTATTATTTTTTTTTCTGAAATAAAAAATTCATATATTCTGTCACATGAGCAACTAAATAACATCGGCCTATAAATAGTTAAACATTTGGATGTTCAGTCATTTCCAGAGAATGGCCCTATTCTATAATCCCAACAGTGATCCACATTACACAATATATGCCTTCCAATTTTTAAAAAAAAAATTTTTTATGAATCATGATGCAATTGTATCACCCTGAATTCACATCCATCCCACACAGTCCCAGGAACAGTACAATCCTGTTTCAATTCACTTGAAACAGGGACTCAACGTTTCGAACAGTATGCTCTGCCCGTCGTCAGGAGACTGTTATTATTTTTTTTTCTGAAATAAAAAATTCATATATTCTGTCACATGAGCAACTAAATAACACCGGCCTATAAATAGTTTACAATTTGGATGTTCAGTCATTTCCAGAGAATGGCCCTATTCTATAATCCCAACAGTGATCCACATTACACAATATTTGCCTTCACAATTTTTATATTTTTTTTATGACTCATGATGCAATTGTATCACCCTGAATTCACATCCATCCCACACAGTCCCATGAACGGTACAATCCTGTTTCAATTCACTTGAATGCCCACCACCAACCCCCTAGCAGAACTAATGTCAACATTCGACACCTCCTGAATCCTGTGCTTTCAACTGAGATGATATCTTCAGGGGACATTTATCCATTCAACTTATTCAACATTCCTATGTTTGTTTTCACTACGACATTTTGTGACAGATTTCAAGTCATGCAATTCCTCTCTATCTCTCTCCCTCTCATACTTTTTTCTTGCCTGTGGGAACATTAGATCCGATAAGGGGTGAGACATTTAAAGTAGACGTCTAAGATTCATGGACTGTGAACAGATAGCTTTTAAACCAATTGAAGTCGTTGAATCGGCTATAAGAGGCTGATAAACCTGATGGACTGCGTAAAATACTGTTAGCATCATGGTCTTGGGAGCACAGGTCGTTGGCCCGTTCATACTCGGCGTGCAACGAAACTCAAGTGCACATTTGTGATGTCGTGGTGATTTTTTGTCCTGCCAGTTCACAAAAAAAGAGCACATTTTATTGCCGGCAAATGTGGCCGCGATTGTTTCATGGTCCTGGGAAAACAGGTCATAGGCATAGAGGCTGGTTCATACTCGTCTGTAAGCAAATTGTGTGAATTCACAAAACTGGCAAATTTTGCTGCAAATGTTTTGTGACGTCCATTTTGCTAATCATTCGCATTACATGTACGTGAAAGGTGGCTCTTTTTTTTTACTAAGAGCCTAAAACCATGTGACACTTGCAGTCACAAATGAGCCTGACTTTTTTTATTTTTTTTTTAATGGTGCTGTGGGCCCTTGGCATTTTTTATTAAAGTTGTCCTGTCCATTTTGGGGTTTCAGTTATTTTCGATTCCTTTTTTTGCCTAGAAAATAAAGAAAGTTATTCACTTTTGAAGGAAACATCGATTGATAAATTGGCCCACATTTAGTCGTGGAATAACTTTTTAAATATTAGCAGCCTGACAATAATCCAGTTCTCACAAATAAACTGGTTCGTAACACCTGATCATTATTATATCTTGTAGATACATCTTCAGGAATGCAAAAAAAGTGGGTCTTCAAGAGCTTGGTCCAAGGTTCACACTCAAGCTACGCTCACTTCAAAAGGGCACATTCGACACCAAGTTTGGCGAGTATGAATGGGTGCATAAGGTGAGTCCATTGTTCTCTCTCTTTTCATTCAAGTATCAAACTAATATATTTACAGAGGACAAGTTTTTCTTATCAAGGTTTTACTGAGCTAATATCCTGATGAGTTATTCCCTACATGTGGCACCGCATAGAATATGTGATGCGAACAAGCTAAATGAGTGGTTTGTCTGAAACTGTCATTTGAAGATTCAGGCCAAAATAGGGCCACTTCATCACATCACTTCATCACATCTCTTGGTGTTCCGACTTCCATAATGTTTGAACTAAAGATGGTATCAGCATGTGGTTTTCACATCAGTAATCAAGTAATCTTGATGCAATCAAGCTACATGCATGACATGAGTCGTTTGTCGTAAACTTTTATTTGAAGATTCAGGCCAAAATAGGGCCACTTCATCACATCACTTCATCACATCTCTTGGTGTTCCAACTTCCATCATTTTTTAACTAAAGATGGTATCAGCATGCGGTTTTCACAGCAGTAATACTGAGATTGTGCTCTTTTCAAATCTGTAAAAAAAAAATTGACCAGGGTTGATAAATGACTCATTACTTGATCGCATCACATATGTGATCCCATGAAAGGACTTTCATCTCTCATTTATTCCCCACTTACATTAGAAAGAGCATTCTCAGCCTATTTAGAATATTACACATTTGACATTATTGTCAATTTTGATTAAACATGTTTGTCCGTTCATGGGCAAAATGGTGGGGCAGATAAAGGACATTTTGGGGGAATTTTAAGTCATGAGAAAGATAATTCAAGTATATTCAAAATTTTAAAAATGGCCGCCATTGCTAGATATTCTACCTTTATATTTTCAAAAGACAAATGTGCGATAGCCCTATAGCCAAATATCTTTCTCACGAATGTGTACCAAATTCCATGCTTGTATCATAAAAGGCACAATGCCATCTCACTATCAGCTGTACTAAAAGAAAATCACTACTTCCTCTTGATGTTTTCTCTGTACCAATTTTGTATAAAAGGACCTGTATGTGTGTGTCTTTGACAACCTTTTTTTTTCCCATTTTGTACGGTTTTAGTCAGTGTTGGAATGCTCCGTACACATAGACAATTATTTGTTTAAATTATGGCTGATTCGAAGTCGTATATTTGTTACCTGCTTGGTATACAAATTCTACAATTGTAATATCCGTCAGTCACAGATGCATATAAAGTTAATTGTTGCGTAATTCAGTAAATTATGATTTGTACAAAGACTTTGCAAATAGTACAGATGGTACTGTAGCTCATAAGCATGAAGAAAATTGGTAATACAGAACATGCACATGTATACAAATTGTATGTATGAGTGAAAAATGATTACATTGCACACAGCAATTGTTTCGTTTTTTTATTGCCTATGAATACTGGAATGTAATTACAGAGACTGGTTACAACTGGGAAGAGGGAATTCTACAGAAAATTAATGAAGAGGCTGGCGTGGCTCGGTACAAAGCATGCCCCCCGGTTGCTGGGATTTTTGCCAGAAGGGGGAAATCACCTTAAATGTAGTAAGGTGGAAAAGCACTATCCAGAGAGGCGAAAAACACTCCAAAGTAGCAAAGTGACAAACCATCGGCAGGGTTGGGCTCAATTCTGAGGCATTATTTAGTGAAAAATGGGAATTGCATTCCGCTTTCCCCTTATTTTCTTTTTCTTTCTGTTTGCCCTGATTTCCTGGGACGGACAGGTGCCACTCCCCCCCCCCTTGTCCCCCCCCCCTTTGCCCGCTCCCCCCCCCCCTTTTTTCCCCCTCCCTTTGCCCCCCCCCCCCCCTCCCTTTTGGACGCACATGATTCAAAATACTACATTGTGTGTCTCTCTCAGTTATTTTCCACAAATAAACAGGCATGCAACTTTTCCTAGGATCCACTGATTCCTCAGGTTTTTTTTTTTACTTCTCATGAACATGATGAATGCCATTACAAATTGAAAAACACAGTACAAAGTCTTGTGTGGTTTGGAATTTCCTCGTTTTTTCCCCCCTAAATTCCCAGTTGCATGCCTGAAATAAACCAGAAAAGTGTATGCTGAAATGCATGCTTGAAGCATGCTGAAATGCAGATTTTTGTTGTGAAATGTGAATACCCTGCCGTATTTAGTGCAACACCTGTCATGCCTGTGCTTTGTTGTGTATCAGGTACCGGGTTCCTGACATACACCACCTGCTCAAAACCTTTTAATCTTCATGATTTTGTCACGAAAAGTTCCTGTTTGCTAGATCCTGATTCAGGGAATTGTGTTGTTTTTTTTCTGATGGACTTGTAAGTAGATGTCACAGAAAAGGAAGCATTATAGCATTTCAGTATAATCGTTGCACCTTCATTGTAATGTGAATTTGTAAATTTGGCCTTTATTTCTCTTCAGTGATGCCGTAGCTACTCGTAGATCAGTCAGCTTAAAGGGAAAATACAACATTTGCAAACATCAAAAACCAAACCATTTTGAAATACCTTGATGGACTGTTAGTGAATGACAGTGTAAAGCATCCTGTAAAATCATGGTACCTGGTATACTGTCATTTTCAAGGAAAGTGGTATTTTTGTATCAATTTCCAACGCTGATCGGCCGATCAGCGTTGGAAAAAACTGGCTTTTTTTTCAAATACTGGCCCCAGTTGAGCATCGCACTTGTTTGCAATCGATTACACACCTATGAACTGGTACAAGCCAGCTAGACTGGTTCCCTGACCTTACAATTCCCCAATGTATGTAAACTGCTCTGTTTCTTCTTATATGGAGTCAGGGAACCAGACTACAGGAAAATGATTGTTTTTCTTGGTTTTTATAGCGTTTTCGAACCCCAAACCTCAAAAAAGTCAGTGTAACTATATTTACTATATATTTCCAACCCCACAATTCCATCCACCTCTGAAAATTACAGCAAAAGCAAATGATGTATATTCCCTTTAAGCACATTACTTGAAGACAATTGTGCAATGTATTAACATTAATGTCCAGTGTGCTATGTAAATGTTTGCATTTGTAGAGTACACACGTATTGTGTACTATTCAATACAATTTTTATTTTCACATGATGCAGGAGTATTTACTTCTCGTATACTCAAATGCCAGCATTCTTTTCGCTTTTCAATTTGAATGGGAGCAATTTCCCTCAACAATCGACTGATGCACTTGCCATTTTCTCCTGTCGGTTAAATGGAGTGGTGGTTGTCATGGCAATCAGGTGCTGGACGTTAATGAAAGAGGTATCGCCTTGGTAACGCTTGGAAAGATGGCGATGGTTAATTGTGCGGAGGCGTTCAGTTCTGCTCATTGTCATAAAGGAGAAAAGACCTGCCTTTGTGCTGTCAAAAGGCTTACAATAATCGGACATAAAAAGTCAAGGATGTCCCTTCCGCTACGTTTTGAACAAAATGCATCACTAAATATTATTGTCATTTATTTGGGTAATGATGTTACACACAAACATCGCACAGCATTGGCTATAACACACTATGTTCATGTATTGTTACATAATGTACACGTATGTACATGTACTCAATAAGCCACGCTGCATGTACATGTACATGTATACATTTGTATGTATGACATTTGCAAATAAAAAATTAAAACAAAAACAAACCAAATTATTATGAAATACCAGTACATGTACATTGTACCTTACTTGACTGTAAGTGAATAGCATCCTGTGAAATCATGGCACCTAGGCTGGTGTGCTGTCAGGAAAAGTGGAATTTGTTTATCAATTTCCAACGATGGTCGGCTGACCATCGTTGAAAAAAAATTGACTTTTTTTTAAATTTAAATACATGTACTGCCCCCACATGTTTGGTCCACATTTTGTTTGCAATGGGTTACACATCTGTGAACGGGTGCAAGCCAGCTAGTCTGGTTCCCTGATCTGACAATTCCCCGACGTCTATGAATTGCTCTGTTTTGTCTGAAGTAGGGTCAGGGAACCAGACATCAATTACATACTGTACAAGAATGTATTTTTTTTCTTGGTTTAATTCTAGCGTCTATGATCTCAAAACTTTAAACAGGAAAGTGTAACAGTATTTGCTATAAAATTTTAACTCCCAAATACATGTACATAATATCCATTTCTGAAAATTATAGCAACTAGGCAAGTGTTGTAAATTATGTACATGTACTCCCTTTAAACATGTTTAATTTGATGTGCTCACATACATTTGTACATGCATGCAGCTGAGACAAATTACTTTTTTTTCTGTTTGGGTGAAGGCCCTTGGAGTATACATGTAGAGTATCGGATGCAATCAAATTTACGAAACCTCTTGATCACTTAATATTATTTTCTTCATTTTATTATACATGTACCCTGTACATGTCTGTTTCCCCCGAGAGATATTGCCAGCATGTATTGTAAATTGGAATAATACATGAACATTGTAAAATTTAAATTCCAATCTTAAAAGCGTGGGAGTAGTTTTCTCTCCATTTCAATTTTCAACATTCAAGGAAATATTAAAACCTGGTATATGCCCCATACCCTGAGCATTAACTTTTGATTAAACATTTTCTTATTCACTTTATATTTTTGTCTTATTATTTTCATCACAGAGACACGAAATGGAAACAAGTCGGAGGAAATTCTTCTTGTAGTTTCTTACATTTTTTTTCAGCGGGTTTCAACTTCAGAAGGTCTTGAGGTAATTATTTTAATTTAATTCATGTATTTACTTCTGATCTGTACTCTTCACCAAGGTTGACAAAAGATGGAATTGTCAAGCAAGGTTTTTGTCAAGAATTATATTGTTTTACTCCCATTCATTGCGTGTTGTATTTTATACACATACCGGTATTGTGACTCTGAATTGAAGTTAACTGTCAGCTTGTGGACTTTTTTTTCTTTTTTTAAAGAGGCAGTGTTTATAATTTAAACTGTTCATTATTATAGTGGCATGTTTTAAGGGCAGAGTGCACTGTCTCAACAATTTTTGTTTTTGTATTTCATTCCATAATGTTTGAAGGGCCCATGCAATGTAATTAGTGCAATGCAGTCCTCAGAGATGGACCTTTGTGTCTCATTTAACCCTACATGTATTTTCAATTTTCGTTTTGCCATTTTCAAGGGTAATTTTGGTGCCTTTTTGGTTTTTATGCAATGCTAATGCCAATTGCAAGTTCCATATTCATGAGCAAAAGTGTGATGTCATTTGAGGCAGACACCTCAGTGTTGCAGGTAATTCAGTGCAACTTGCCAGAATTTTCGATATTTGACTGTCAAAATGTTCTTTTCTTTGGTGATTTGTTTTTGTGTCAGTACATTGTACATGGCAGTAAGCGAATGAGCAGACTTGTTTCACATGTTTTCAATGAGCAATTTTTTTGGTTCACAGTTTGAACAGTATACCGTAAATGAACAAGGTCTTCCTGAAATGACATCAAAGCAACCGTGCCCTCTGTTGTCCGGAAAAGCATGAAAAATGTTTAAAGAAGTGCACTTTTGAATAAAATTAACCCAAAAGGGATGTCAAATAGTTTTCAAACGTTTAACAGGAGTAGAAAGTTGCACGAATTACATTGTACACTATGTACATGTTCCTGAGAAAAATTAATGTCATTGCCCTTTAAATGAAACACACACACACATTATACAATCATTGAACTGTTGAATATTAGAGTCTTTATTCATTATATCACCTTCAGTTCAGTTGGGATAATAATATCAGAAACAATCACCCTTTTTAATAAAAATTCCCCCTGAGAAGAGTATTGGTCTCCGGTTATAGACACATCTGCTTGTTTTTATCCCCTTTCAGTTAAGAGAAACAGTCGATACATTTGAACAGCTGCTTAAACTAAACAAAACAATCTTGTCATTTTTTTTCATTATTTATAAACTTCCCGTTGCCACACAAGCTCGCAAAAGTGAAAGCTTACATGCAATGTCGAGTTATTAATTAAAAGACAAATCTACCAGTGAGCTAATTTCCTTGGCAGTTTCATGTGTGGACGCTTGCTTAAAAACAGCTCTCTTTGAGTTTTTGCAAGTAAATCAACCTTTGTAAAAATGTCTACAATATTTTATTCTTTCCATTCTTCCTCCAAATTCGAATATTAACCAACATCAGTGGATGATTGCATAGACATCCGCTGAAAAAAAACACCTTTTAAATTATATTTGCACTCTTGCCTGCTTCGAACACCCACCAGTATATAAAATGCATAAAATATAACATACATGTATGACAAAAATATTCAAGAGCGAGTATACTTGTGCAAACAGTGTTTGTGCACTATGGTAAATATATATAGATTTACAAATGTGCATTTTTACACAGTTACAACTAACGTAGGGTTGCACTTGCTATTTAAAAATATGTCCATGTAGCAATGACATGTTTGCGTAATTGTTTAAATTATAACTGGTTAAATGTGTAAAATGAATTGGAACCATGGTCCTCTTTTATCTGTGAATCATTGTTGCAGATTAAAAAGAAAAACACCATCTGCGGGAACAAGTTGGTCTCTAAATATTTCTGAGCATGGGCTTCATCTGAGTACGAGCTTCAATTGGCAGCTTGGTTTCAGCACCAGGATTGTCATTGTTCAAAATCCAAGATATGGACACAATGCACAGTGTACGCTTGCTTCGGACAGCTTTTGTTATTTAAATTCCTCTATAATGAAAACACAAAGAACCTATCCATGCGCATGGCAGAGGCACTAATACCTGCCCTCAGTTGTGACATCAGTTGCAACAGGGCTACACATTTCAAAAGTGAACCACTCACAAAGTAAATCTTGCAGTAGTGACCGAGGGCTCTAGAATTTGTTTTAAAATTTCTCAAAACGTAGCATAAAGCCACCACAACTGCTAAAATGCAGAGCAACAAGACCCAGGGAACATCTTGTGGGATATTATAGGACGTAGTGGAGTAATCAATCTATAAATTTGTTGAACATGTCTTCAGACACGTTCGTAAATGTTTAAAAATACATTATTACAAGCCATGGAATTAAAGGTTTTACATGACAAAACGTTCATAAAGTTCATCTCAACAATTAAACAGCATGGGGCAATTAAAGATTGACATTGTCAAAATCCTTATAGCATAACAAACATGTACGCCTTTGACAGTGTTATTCCTTTAATAAAACATGTTCACCTTTAAAAAAAAAAAAAAAAACGAAAATAACCAACATTGTCCCTCTGTTTTCGTTCCATTAATCTCTCTCATTAGTTATCATGCTCAAAGATCACATTTTTCCATTAATGACCCACATTCTGCACATAATTCGCTCTACCCACAGCACACCCATAAAATTATCTCTACTTTCAGTCAGCCAGCCGTTTGTTCATTTGCTCATCTATCCATCTTGTCAAGCACATACATGTATCTACTCTGTCATCCATTACCAATTCTTCATATAGACCTCATTTACGATGTATAACTTAGCGTCTGTTAGACTACCTGTCTATACCTGTCAACTCGTTCCCTTCTCGTTCATTCATCCACCCGTTACCGATTCACCTATCGGTTTGCGTCATCCTTCATTCTGCATTTTAATAAATGATGGACCGACAAACAAGCATCAAAGCAATCAGGTTAAGTAAGACTGATCAACCAACGGACGACTTGACTGACTGACCGACACCAACTGACAAACTCACAGAAACCAAATTGAAAAACCAACCAACCGATGAACCACCTGACAAACCAACTATCCCTGTACTGAATACAAATTGATGGACACTTTTGAACAACCCGCTGGTCAATGGACACCCATCGACAAACTGACCAAAAAACAACCAACAGATTTAATCCATCAACCATTCAGAACAACAGCCAAATACTCACCTTGATATTTTTTTGCATCCCGCTGCACCCATCGTCTGTACTCGTACCCATCGCGCTTCACCCACCCATCACACCTTTGCCAATCTATCCTTGCACTCAGTGCTCCTCTATTCCCACTCTATTTTCACTCTGTCAATTCGCAAACCTTACCCAGTACCCATTCATTTGCCCATACATCCATTCAGTGATACCAACCCATTCACCCAGTGGTACCACCCCATTCACCCGGTGATACCCACCCATTCACCCAGTGGTACCGCCCCATTCACCCAGTGGTACCACCCCATTCACCCAGTGATACCCACCCATTCACCCAGTGATACCCACCCATTCACACATTCAACCACTCATTTAGGTCAGTTTCATGAAACTGCTCATCACAGAAAAACAATTGCTAAGCACAAACAGGTTACAATGTACCTGTCAATAGATCGATGCATGTACATTGATTGCTACCGTTTCTTTAAGCTTCATTTCTGCTTAGCCTTTAATTTGCCACGCAATATTTTTCTGCTGATCAGTCCTGTGAAAATAGCCCTGGTTCACCTGTAAAAGACCAAACAGTCAACCAAAAACCCCACCCAAGGGATGCCTTTATCCCGATCTTCATCCTTTTGTACACTAGTGAAAAATATACAACGTATATTTAAAAAAAAACTCTCTCACAGTTTATGAACCTCAGTGCTCATCCATTTTTCTCCCAAACAGATGGTGAAGTGCTGGAAATGGTTGAAAAGCAAAATGAACAAAAGTACACACAAATTGATAATTCATTGGCACAAACCCCAAGAAGTTGAAAGTTGAAACAAGTGTCATACATAGGATACAGCGTTCAGTGAAAACAAATTGTGGCGAATTGGACAAAGCATCCACGTTCGCATCATGACCAATTTGGTAACCGCATAAAATCTAAAAGATGATTAAGGCCTTGTATGAAGGTATTATATTCACCGCAAAAGAAAAATAGTCCACACTCATTGGAGGGGTTATAATTTTGAATCTGATCGTCTTATGATAACGTCTTTTATATAGACCTTTGGGGAATGTTGTTACAGTCAAACGTTTATTAGAAGAGCACTGTTAATGCAACATCCTGCTTATAACAAGCACAATTTTAGGTGCCGAGTCTTTGTTTGTCTTTGTTTTCCATTTCTGTTTATAATACAAGGTACCTGTTATAACAAGGTAATTAGTAAAGTCCCAAAGACCTTGTTACAAAGGTGTTCGACTGTAGCTACATTTTAATACCCCGTTTGCTACCAAAGACTGTCAATCGTCCAACACTGACAACGGCTTATGAAATATGATGCAGTTTAGTTGCAAATTTAAAGCTTAATGTCACACTGCCCAAAACGAACGGCAGGGAATACCGATCGCACAGTGCTTGCATGCATGAGAGCACCAAAATGGAATTACCCACTCCTTGTTTCGGCACTGTGCAGTCGATATGGCCAATTACGGGCTTTTCAAACTGCATCATTTTTCATAAACCGTTGTCAATCTTGGATGATTTACAGTCTTTGGAGGCGAACGGGGTATCAAAATGTAGCTAACAAAATTCTCCAAAGGTCTATATAAATGACGTCATCATAAGATGATCAGATTCAAACTTATTACCCTCCAATGAGTGTGGACTTTATTTTGTTTTCTTTTGCGGTGTTTATAAAGGTTTATATAGCGGCTGCGTATCGAGTGGCCAATAGACCCTTTACATATACATTCAGCAGCCATCTCTGAGGTGTCTGTGTTCAGATGTTGGTTCATGTCTGCTTCTGAGAAACAAAAACACGCACCTTCAAGATGGCTGCCGTGGAAACAGTCGACCCTTGTGCAGTTTGTTATGCCTTGTGGCCACCTGTCCAATGCGGTCAGCACATGGCATTGCAGCCGGTATTCATTCTAACCATAATTATATCAGTTCTGACAAGCTCTCGTGGCTGTTTTCTTATCTGTCCCACTCATCCATATACACCTGTTTGTATCCTGTGGAATAATCCATTGCGATCAGGGGCCTTTTAGCCCCAACTGCGATATGACAAATCTTTGGCAGTACATAATGTGAATATGCCTTAGTTGCATTACAAAAGTGCCGTGTCTAGAAATGGGATAGTATAGTTGGCTTCTTTTCGAAATATGATAATGCACAATGCGGGTACATTGCTTAAATAAAAATCATTTTTACAATCAAGTACTCCTCAAAAAAATTGTAGTTGTTTAAATACATCAATAACAAGTGAGCTATCACTGCACTACTGTAATTAGTGTTAGACAAATTTCCATTCAATTAATACTTGTAATATTTCAAGGCACTTAAAACGTTTTTGTGATCTCATTCAGTGATCAGATTTATTGTACATGTTGTTACATAACATGTTGTCTTCATGTTTGATTCCCACATTTACACATGTACATTGTTATACCGGGTTTTTTTCTCTTATGGCTTTCCATAGCGGTTTCTATAACTTTATCATAAGGTTTTATGTCATTGTTTTCCTTTACTCCAATACGCGAAGGCATTGTGTTGGAGACATATTTCTGTGGTAGCATGAATATCAAAAGGGGGGAAGAGAAATTATGATGTGAAGATTACATTTGTAGGTTCGCCAGCTAATTGAAAATTGTCATTGTTGACAATTGGGGGAAAACTCCTTTTTTTCACATGAAGTACAACTTCAGTACTTTCAAGTCCTCAAAAGCCAAACATATTTTCCCGCTGTTTTAAATTGAGATTGATGTTACCAATTTGTATTCGGGCAAATTTTCTAGTGATTTTTTTCAAGGCAAAGTTCCACGTTCAGTCTACTCGAAATTCGTCCATGTTCGCATCATACTGATATACATGAAACTTAGTGTTTTGGTCCCAATTAAAATTGTTTGTACATTCATGTAGCCGGAGCGAGCAATAAAAACATGCAGTATATAAAATAAGTGTTTTTTCTGCCTTTCTGTATCAAATTTAGCTACAGTCGACTTGCGTTAATACAAACTCACAAATTATGGTTATAGTGCTCCATTTAACCCTTACTATCCCAGCCATTCAAAATCCAACTGCAAGTTTTGTGGGAATCTGTTAGAGTATTTCACTGGTAAACTGATCATGCTTTACCGTTTGGTATACCACCATAATCAGAGTCCAACAGTTTGGGTGAAGAGTTTACCATATGGTGTTGGAATTTGCAAGAGTGAGGAAGGTTCTTAGTAAACCACTCAAAAGGGTTAGGGTTAGTTAATTACACAATTGTGATACAGCAAACATGTTGGCTACGTCCAGCCGAGTGTGTATTAACGAGAGTCGACTGTATTTACAATTCATTCTGTGACTGGGTATTGTTGATATCATAATTGGTTGCTTCGCTCGTCACAGCTATTAATATTGATTAGAAATGCTTTTATTCGGTTATATTTTCCTCATCAGATTTTCCCGTCTGAGGATTTCCAATTAATCGTCTGGTCGGATGTGCTTTAGACGAGCTCAGGCATCGAAGGCCATCCTGGCATCGGCTGACTTCATCTCAGACTAGTCTCTCGGGAGAGTTGATGAGACGAGGAGCGATAATTCCTTTCTTGAAGTACGAAATCCGGAGCTTAACATTACGCCAGCAGCCAGTTTGGTGTGAAGCGACTGGCTGCCATCTTAGTGCAAACCATGGTGTGGAAATTCATATCTTGAATTTCAAGTGATTCTCTGTCGTTTCTCAATTCTAAATATGGCAAGTTGGCATCTAATAAATATATGGGACTAACGAAATCTTTTGTTATTTGTGTTTTCCTAATTGTGTGGTGTTCATGCATGGTGGGTTGCACTGCGTACGCAGAACACTGACATCATTGGCAAGAGGTTCAAAGACTTCGATTCTGTTTTTGTAGATTTTTCCCATCTGAAAAATAATAGGAAAACATGTAGTTTCAAACCAACATCGTCACTGCACTGGCTTCCAAAAGTACTAGAAGTGTGAAAATATCTTGATATCAAAAAATTGCAATAAAGTCGCAGCCTCGTTAACCTCCTCACATTTGCCCCATCAAAATGTTCGAGGAATTGGGGAAAACAAAAGGTTGAACGCAGACTCAAGCTGCAATGTCAAAAGTTCAAAGTTCAAGTGTCCAAGCACTATTGTGTGTCATACGTAGTGGCAGGCGTAGACCCGGCCTCCTTCGCCGTATTCCACTGCATAGTAGTCAGTCTGGTGCCGGGCCATGACCTCGGCAAGTTCTTGGTCCTCGGCCGTTGTGGTGCCTTCGCTGGCCGTACAGTTCGCGTTGGAATTGAGATCGATACCGATTGGTGTAAACCTCTCTTGCCCGGAAATCTGGTAGATCGGGTTGGTGTCGGAACTAGAGGGTTTACGGCTCAGCGGTAAATTGTTCGTACTAGTGGTGATGTACTTGGTAATACTACCGCTGGATTTACTCGCTATAACCGAAGGATCGTCCAGTTGCTGATGCGTTCCGCTGCCATTGTGTAAAGAAAGACTGGAACGCGAGTGTCCGTACTGCAGTAGACTGTTAACACTCGGTTGCGCACTGAGCTGATTCCGTGGGGCTCCATTAGCCCGTCCGGATCCACCAGGCAGGTAGCCGTTGCTTTGCGCCGTGGTGGACGGGTGGTTCCCTGGTATGGCTCCGTTAGTGGTAGGGTAGTCTTGGACGATGACTGCGCAGGCGGTGAGGTATAGCGGGGTGAACTGTTTGACTTGCATAATACGGTCTCCGTCGTTGTACTGCATGTAGCCCGTGTTGGACCCACACGATTGCGGACAAGCATGACCTGAAAACAAAAAATCCAGAGACAACTTAAAAAAATATCGCTCCGTTTTCGTAAATAAGAATAAAGTTTTTTTGTTTTTTTTAAACAGTTGACAGTTAACTTGAACAAAGACATTTACTGGAGCGGGGTTTGAACCTGCGACCTCCGGATTCCTATCCCAGTGCTCTACCAACTGAGCTATCGAGCCCTATATTGGCGGTTCTTTAATTCGTCAGTCTCCTTGTTCAAGTGGCGCTAGTCAGAAGCCATAAATCCGTGTATGCCATGTAGCCAGGGATCTTAAAATACAAGACTTATTATAATGCACCTATTCAATTTCCCTTTGTGTTTCATTTGAAAATAAATGAATAGAAATTGGTAAAGACGGTCGTTGGCTTAATTTACTAAGTGTGCATAACAGACGTCTGAGTCGCACATTATAGCAGAGCTCTGAAAGTTGCTGAAACTACATTCCAGCGTTTGCAGGTCCGAATTCCGCATAATTTAGTTTTCTTGTAACTTTTTTTTGCTACTATAGGATGTAATAAAAATGGTTTTCTTTTTGTTCCAAATTAGGTCGGTATACGTAAATGCGAATTCGCTATTGTGGAATGGAACATTCCATGTGTCACCAAATGAAATCATTCTTTTCATTGCACGAATGTAAAACACCCACTATTTGTTTATTCAACACCCGAATAGATCCTCGTCATGTGATTGGTCAGAGCCGCCAAAGGTGTGACCGTGCAATAGAACTATTATTTACCGTGGAATAGAACTTCTATTTTTGCCGTGCGGGCCGTGCGTTGGGACGACTAATTTAATGACATTGTGATCAACGACCTACCAATCAGATTTATTCAGGCGCATGCATAATACTTGTTATTCCATCTTTAGTCTGGTTCACCTCAGATCCAGGAAAGATTTGTATCTTTCCACATACTACTTTGTTTTTCGTATGAATGTTGACGCGGACAACATACAGCCTTTTGGGATACTGTCCTTTATACGCTCATAAATAATCACTGTAGTATCTCATTTTGGCCTCGCTGGGATAATACGGCGGTTTTTTGGCGCTTTAAGAACACATTCCATCGGGATTTTTTCCCTCGAGCACAAAACCCCAGAAACAGTCAATTAACCTCCGTTGCTCTGTGCCAATGGACCCGCTAACCCTCCTACGACTTGTGATAACCAGAGCCTAGGGAAAACCAAAGTACAGGAAGAAAGCAGCGGGGGAGTTAATGGAAAGATAGTGGAGATTGCTTGAAAGGGTAATTTTTTTCGGTTCGTCTGCATGCGAAGCGGCCGAGAGAAGCAAGCAGTCTTGTTTCGGTGTGCGCGTGGTCGGTCAATTGGCGTCCTAATATGGCGTCCATGTAATAGCTTAGCGCCTTATAAACACTTATTCCCTACTGCCTTTTACTAAGTACTGGACCAAGTCCGCCAAAATCCATCAATCACACTGCTTCCAATGCATGCTTTGCATCAGGCTCCAGGCCCAAGTCTTAATCAAACCAGGCCTGCTGGACTGCAAGTCCCCCAAATCCAACAAAATGGGGGTTGGAGTTTGATGGAGTTGGGAGTTTATGGCTAAAATAAACAGGCAAACGGAGCTTACTCTTCGAAATAATGAATAAATAGCATATGGTGTATTCATTTATTACCCATTTCCACCTCTTTTTTGTTTTGAAGTCGAAACTGCAATAAAACCGTGTCCTTCCAGCATTTGTCGGGTATTTTTTAAATAAGGATTTCCCTACTTACTTAATCTCTTGCATCATTCGAATATCATGGAAAGGTACTTTAATATCGCTCCAAAACCTTCAATGGGCCTCATTTGTATCCATTTCAAATTTACATTCATATACAGGGTCAGTAAAAAAAACACACAACGAGACCCAAAGTCGGGACCATTGTTTGAGTGAAGTTCTGCATGTAGCACTTACAAAATCTAGTATATGAAAGCCCAATTCATCAGCTTTCTTTTAGTATAAGAAGTATTCAAATCACTCGTGCAATTTTCAAGTTACGGAATTTTAAACACAACCATCGTTTTAAAGTTCTGTCCACGGATCACAAAAAAACGAAAACGATTCACACACATCCATATGATTTGTTTCGTTTTGCTGAAAGAACAATACCTTTTTGTGATCCGTGAACAGAACTTGAGGTAAGTGTTCTTTCAGCAAAATGAAAACAATGCACATAGGGATGTGTGTGAATTGTTTTCGTTTTGCTGAAAGAACGCACACCTTGATTCTTGTACAAAAAAGAAAGCTTATGAGTTGGGCTTTCATATCCTAGATTTTGAAAGTGCTACATGCAGAACTTCACTAAAACAATAGTCCCGACATTTGGGTTTCGTGTTTTAAAGGGTTTTTTTTAGTTTTTTTTATCATCATAACGTTGATGATGAAAAATGTGGCAAAATTGCTTCACCAAAGTTGACCACTCCTATTGGGGTCAACATGCAAATAATTGAGGTCAAAGTAATACATTATATGACTGCACCCAGCGCGGCATCGCGCTAGTGTTGTTATAAATAAGATAATTGGATTGTTTTAATATACGTATAAACTTTTGTACATCGTGAGATGAACGGCAAATTTCTGAGTGTTTATATCCATTCCATTACATTTTGTGCATGCTGAACTTACCGTAGCTGATCTGTTTGGGTCTGTTGGAGCTATCTTTGTAAGGCACGTTACCAACGGTGATGGGGAAGTAGATCTCCAATGCTTGCTTGTCGTCTACCATCAGAAAAACCTGCACATACAAAAGGACCATTAATAATATATAACTTGTTTCTGGTAATGAAAACAACCGTGTGTTCTTTCCCTTTCCAGTAAATTTGAAAAATTGTATCATTTTAAATTTGACTCGGCAACAAAATAAAAAACGCAGTTGCTTAAAGGGAATATACAACATTTGCAAACAATGAAAAACAAAACTACCAAATTTTTACGAAATACCTTACTAGGATGTTGGTAAATGAAAGTCTAAAGCATCCTGTAAAATTATGGTACCAGGTGTGAAGTCATTTTCAAGAAAAGTGGCAATTTTTGTATAAATTTCCAACGGTGGTCGGCCACCGTTGGAAAAACCTTACTATTTTTCGACTTCTGCTCCAAATTTACCATTTTTCAGTCCAAACTTTGTTTGCTATTGGTTACATGTTCATGAACGGGTGCAGGCCAGCTAGACTGGTTCCCTTTCTTTACAATTTTCCGGCATCTATAAATTGATCCATTTCATCTTTAGTGGAGTCAGGGAACTATACACTACTTGAACATTTTTGTTTTTCTTGGTTTTTCCTGCATTTTCGAACACAAAACTTCAAACATGTCAGTGTAACAATATTTGATCTATTATTACTAACCCCTCAAATAGAGTTCATTTCTGAAAATCACAGCAAAAGCCAATGATGTACATTCCCTTTAAAATGGGCTATGTTACAGAAGTGCTCGTGGCACCCTGTAGCTCGGGCACGTGGAGAGAAAAGGTGAAAACAATTCAGTTTTACACCCGTAAGAAACGTTTAGATTTTGTTTATTCTAGAGGAATTCCCCGGTATCATGAAGGGACTGAAAACCCAAATGTATAGGCCTACATTCCGAACCTGGGCCGCACGTCCCAGAGGCGGAAGGCGAGGAAAAGTACGTGTATCACTGCACCATTAAAGTGTGCAAACAGTAATCGATGTAGACATCAAACTGTCTTATCATATAACGAAATCGAAAACCTTTCAACAGAGTGGCGTAGTAGCCCACGGGCTAGGCTTGGCCTTTAGATAGGTCAATAAATGCGATCATCCGCCGAGAGGTCAAATACACATGTAGCGCCCTCAAGCGACGAAAGGTAGCTTTTGCGAAAGTGCGTTCACAGTATCAATAACACAAAGCTGGGATCCATTAAAAAAATATATATATATAATCGTGGCACTGCGTATAAACCGTGTAGGTACTCTCATAAATGGCATGCTATATCGCAAGTCAGCTTAAAGACGTCATTCAGAGATAATCGATCGAAGAAGGTCCATTACGGCAGCGCTTTTATTTGGCAATTAGTGCCTTGCTTGCTATGATCTCCCGCTATGGCCGCGCTTACAACACACACGGCAGCTCCCCCAAGGGATGTTGCTGATTACGTTTTCCCGCCAATCGTTGCCATGGTAACGGAGGAAGCGATGTGATTAGTCGGTGATTGTTGAAGCCTGGGGATCTCGCTTGGGGCATGTATAATCATTCTGTCTCGAAGAAGAAAAAACACCTCGGGCGGACTGAATATGAAATTATATGTTGCCAATTTTAAAGTCTGTTTGGTCAATGGCCTGTCTACGATATTTGTTATTGTTCCAACATAAGTGTAGCAAAACAAGGGTTGCAGTGCTACAAATATCTAACCAGAGATGTATCTGAGCCGTTTTAAAGCAGCAAAATGATGCTGCCAATTGTCTGCCGACTGACTTCCGTTCTGAAATATCCTTATTAGCCAAAACATTGCTTGGGAATTTTGCTAGGCACGGAAAAGTGTGCTTAGCAAAAGAAAAAATGAATTTCTGTGTCACACGAACTCTCACCGTAAGGTTCGTGTAGATATTCTTAGGTTGAAAGAGGGCTTGCAATTTCTTGAAAATTACACACTTTGTGATTGGGAAAACTCTGAAAAGTTAAAGGTATACTAACAGAGAATGAATTACATGTGATCGGAATGGGACTTTAAACAAGTGGGCCTACGTTTGAACCGACTGGGAGCCTGGACGCAGATAATGACTCCAGCCGAAGGCCTCCAACCGCAAATACTTGCTTAAACCGGCCAAGCAAATATTTATTCCCATTCATAAATACCTTTCCGTCAAAAAGTCAAAACAAGTCCGAAACTTTAAATTTCCAACGAATTTGTTCAACAATTTTACTTCATGTCGTGTAAAACATCCCTCTTGCTGTGTTTGTGGTATGTGCCTCGCGTTAGTAGCGCTATCAATCTCGTTATAATGAGTTGCCGCGCGTGTGGCGCGTACTGTGTGATGTGGCGCAAAACGCAGCGGTGCCGGTATAGCGTGACTTTTAGGACTATGAAATAGGGACTCATTTGTAGTATTGTACATGCCTACGTCAATCTAATTAGGAGAGTGACCAATGAAATAGTAAAAAGGACCAGATTTCATTGGAGTCCAAATTTCATGTGACACCGGGATAAAAAGTGTTTAAAACCAGTCGATGTTTTATGGACCGTTTAAAATCACCCACTGGACAGACTCTCGACCAATAGGATTAGGTAAACGGTCTTAGGTATTTATTTTTTTGGGGGTAATTATCATCACCACTTTCAAAACTGTAGATTCTTGTGGAAGTTGATTCGTAATGCAATCCTATCCTGATAGGATTTTAATTATTCAACGCGATTATTCCACAATGACACTAATATATCTTGCAGGTCGACAACAACACGACGTGGCGGAAATTTCGCTTTTAATTTCCACCTCGCGCATTGTGTCTTTTCATAATCGATCCGTCATCTGCAGTAATAAGCTCGCCGTATCGTGACCATCTCTACATGGAATCAAAGGATGACCCTCGAATGGTTTGTAGTCTACTTAGTTTCCATGGAAACCCTTGTCTGGCAGGAACAGCACAGACGAGACCCAGTTTTTTGATGTGATTTTAAATGGCAAACATTAATTTGATTTATCGCCTGGCAAAAACAAATCATCAATGCCTCATTTTATTCTTCAGTAAGTTTCTTATACCTCTTTGGCTATAGGGCGTTAGGATGAACAGAAAATGTCAAGTGTCTCACATTTAACATGATTATGCCTGACATTAAATGTGAGGTGCACGGCAGACTGAAAAGTTATAAACACTTTATTGTTATAAGGAATATTGACTGCGCGTGAACAACTGAGAATCAAACGTTCACGCGTGCAAAGCCACAAGGAGTTGTGACGTCATTTAACTAAAGTAGTAATTCGGCCAAAGCTGTTGATTGGTTAATAGCTGCCATGTTTTTCTCGTACAACACCGGGTTACCAAACACACGATATAAGACGCCCGCTGAATAGTCAGATTCTGGAGGTCAAGACGCAGTGTAGTGTTTAATAATCTGCACGCATATCACGTCGATTCAATCGATTAGGCCAAAAAAGTCTCTGGTTTCTGGTATGGAGCTTGCCAAAAAAGTGGTGCGCCGACGAGTTTTTTTTTTTTTTTTTACCGTTATTTTTTTTCTTCAAATGTCGGCTGATACTGCAAATGGTGCGAGACTAAACTTAGTGCAAATATATGGGAGTCCAGAGAGGCCACATAAAGCTTATTCCCGATCGTAACCCCATCTGAAAACACGTTAAAATTGTGCAGCAGCAGGATTCCAGTCATACCAGTGAGTTTGGCGGTTTTGAGACATCATCTTTCATTGAAAAAAAAACTTTTTCATTTTGCCGACGCGCATGGCTACGGCGACGCGCGCGCATACCAGAAACCGGAGACATTTTTGGGGGGCCTCAGCGTACGACCTGCATTCTAGTACAACCTCAGTTGTCTTTTAATCATGGTTGGCGTTCTGTCTATGTGATATTAACTCTCTGTGCGCAGCGACTATGTTAGGTTTTTATTTGGGTGTTTATATAATCTCTGCGGGATTCTTTATAATCATCTTCCTTGGAAATGTGCGGTTTGCACCAGCGCCATATGTAAAACTAGAGAGGTTGCACCAAATATGGTTACCTACAAAAAAATGTTTTATTTGTCAATCTATTTCGTGTCATGTCGAGTGCATGTTATTATCGCTCGCCATCTGTTCAAATTAGCTGATACATCATTGGTCACTGTATTCAGAGTCATGTTGCATACCATACATGAGTGGGACTGTACTGTTGCGGGGCAACCAAAAGTCTGCTGGAGGAAAGACTAATCTATCAAAAGTCACCTTTTGTGTACCAAGCATTATTAAAGACGTCAGTTCATGATTGCTAAATAAATTACGCCAAGTGCTTCAGTCCGACAAATTAACCTATGTTATCGCTTAGCATACATATTACTTGGAAATCAATTGTCCCATACCCGTAATCAGTCAAAACTTAATTGCCGTTTCGTATCATCCAACATGTAACTCTTGTAGTCTCTTATATTGGAACATTGATCGAGTCAATTTATTAATGTTTTCCTTTTTTCAGCGATCCTATTGTTCTTAAAAGGGTCCATGGAATGAATGTTATACTGAAGCATATTTTGTAGCAAATATTCATTCCTGTGAAATGTATATAAACTATGAGACGTCCTCTTTTTGAAACTTATCGTTTTGCAAAGTGCACTTTTTTTCAAACATTCAAAATGTTTCAGGCGTTTCCTGTCAACCGACGGCGCTGTTACTGTGACGTCACTTTAGGATCACACTTCAGTAGACTATGTTTTTTTTCTCTTGATAAAAACACCTACATATCTGGTTATTGAAAAATGTGTGCATATACCTTTGCTTACTGTTTGACTCTTGTATACTAAAACAATGAACAACTGAAAGCTGGAAAAAATAGCCACAGCAAACCCCTAACTTTCTGGTGACTTTTTATGCTGAAGCAGATGTGAAACAGAAGTTTCAGCCTTGAATGACATCACAGTTTTGCTCATGAATATTGAAATTTGCATTAACCATAGACCAAAAAGGCTCCAAATGGCATTATGAAGATACAAATCAAGTTAAATGAAACACAAAGGTACATTTCAAGGATTACATTTAAAAGAAAAATACATTACATGGGCCCTATAAAATTTAAACAATTAAAGAAGCTTTATAAATTATCTTCTTCAGCATTAATATTAAAAAAAAAAAAAACATTCAAATTCATTGAAATTATATGAGTATAATAGTCGCATTGTCTTTAAATCGCTATTTTTAAAATTTCAATCAATCGCACAGCAGACACTAAATTGAATGTAGCTGTAATAGTGATTTATACATTCATATTTCTATTTTCAATCTTGTGCTTCAATTAAACTCTGCCATTTCGCTTAAATAACGCACATGAAATCTGACGTTCCGCAGAACTCCACATGGTACCCCGGTACAGCTAGACGATTTTGATTAATTTACCATGGGAAAATTAAGAAATGCAATATTATGTAAGTTGAGATTTGTATAAACGTCCCTATGTCGGGCCAAGCCTCGTCAAACCTCATACAACGTTGGATGGATTAATTCATAAGGCTTAATAGAATAATCCAAATGCCAATGTTCACTCGACGAACCGTATTATTATAGACCTGAGAGATATGAGAATGACGAGTAGCCGCGTCAGGTCTGATCCTTTCCGTCTGCCGTGCGCGCCACCGGCTTGCAGGCCTGACTGGCCCGGTCGGACGAGCGTGTCTAATGTCGCCGGAGAGACGAATTTCGCGGAAGAACTGCCCTTGACCTTTTTTTTGTCCGAGCTGTGTAACAAGATGTAAAACGATGTTTCTCGAATCTAAATGTATCTTCGTCACTCTAAGGCCCCCCCCCCCAAACAAAAATTCTCCGGTTTCTGGTATGCGCGCGCGTCGCCGTAGCCATGCGCGTCGGCAAAATTAAAAAGTTTTTTTTTCAATGAAAGATGATGTCTTAATCGTTATTCTTGTCATTATATAGTCGTGATTGTGGTTAATTGTTGTCATTGTTCTCGTTATCTTTATCGTTATCTTTGTCAAATTTCTTAATTATTGCATACATATCTGTATATTTTTTATCACAACTGATACCATATGACATTTGTTTTTATCTGTAAAATGGAATTTTTAATTAATGAAGATTGGCATGTCAGAGATACTTTTGGATTAAGACAGTTTTTGGACCTTTCAATGTAAAAGTACTTGTTTATTTTAAATTTAATTTAATTTATTTTATTTAATGTATTTGTATTAGCATTTTTATCTGTTGACTTGATCCAATTCAATCTTTGATTGCCACATCAAGTCTAATGATTTATCTATCTATCTCTATCTATGTCTCAAAACCGCCAAACTCACTGGTTTAACTGGAATCCTGCTGCTGCACAATTTTAACGTGTTTTTAGATGGGGTTATGATCAAGAATAAGCTTTATGTGGCCTCTCTGGACTCCCATATATTTGCACTAAGTTTAGTCGGGCACCATTTGCAGTCATCAGCCGACATTTGAAGCAAAAAAGTCGAGTAAAAAAAAAAAAAAAGCCGCGTCGCCGCACCACTTTTTGAGCAAGCTCCATACCAGAAACCGGAGACTTTTTTTTTTGGCCTAAAGAGTATTTTCTTCTCTTTTGTTTGTGAAACTGGTAGCAAAAAGGTTTCACAGGGCTTCAGTTGGGCCTCCAATGCACTATAAATATTTACTTCCTTTAATTTATTTTTATTTAGAATAATTTTGTTATAAAGTAATTTTATTTAAAAGAGACTTGAATTTTTTTTTTATAATATGAAGATATTTTATTCTATTGATAATTATTTTAGACCAGGCGATCAAATTTCTAAATGGTGTTACATGAACGAACGTGGTTTTCGCATGTGACGAGTTCACACCCGTTTGTGCATACAAACAAAATCCGGTGGGAGAAGTAAAGAACTGTTTAGCTTTTTTAATGGGTTATATTCATTTAACATTTAGTAGACATTAAAACAAAAGATGAGCAATACAAAAGTGAACGGTGTCTGTCCAGGATAAACAAAAGTACAATAACCGTCATCAAAGATGCGTTAATCCAGATCCCTCTTCACATAAAAAGATTTTTTAAAAATATTATATAAGATAATAATGTTGATCATGTACCCAGATTTGTATTTTTCTTATTTGAATGCCTCTCGTATAGTTTTACTATCAGATTTGACCTTGGGATATATGTTTTCTATTTATATTACATTTCGCTGTATATCAAACCATGTATCGGAACAATTCCTTTACTTTAATGTTCACATTGCTTAATGTCCATTCATGTACACAGATATCTGCTGCAGGTAACCGACTATAATTGGTGACGTCAGTAGAGGTATATTTTAAAATACGATAATACCTACTGTAGGCTACTTAACCCTCTGTCCTTTTTACAGTATCCTTATTCTGTAGATTGGAACCAGACGAGTGATTAAGAACAGCTAGCGCGTGCGTATGCATGTCGACGTAACCACCTGTCATTTGGAAGCCTCGTTCATTTTAACCTTTGCGTAGACCGGTCGGTTCGTCAAGATGAACACGACTGCCGACGGGTTGTATGTTTACTCATGTTCTTTCCGGAGATATTACTGCTGTAGATAAATTCTGCCGCATGCCTTTGATGTCTGGGGGAGCAATCGATTTTCTGACGAGGGAAGGACGGTTAGAACTGTAAATCAGTCGGAGATATTGATCCAATATTTTTCCACTCGATTTGGGAAAAGTTGTTTGAAAAGATAATTTTTTGCAAAGTTTTGACCACGACTCCATTTGCAGATATCGTAATCATATTGTTATCAGGGGATCTACCAGATGTTCCCCAATACCTATGATCCCATATGTTACCCGAAATCCTTAGGGTTTGGGTTAGGGTTAGGCTTGGCGTGAGGGGTAAATGGTTAGGGTTATAGGGTTCGGGTTGTGGAACATAGGTATTGGGGAACATAGGTATTGGGGAACTAGGTTGCACCCGTTATCAGACACACTAGATAAATGTACCATTTTAGCTTGAACATTGACGGATGCCAGAATTTAGTTTAATGATTATGGAATTTAAGGCCTATGGGGAATTTTCACTTGTTGAAGTGTCGGCCTAGTAGACAAGATAGGGTTCGGGAAAGTCCTTTTTTTCCGGACTGTGCCAGTTTGGGCAGGCTGCGAATCCCCCCCCCCCCCCCAAACGACATCCGCAACAATGGCGCTTCGGTCGGTGAAGTGCCTTGCGACCCAGTGGAGATATGCTGTCAGGGTAAGCGCACGTTTAATTTGCTAGCATGATCTCAGTTTCGCAGAAATAGTGCCAGAGGTTGCACTTATACGGTGTCAGTTTTGTGAACCCGGTTTGGTAACAACGACAGTCCCAGTTATGCAAAGACAACGTCGGCTGTGTAAGTCAGGTTTCACAGTTTCATCATTCCTAATGCTAGGTTCACACATTCCCGAATTAGTTATGAATACAACTAGAATAAACCAAGAATTGAAATTAGTTCCCGAATCACTCCGACAATTTTGAACATGTTCAAATTTGTCGCGGTGCTTCCCGATCTTTAACGATCTTTCACCGAACAAACAGAATCATCCCAAGGCAGCCAAAAACCATGCCCGATTTACTCAAGAATTGCTATTCGTGGCGATTTGGCTTAAAAGTCGGGAATATTTGAACCTATGATGTATGAATCTAGCATACGTATTGGAGGCCACGACCGCTACCGATTTCTGTAAACCTTTTATTGTAAACGTGATAAATATCCTTGCCATTAGATGTATTGCCTTGTCAGCAGTGGAACGATAAATCAAATGCAAAACTGAACGATCATATACCATCGTTCGTAGGAAGAATAAGGGAACATGAGACTCAGTCACGACATCGTACCGTTCCAAGAAATGACAGATTCCTTTTAATTAATAACGTCGACCTAGCTAAGTGTATTCATAGCTGAGTGGAACAAAAAACGTGTGCCATTTCTGTTTTCTACATAATGTCTTCATGTTTTTCTACTGAAGATGTTGGGGCTCACCATTTAGGAAATGTAGGTAATGATTGTTTAATTTGCCTGTTCTTAATAATCAAATGATTTAAGATTATACATTTTAATTACAGGTCCTTCGTATAAACACTTTATCCAATAGACATTCTGTCTTAAACTTTGCGTCGTGTGTATTACTGCCACCATTTGCATGTCTTTCAACTAAGCGTGGTCCTCAAGCTGAAACTATTATAGCAGACATTACAAGCGGAACAAGGTATAAGTTGATAGCAACATTAGGTTTCGTCCCCCATGTCACAAGAAGGAACGGTTAACGACCCTTCTGGACCAGAGACTACTCGTGCGTACACCTCATAAACTCGTCAGAAGCACTTATCGTTAAGAGACAGTCGCTTCACACGGTACGTGTATCGACAAACTTCGTGACTTGAATCTCCAACGACTTACCTCGATTAGGTATGCAACTTGAATCAGCCTCGACGCAATGGTGTAAGGTACTATGGGAATCTGCAACATTCGAGCTGTCTCCAGGATATATTCCTGATCAGGCAAGACGGCGGGACTGGTGTAGCATAGAATCTCGTAGGAACCCGTCTTGGTTCGTCGCTTGGGATTCTCGGCAACCAAGCTGATATTCTGGGAATAAGATAGAAACAGAATCGCAGATGTTACTGTCAAGTTGGTCTGGTGCCAATGTGGTACATCATCAGGCTCCTATATACGACGGTGTTGTACCCCGACTCTTCTATACAGAACGTGTCACCGGTGATGTCATGCTGAACAGACAACTAAGAGGGAAAACACCAGAGCAATTTTCTCGCATAATTCTGCCTATATTAAACAGTGAATATTAACACTTTTAAACCAACCGTATTTCAAGAGTTACATCACGTGACCACAACATCCAATCTCGTAACCAGGCGGACACTGTCTATACGGAATAAAGTTCTACCCCCTTGATGGGGTGCCTGTCTATCGCAGGTTCCTCCCCAGCTAATGTCGGTACAGAGGTATAAACAGAATTTAAGTGGTTTGTCGGATACACCGAAGTGAGCAGCTGGATTCGGACCTCTTCCCCAATAGTTGATGACAATTATTCCAATAGGTCACAATTCCAATTCACTGCGTGGAGCATCTCAACAATCATCCTGTATCTCTGTGAGTCAGTCAGTTAGTTAGTTAGTTATTTAGTTAGTAACAAACGGTGACATTAATGCTCCTACATATTTTGAAAGATTTCAACCAAACGTCAAAAGTATCAGTAGACCAGCCCCAACGTGTCACATGACCAAACTGGGGTCAAAGGTCATCATGGGGTCACTGGGGTCCAAACCTGATTTTATTTTTACTCAAAACACTATTCCTATATAATTACATGGCACAATCACGTGACTCATGCACGAGCACGAATTCGTTGGCCGTAGCTTCCGAGATATAATCGAGCTTGTTTGACGAGTGTCTGGTAGCGAACGTGTATAGCATCTGAATCAAGCTGAGCTTGAGCTGAGCTGCGTTCGTTCCAGAGAGCTGTCAGCGGAACGGCGTGACTGATTTTATGAGTTTAACTGTTTTAGGAATACAGATGGATTCTAAAAAACAAAATCTTGCAATTGGTCAATTGAATTAAAACCATACATCAAAATTACTGTCAGTAAGCACAGGAAACGAATATATGTACAAATTTCAAGAAAAGTAACACCACTAATATCCCATTTTCGAAATTGATACAATGACTGTTTGGGAATTGCCAATCGCAGTATTGCATTGTAATGACAACAAACCAAACAAATTAATTTCTGAAACCATGCACACGAGGCGCACAATACCAGCCAGGCCTATAATGATAACTATAATAGAATGATGCTGATGTCATGACATTGATACCAATCTATGGTCTTGAATTAATCACGGCTGCAAAATAGTACCAGGTGCACCGCGAGTGAGAGATGCTTTCAACGAGGAGGAAATGCAGAGGAGTGTAATACATTAGAACATCCTCTGCAATCAGACAGGACACCTGTCTGAAGGAAATGTATACATTTGAGCAACCAATGAAGACGACCCGTACTGTCTTTCAGACTGTTCAGGGTAAATTTGGTGTCTGTATTCTGTTGTCTGGCTTTCTGCCTGTAAATGGGAACGTACAGGGAAAGATAATTATGATTCAATATTAGGTATATATTTTGTCGTTCTCCGACGTATAAACACTGTATACTCGGTGTGTTGCACCCCGAGTAAAAGTGAGAAAAAAACACTCAGGCGGGACTCGAACCCACGACGTCCTGCTTTCTAGTACAAACGTCTTACCACTCGACCACCGAGCTTGCGGGGTTCGGTTGGCTGGTTCGAATCTAATCGGGTACCGCAATGAAACTATTCATAAAATGGAATTCGCATCGGGGTGATGTAACTTCAATATTCGGGGTTTTTTTAGGGGGCCCCACCCAAGTGATATTTTCTCACTTTAACTCGGGGGGTAACACTAAAATATACAGTGTTTTCACGTCGGTGAAGGGCAAAAAAACTATCATTAAATTTATATCACCCCGTCGCAATTCAAGGTCAGTGGTCGAGTGGTAAGACGTCTGCACTATAGAAAGCAGGAGGTCGTGGGTTGGAGTCCCATCCGAGTGATTTTTGTGTCACTTGTACTTAGCCTGGTTGTAGACTAGCGAAGAGAGACAGGCATTGCTAGAATTAGCTCATTGTGTAGAGCAGATGCATAAAAAGACTTTCAGTGTCAGTGAATAACTATTTTGAACTTGTTTGCGGGTAACACTATGTGGAAAGATATCTCTTCTTGGAAGAAGTGTGGTTCTGAAGAGAAACGGTTGGCTATCGTGGCCTTGATGTGTGTATCTGTGGAGACTGTGGCGCCGTTAATGCTCCTGAATTGAAGTTCCCCGTCTTTCATGTCCGAAAATGTTTGGGTCATTTGGGGATGATTTTGAAGCATTCGCTCATGTGGAGATGAATTGGAATCATCACCTCAAATGGCCCAAGCATATTCAGTAAGAAAATTAAGGGTTAAAGGGAGGTTACCGGTTCTTTTCAGAACCACACTTCTTCCAAGAAGAGATATCTTTCCACATGGTGTTTTACCCGCAAACTTTATAATTTATCTCATCCGCCTTGCAAAGCTTCAAGTCAGATATATTTTGAATCAACTGAACAGAATTCTGTGCTCTCTGTGACCACCTTCGTGAGATTGTCTTGTTTCCTGCTTTTTAATTGCCATTGACAGTAGGGCCAAACAACAAGATCCTGCTTTTTTAAACAAAAAAATCATTTGCCTGAGTACGTCCGGCACCATGCTGTTTCGATTTCTACCTCGGTAAAAAAAAGTTGGATGAATATTTTTGTGTTTTAATATATATATATATATACACCACGCGACGTATTCACTGCATTATAACGTATCCTTGTTAAGTATATAATATATTTTGTGCTTAGCATGCTTCCATGCTTAGCAGATCAATGAAACTTTGCCCATTTCGAAACCCACTCCACATGGGTTGAGTTTGTTGGGTTTGTTAGCGTGGGTTCAATGAATACTCTGCTCATTTCCTCCCACACCTAAAACCGACACCCCCCTCTTTTCATGTCGATAAAACAACTCCACACACATTAATCCCGGATATAATAAAAAATAGCTATACACAGGCCTACTTCATGTATTTTTTTCCGCACTCGTGCCTATCGTTCCTCGCATGTAAATGTTCCGTAGGGGATCAGTCTGACTAAGACCGATTTATGTCCAAAATGTCTTCCCCCGTTTTTGGCTGCTTCGAGTAGATGCTAGATAAGCTTTTAAAATGGTGTGAAAGCTTTAGCATGGCAAATGGCTTTGAAAGGTAATTATGACGATGTTATTACCCTGTAAAGGTTTTACAGCCTACCAAATGCGAGTCATCAAATGTCCATTACATCAAGTTGTTATAAACAGACTCGAGACATCACGCATTGTGCCTTCATCTTGAGTTTACGGGGGACTAAATAAGAGGCTCGTGGATTTCATTTCTCATAAATGAGGCCTGTCCAGAAATGTCACGAACTCTCGCGGTACTGGAACGCTGTTTGCTACTAATGCCGTTAAGTATGCAATCTAAACAAGCGTGGGATGTCTTCTAAGACATCTTGCCGTCAGTAAAAAATGCCATCGGAAATATAGAAGATGCCGGCGTATGCAGCAAAACAGCCGTGTTGATGATACTGCAAAAAAGGTGCGATGCTAATCCAGTTTATGCATGCAATCAAAACACGCCGGGAGTCGCTCAGAGGTTTTCCCCCGGCTTCTAGCGGAATGCATAAAGAGAGGCTATAGTGCCAAGACTTGGCTAAATGAATTTAACAAGATGGTCTAAACGTGTCGCCAGAATTACAGTTTTGGTGAAGGAATCCAGTTAAGTTTTCAGTCAAAAAAGAAGAAGAGAAATCTGTCCCGTAGGCATTTTTTTCCTTATCTGCATCTGTATGTGTAGTGGTTTGGAGGATGCGGTCAATTTATTACAAGACACCGTCGGATGTTGTCCGGGCGGCTTCAGCTGCCCAACGTGTCTCCGAGGGACATCATCAGCGGCGGAGAGTGGGGGAGACGACGGCCAGACGGGGCCCAGGGCACTCGCTAGATATACAGCTGGACCGGAGCTTTTTTGCAACTTTGTCGAGATGTTTCATTTTATGTCCAAAATGACTTTCTGACGGACTTGCGGCCATACTTAATACATTTCTACAACCTGTATGCATTTTGCTGCCTACAAACTGCGGTTCAAATTTTCATTCCTGTTCGATGTTAGTTCCTGAAACCGGGCAATACTAACATTATTTTCTTAACGTCTGCGATTTTATTAACATCCGGCTATGGCACTCGTGCCTCTTTATCGAATCTTTTCCCGAGAGATTTAATATTGAAGAACTAATCTCGCAGACTTTACTCGATGTGACAACTGTGAAACCCGATCAACGTTATACCAGACGACTATTTCACCTAGTTCAAGATATCTCGAATCTCACAAAGGTGAGACTTGTAAAAATCAGATTTAATTAAATAAATAAGACAGCTTAACACAATGCCAAAATATCATTAGTGTAAATGTAGGATTTGAAGTGCCTTTCGTAAAAAGGAAATAATGATTAACCCAGTTTTAAACAATAGCATAAAAACTGCAGACCCACAATACATTAAACAGTCGTGGAGTACTTTCACAACCAATGTAAAGTGTATAACCGAGACAGAATCTCGAGCAAATAGTGCCCGCCAAAAAAGAAATAACTCCGTATTCCCTCTCTTGAGTGCATTTGAAGTATGAAATGGCCTGGAAGATGATGTGAATCTGCCTTCAGTTGACTCTGGTCGAAGTGCTACGACAAAAAAAACAGCCAAATCAATGTCCGACAGGTACTTCAACCGATGTTGACCTCTGTTTCTTCTTCTTCTTACTCTTCATGTTCCAGTGATTTGTTTTATTTGCTGCAGCCGTAAAATATCCACTTTCCTCAATTGTTCCTCTTTGGGAGCAAAGCTTGATCGGTGATTGTTCCACTCTCTAGAACTAACGAGATAAATAGTGTGTGCATCTTTTACAGATGACTACCGGTTAAAGGTTAAGGAGGATATAATCATTTTGAAACACTGTCCTAAAGTGCTTGGAAGGTATTAGTCCTTCTTATAAAATAGACCGAACCCATGCTCAAGAAATGTAATCCCTCTGAAATGTACTCGTACTAGATTTACAAATAATTGACTCAGAAAAAAAACCCGTTTTGACAAAATGAGCCTCATACTCAAGCTATCCCATAAAATGTTTGCCCGATACAGACTACATAGTAATAGTTTTGCATACCTGATATTTTCCTTGTTTATATAAAAAAAAAAAAAAAGACATTCCTGGAGTTCGTTAGAATAGAAATGTGAGATCATTTCAGTATATTGTTTATTTCATCAAACCGACAGCATATATAAGGACGCAATGTAAAACAAACTGTGATTTGGAATAACGGTAAAAAAAAATCCAATCGCTGCCAAAACAATGACGAAACAGACTACTAGCACGACATAAAATACAGGGAACCGAGCTTGTTTACATCGTCAAACTGATATGCCTGATAATAACCTTTGCAAACATTGGACAAGTGCTGTCGTCATAGATACATTAGAATGCAAGCCGAATCGCATTGATCCATGATGCTCATTTTTTTCCTGATTTCGAGTGCGTGCGTCAATCAAGTTTTATCAGTTTATGATGAGTTTTGTTTTGTTTTGACGGGGCTACGAAGAACGACTCTTGAAAACTAAAAAATGATGCATCGAGTATCAAGTCTCACTGTGGAAAACTGTTTTTTGGTACCATTTGACTGACTGACTCCCTGACTGACTCACTAACTGACTGTGACTTGGGAGCCGGGCAGTGCTATCATATATGATTACTCCGTAACGCAAACTAATTGGCTAAATCCGACCCAGTGTGTGGACCAGATGGCTTGCATAAAAGACTTCCAGTGAATAGCCATTCTAAATCAATTTCGTGGGGTGCTGTGGTCCAATGATTACGGTGTTCGACTCTTGTGCCGTGGTACATGGGTTCGAATCCTGACCGTGGGAACATGGTGCTTGTGCTCTTAAGCAAGGCACTTTACCATTATTGCTTCGTCCTTCGGATGGGACGTAAAAGCCGTAGGTCACGTGTTGTGTAATTCACGATAAAGAACACAGTAACACTTATCGCTATAAGAGAAGGGGTTTGCCCCGGTGTTTCTGGCAGTGGCTGCAATATGCACCGCAGCACCTTGTAAACCCTTATAAGGTGCTATATAATGGGTCTCATATTTCTCACAGACTTCATTTACCTGTCTTTAATAATAGACATAATTTCCAGCGCATTGAGTATCTAATATTTGGTAGATACCTGCGTTATATAAGACTCTGGTATTATTATCATCATTAATTGGATATAATTTTGAGCGCTCTGTAAACAGCTTCGCTGGGCTTGACTTGTGTTGTGTTACAGATATCGCCCAAATACAAGGCCAAAAGCCACTTAAGGTGTGGGCCAGAAACTAGAAAGAACATAAAAGAACGAAAAGAATTCACAGTGACAAGAGATATCTGTTCACATCTTTGTTGAATTGTGAAAGTGGTAGAAAATTAACACGATTCGGTATTGGTAGCTGCAGATAGGGGTAGTACAAGACTATGCGAGACTAGTTTAGTTAGTCCCAGATGGCACAGAATAGTACTCAGTTGATTCATAATGGCTATTCACTGGAAGTCTTTCATGCATCCGGTTTACATATTGGGACGGCTTTAGCCCTCTCATTGACACCAGGGAGTAACCCTATACGTTAGCACTGCCCGGCTCGCAAATGACAGTCAGTCAGAGATAGAGGACTCCAGGCTGGGCCTCTGGGACCAGCAATTATTACCTGACGAATGTCTCATCTATTACGGCAGAAAAACGCAGAGCCTCACCTGTACAAATCGCACACCCAGCTTCATCGTGTTGGCCGAGTTGTTGTCTAGGCGCGTCCTGATGTTGACGAATTCTCCGGGACAGTAGGCACTTCGTTGCATTTCAGCCTTCAGGGCGATCGGGCCGCTGGACCGGCAGCAGCACCGGATGGTCTTACGGTCAGTGGCGTGGACCACTTTCTGGTGAGGGCAAGAAGACAAAAAAGACAGGAAATTTAACAATCAGCTTTCCAATAATATTTGCGTACTCAGAAAATGACACGAACACAAATTTCAAGCGTCCTGTGCCTTTATTATTGTAATTAATTTTTAACAATTTTTCTTAAATTTATCACCGGAACGAATTAGATTCTGTTTTGCACAGGGACTATATTGTTACAATTTTGGACTTTAAATGAAGTTGGTTAAAAAAAAAATTAACAAGAATAACTACAAAAAGTACGATTGCGCTACTTTCGGCCAATTACCGTGCAGTTGTAGGTAAAGTGTGAATCTACGTCCCACTGTGACGTACTAAGGGGGTAGAACACTGCCAGCAGGGCTGCTCTTTCAGCGGCTGGATCTGCGTCAAATAGTCGACAAATTGAGTTTGGTGATTGTATAGGTTTGCCGTTGCATCTCGAAGGACAACCAGCGATTTCCACATGGAAACAGACGTCCTCTAAAATATCCCGATTGAAAAGTTTCGGTCATTGTCAGGAGAATGTCCAGAAGAAGATCCGTGATGAATGCACTTTAGCGAGTCTTCATGACCGTTTGCGTTGAAAGAAATTGCACTAAAATGTGCTCTGAAGTTAGTCAGCGTCCGGAGATTAACATGAGAGGTGCTTAATTAAATCAAGTGCACTTTCGTCAGTCTCTATGAGTATTCACTTAGAAAAACTCATGAAAGAAACCGCATTGGCTGATAACACTATAGTCATCTTTGTTAGAAATATTCGTCCTTTGTGTTGTAACAATACAATTATCCTCCATGGGCATATCAATGACCGTACCGTTAAAATAGGATTTCCTTTTCAGGTGGACGACGTTTTTCAATTTGGTTGTGACAAAAGAAAACTGGATATAATAGCGGGGGTGTTTTGAACGTTGGTGGGAGCTCTCTTTGTGGTCTGCGTACTGTGCCGTTTTAATCGCACCCACGTTTCTCATCATGAAAACTTGTCTACGCCTACTCGATATTACTTCATTTACGCCATGCCGTAATCTGTGAATGGTTTGTCTTTCAGCTGTTGTTGACATGCGTTTCCAGCCGTCTACCAAAACGAATGGAGTCCAAAGTCTACTTGCTTTGGACAAAATATAAGACAACTTGTTTGAACTGTGCGTGTAATGGGCGATTTTGTATGCCTATGCCGACGGAAGTGTGTTAATTTATTGGATTCGGTGTTTTATTGGATTTGGTAAAGTGTTGTACAATTGAAATGAAATGTAATTTTTTTTGTTCTTGAATATGACCCAGGACGAAACTATAAAATTGGTAGTGGTCATATACGATTGAGGATCAACCGCTGTATGTGGGCAGAATTATAAACCTAAAACAAAAATTATAAAATTCCAAATGGCACAAATGAAACATGTATCATGTTGAAACTTATATCATCTGTATTTTGTTGTCATAATTATAGTTTATTTCTACCAATGCTGAACAGTTCAGCTATTACTTTTCACCGAAAAGTCAATTTGTCTGACTACGTCTGAAACTATACTGTTTCGATTTCTACCTCGGCAACAAAATGTGGATGAATAATTTCTTGTTTTTTAAATCATTGTAAGAACCAACTCATACACTTTATCAAAATTAATCTAGTAAAGGGTTAAACCTTTATTATGTACTTTGTTGAACTGTCCGAAACGTTTGTCCGCACCGTAGAACGGCCCCGAACATGCAGGACAAAACATTGACATTTCTTATTGGCACGTTTTTTTTTCTTTTAGAATGAAATATTTGCTTTTTCTTCTTACAAGCTCTATAAAAACACAATGTTATTGGTCGCTGTATTTTCACAGACATTTTGTCTGCTTTCGCAAGTTTGTTTTGTTTCGTGGTCTTGCACGGTTTTAAAAGTACGGCCCCACCATCAAAACAGTTTTCGGTTACATTCAAGCATCGAACGGCACCAGTGTCGAATTCCCGACAATGTGTGCGCGACAGAGGACGAGGATGTGGCTGAAGAGGCGTAATTGAGGCAGTGTTTGCATCAAAAGGACTGGTCGATAGTATCTTTACGTGAGGTGTAAAAAAATCGCACGTGCCTACTCACAAATCGCTTACTGCTAGGCTTCATCGTGCATCAGAAAGACTAATTACAGCGAATAGGATATTTTGCCGTGTGTTACAATGGCGGCGATCGTTTTTTTTCTTCTGCAACCAGGAATAGACACGCACTTAAGGCGATACGCACGCGTGAAACGTATCCCGTGATTATGATATTTTGTCACGTGATGTGAAATTACTTTTTGATTGGCCCAGTCTTAATGCTGGTATTTTGGACGCCGTAGGTCGAATTCGTGCGACCCCATAATCCTTCTTAATTTAATTGCCCCCCTTTTTCAAAATGTGGATTTTGAAATTTGTCCATTTTCATCAAGTCTTTATTGATATAAATTAAGTACAACGCATGGCTCTGGAGACAAGTCCGAGAACCATCCTGTTAAAATCTGAAGCATGTGCATTTACAAAAAGTCATGATCAGTGACTATACTTGGTTGCAGAAAAAGTATTTGATAGGGTACTGTTTTGTATAACGCGCGGCGGTTATTCGGCGAGTGTCACCGTGTTACTTTGAAGCAGCGCAGTCTGATGTATATGTTACCCATCCTTCAGCTTTAGATTATACGTAGAACTAGACTTCGGTCTAGACTCTAGCTCCTCTTTCAGGCATACTTATGCTGCAAAACAGACTCGAAGTGCGCAGATTTTCAAGATTAAAGTAAACAGAGGAAACGTCCATGCGGCCAACGTAGGCCCGAATCTGACAGAAATTGAAAGTCAATAGGTCTGTGTAGTTGCCCTAGGGTCTGTGTGTTTGGTATATCTTGGACGATATTCGATGGAGATTGACACACATATTGGGATCTTGAGACCTTGGATGAAAATTGAAACAGTTTCATCTTACGCAAAAACGAGAAAAAGCTCAGTTCGGGAAATGATAAATCAACAACTGGGTACAGTAGATCAGCTAAACCAGTTCACGCCGGGATTATTTTGACAAGAACGGAACGAGGCACTGGATTACTTTTCACTCGACCGTAAACCAGACTGGTTGAAGCCATCGCCCTCGGGGTGCACGCTCCTATTTCCGAATACCGCAAAATATTTGCGTGTATACACGTCATCCGGCGCGAATTGGTTGAGAAAATACTTTCGCGAATTGGTTAAGAAAATGCTTTCGACCCAGTATTTTGACAAAATGAGTACTGTAAGTAGAAGTAATACATTCTTTTATGTAGATAAAAAAATTCTTCTATTTGTGGATGAAGGTGAAATTGAAAGAGCACTTTATACCGTCAGTCAACTTGGGAAATTTGTGCAGGTTTTTGTCCTGTAGGCTAATATTGCATGTCCAAAACATGAAAAGTTGAACATTTTTCCTTTTGTACTGTTTTGGCACCTGAACCCTAATCTGTAACATCAATAATTTAAATCGTTTCTTTGAATGGGATATACAGCTTCCTAGTGTGCTGCCGAAGTCAGTCCCCGTATATTAGGACAACTTTGGCAGGATATCATAATTGAACGAAATTGACATTATTCACAAACTCTGTAGAATTAGAATAAATAATTTTATATTATGTATAACCTTTGAAGAACGGAAATATTGGTTTTTTTTAGGAAATGACTTCTATAGGCCTATCATTAAATTGTCACTTATACTGCGCAATTATAATGCAATACGGGGTGAGGCTTCTTTTTCTGGCCTTATCGGTACTTTTTTATTATAAGGGATATATGAAATTTAACTTTCCTTACGTTTGATCCTCTGATCAAGAGTCACAAACCCTTACCACTAGACCACACTCCCCCACGATAATCGTGCATCAAGTTGGGAACCAAAGGGGATGTTCACTATATCCGAATGTTCGTTATAGCGGTGTTCGTTATAGCGACGTTCTACTGTACAGCAGCTTAGCCAATTGCTGTGTCATGCAAAATAGGCCTACGGTTGAAAACCCAAGCCGAATAAAAAAAAAAAACATGTCTCTCGTCCGGGGTTTTTGAAAAAAAAGGAGGAAGCGGGGCTTTTTATTTTCTATTTTTAATTTGTTTTCAAGATGGCTGCCATTTTAAAATTTCCTGCAACCGTTGGTGTTCCACTGCTCAAAGACACTTTTAATATGAAAGACAAGTTGGACAAGAGAACTGAAAATATTTTTCAGTGTCATTTAAAGTTGTACTGGTATTGGTATTTATTTTCCGATGAATTTGTGGATTTTTTCGGTGTTTTTTACTGCATTTTTCAAAAATTAAAAATAATTTTAAAAATCCAGGCGGCCTCCAAAAAGGAAGCGGGTGAGGACGAGAAACATGGGTTTTTTTTACTTCGCCTAATCAGTTTCAGTTTATGTTGCATTAAGCTTTCGCTGGTAGCCAGATTTGGCTCAGTAAATAATTCCCTGCTGAGCGAATCGCTGTGCCATATTAAAATTTGGTGTCTGTTCTGATTATAGCAACTTACCAGAAATTTGGGCAGGTTGCAGTTGATAGGCGACCCGATGAAGGAGAAATAACGCTCGGCCACCGGATCGACCGCCCAGGATATATCCATGTTGGCCTGCACGAAGTATCTGATGCACGCTATCCTATCACACTCGAAGGAGCAGGCCAGGTTGGGCTGGGTCGGCAGGTGGAATTGAAAGGGGAAGGAGTGGGAGCCTGCTTGTAGGAGAGGGATCTCGGAATCATCGTCGGAGTCTAGTTCTGAGAAGAGAAATAAAATGAGATATGAGATATACAGTTGGAATACTATAAAGCCCTGTTTTGGCCTGCACTGCCTGAGTCACCTCGGTGAAGTGCTACATTCCTCCTTACACACCTCTGTGACCAGGGTTCGAGTCCCATTAAGGCCAACGAATAAGGATTGATCTCAGTCCTTATATCCTTCATAGACTCCTTACATAAGACGCCCTCGCTGTTGACAGTGGTTGTTGCCCTAATGCACATACGGTTGCAGACCTGTAAATTGACTCCCATAGACATCAGTGATAATTACCCGTACTTTCAAAAATTATGAAAAATGCTCACAACTCTCCAATGTTGTTTGACATACCCATCAAATGAAAGTTCATTTCATAATCTTTCCTTTTCTGTTCCATTTTTTTTGTTCCGTTTTCTGATAACTTTTGGGAGAAATCCAAAAATGATCACCCCGGAAAGAAGTCCTGTAGTCCATCGCCATTCAAAAAAAATGATGCCTGCGCTCCAATGCAAAATAGAGAATTTTTTGGACGCAAGTTCATGAAAATGTTTCCAGAAAAACGAGTTTACACTCCTGTGCACGGCTTACACCCATCTTTTTTTACAAACTTTCAAGCTCGCTCATGGCCTACAAATGCTCTTATAGCAAAGAATGTGAGGGTGCACAAATTGTGATCTGTCCGCGTTGGCAATTCTGGATCCATTTACAGGTCTGCACCCATACGTATATGAATATAGACACATTGTACTCTGTACTGAATTTAAATAAACAAAACCTGGACCCACTTTTCTGGCTCTGCAAACCATGGAATTCCTTGCTTATGATCATAATTGTGTGCCTTATGATCACCATTATAAGCCTTCCTTTTGTTTTTGTGTAAGTTATTTCTGCCGTGCATTCGCTCGTTAGGTTTCCTGAGGCTTCCAATATATGCTCTTTTCAAATTTATATTGTTGTTAGGTTTCATCATGTCACCAGAGAAAATAATTTGCATGTTCATTGACCAAGATTATCCCTTCAACCTTCGAGTTTTGCACATGACAGGTTAGATGTAAACAGAAACTACAAATTGAAAAATTCCACATCGGTCGCATCGACGTAAACATACCACACGTGGGGAAAATTGTTCAGACTTTAATGACTGTCCAATACTAAGCATCAGATTGTTTACAGTTGGTTTTTGTTTTTCATAATAAAGGTAGACATACGTTTACACAGCTGGTTTGGCATTTCTAGTTTGGCATATGAAACAATATTTTCTTAAAATTTCTTCTTTCTCTCTTTCAATCAGACAGAACCACTCAAAAAACTACAGCAAAGAGACACATCAAGGCCATTTGTTTGATTATAAAACAACCTTAATTTAATAGTGACATCGTGTTTTGTTTTCATTTTGTTCTGCGCTTATTTTAATGCAGTTTTTTTTTACTGGCATCCATAAAGGTCACTCATTCTTTTTTTACTACCTCTTTTCATTACTTCTGCCTTACTTTATTTTTCTGTTTCTGACTTGATATCTGTAAAGGTCACTCGTATATAGTTTTGTTTTACTTTTCATCATTTTGATTATCGTTGGACGTACATTGGTTAAGTCTTTGATGGTCGTCATGGAAACATGCACTCCAGCTGTCGGCTGTCTTTGTATCAAAGCCTTGGTCTGTCAGCTCCGGAAACAACAAATCAATATTCGTTCCTATCTATGGACACTATATGAAGAAATAAAATGTGTAAACTGTATCTTTCGACTTTCAAAAGCGGTATGACGTGAGTGACGAACTGTGAATGCTCGTGTTGTTTGATGTTCGCACCGGTATAGTCGTGTTCCCTAACGTGGCGCACTTCGAACCTTGCCCAACTTTCCTCGTGTAGTGTTGCCAAACTTCTTTCTTGACAAACCTCAATTCATGCAGTGAAATACTGGTACTTTTACCTTATTAATGCTTGCTATTTAACCCCTGTAAACAATTTCGGTTTCATAAAATTTAATCCGAAATTCAAAAACGGTGGCGTCCGGAAATTGGGCACAAATTGGCCGAGTGTTCCCTAACGTGGCGCACTTGAATAAATCTCGGAAAATTCCAAATTAACATTTAAGAATTTCTGTAAACTTGATAAATTCTGATGAATCATTGTTATCTCTACATACCCAGCCAGATGTTTGTCAGAAAAATATTTTCTTATTTTTCTGGGGCATTTTCAAAGGGTGCACTTTGCACTTGAAAATAAAATCGGAAAATCACGCCAAAATAATGTTTTTTTCTAATTTTGTAATGGGTGAATAAACTCGCAATTTAGGAAGGGGAGTGTTTAGAACTTGATGAAATTTCAATTTCTGTGAAATTTTAGTTAAAACTATTGCTCTAGCTAGGCGCTACAGGTGAAAAATCAAAATGCGCCACGTTGGGGGCCGCGCCACGTTAGGGTTTATCAATAATAATATGATTTGAAACTTTGCGTGGCGGTGGGGTGAGCTAACTAGGGTTTGCGGTTACATGCATGTACGGGAGAACATCTTTTGAGAAGTGTGGTTTAAAAAAAAGAACCTGTTGGTTGTTAACTCGACGGTCAAGTATGCTCTGATCGTCTTCCGGATGAAAACAGGGGAAGACAATCAGAGCATACTGATGGATTGTCGGGTTCACAACCAACCGGTTCTTTTCGGGGGTGCATACCTATGTTCTCCAATACCTATGTTCCCCAATACCAATGTTCCTGAGTACAAATGTTCCTCAACCATAACCATAACCATCTAGACCTATCCCCGACCCGAAACCTAATCATAACCTTAAGGATTTCGGGGAACACAGGATATATTGGGGAACATTGGGTAGACCCCCTTTTTCAAACCCCACATCCTCTCAAAAGAGATTCTTCTATTCTTCGTACCACAAGCTCTCAGGAGTTTCACAACGTTGGACAGGCTGCTCAACGTATCACACTTCAGTTGACAAAGATGTATCTTCTCTCCCGCATGAAAAAAAAAACCTCTCTGCTGTCTGTCATCTGGGGTAAAATCCGTTGGTTGCTATGCAGTTCAATTAAGCTGAAAGGTTGTCCATAATGCCGGAGAAGACTACCCGAATTGCCTGTCACTCAACGATTGTTAATTCATTCTACCACGCGACATACCGTCCTCGTGCAGTTATATAAAACAGTCTTTTACAACCCCGTATCAAGTAAAAAATGATGGAGAAAACAAATCACTTAGCCCACTGAATACAGTCCTCATTCAATGGGTTACAATATCGGTACAGCCTTCTTCGCGTATATTGATTTACCAATGACATAATGGAAGCGTAAAGACGATGCGGAGAGTTTGAAAGATTGGAAAAGAATATTACAGGACACCATGGCGCCAGAGAAATCCGACCGTGGCAACTAGAAACATATCCTTAAAAACCTGTTTCGTAAATCATTACTATACACTAGTACAAGTTTCATGGTGTGTAATTTTAGGCCCAAAAGGTGGTTCAGCTGACACGAATAAGGCTTCGCGCCAAATTCTGGTTCCGTATCAATAATCTACGAAGAACTGTTTGGGTAAGATTGTTCGAACTTTGTAAAGCAGAGTTCCTCCGTTTACAATGTGGCCAGTTAAATCATCAAGAGACGAAATCAATGATGATCATTCATGTCCGGAGGCCTACATTACCTTTACATCACTGTACCAAGGCTCTGTGTGCCTGTTCATCATACCACGATAAATCGAAGGCACTGCGACTATCCAATCTATCGTGGACTATTTCGAGTGCATTTTTTTCGTTTCACATTTGTCAGCCCTGTCTGAAAGCAGCTGGTTCTGTGTAAATGCAGCTTTTAAACTCCTAAATGGAAGGAGACATTCATCTTTGTCCAGGTGTTAATTTAATAAGAGCTTTCTCACTTACAAAGTGACAGAACATTGCTCAATTTGATCTTCTTCATGCGCAATTTCCTGTTTTCGGGTACATTAAAACTGGCAGTTGATGTGACAACAACGTGTACTTTACCCTTTTGCATGAGTGCTGCGATATCAATGTAAAGTGTTATATATATTTTTTTCCGTTTGATTACAGGTATCAAAAAAGTTCGTAACCAATTAAGCTTTTTAATAGGGCCACTTTTTTGTAAAAATGTGGACACCACTTCAAGTGGTTTGAAGCTATTTTGTACACATACCACCATTAGCCTACGGCTGTTTCAAATCAAGTTTAGAATGTATTTCATGTAAACACTCCTTTTTGTTGAGAGATGTGCGTGATTACAGTTCTGATGATTGCAACTCTGGGGAGGGCTATATAATTTAATCATTGCAATGCGTTTGGTTTGAAGGGTCTACAAACGTGCTGTTGCAACTCGGATGATAAATGAGCTTTTTATTCTTTCTTTATATAACCATAAAACGCAGGTAAAGTGAAGTGAGACGTGCTGTCCGATATAATTTTTTTTAGGCCAAGATCCCTGTACTCTTGATTCTCCATCCCCATTTATCATTATTATTATTACATTGTGACAGTCCTTTCGACATCAAAGTACATTGTATCGATACCCAAGTTGAATTAATTTGTTTAAATAAAGTTGAATTATGTGTCCAACACAGGCCCCCGTAGCTTCACCACTTTGCTTTTTTCAACGTTTGTACTAAAATCTTTTACTGGCATTTGTATCCTTGTGGAATTATTTCTTTTCTCCCGTGTGCTAAAATGAGAGAGTTTGAAAGTTTCAAAGTGCTCCTTTTTTTAACCAGATTCAATTTCCTGGTCTGAAATTCGGACTTAATATCCCTAACATAAAATACTTCAATTTGCGACTGATCAACACATCTTGGAAATTCATATGGTTCATGTGTAAAATCCATAGATCTATTTTGTGATAACCTTGTGGAGAGGTATCTATAGAAATCGCCCTGTGGAGACGTATACAATATCTTGTTCTCTATTATGCACATGTCTCCACAGGGTACCGTGTACCAGATCTCTGGGATTTGAACAATAAGCGCAAAAATTAGCCCGTGACAGAAACAGAAATCTTTATTTTTTGGAGGAGCTACATACCTTTTCCCCAGACGGTGGCTCGATCGAACATGAACTGCTCCGCCCCTCGTAGGCACGTTCCGGCCCGCTTCTGTCCGGTGGCTGACCTTATCTTCTCCCTCCACTGCGTCCGAATCTCACCCTTCAGGGACACTCGAATTCCTTCAAAAAACAGGCAAAAATTCCTTTAATAATGCTCTAGTGCCTGAAATAGTCATACTTACGTTCACATCCTTTGAAAGCTGAAGGTAGGCATACAGTTTGCGTTTTGTGCTTGAACATATATACACCAACATGAATTCTACACACGTGAACTCGAAGAATTCTGGCTCATCGAACTTCCTCAATTTTTCAACGATATCTTCTGGGAGATAGCAGTGGCGATTTTAAACTGTGAACTGAGTCAGAGGTCTAGCAATGTGAACTAACCTCAATGAAATCAAATGTAGGCCTCGATGTACACAATAAATTATTGTGCATTGCATTAAAGTGGCGTCATTTACCAGAGTATGGAATAATTTCAATACAATTTACTAAAGTAAATCGCTAAAATAAAACGCTTGTCCTGTCTGCCTCACGTATTGTTTTGTTTGTTCCTTGGTCGTATGTTTGTCCATAGGTAAGGGCACAAAAGCGTTCTGCTTAACCTTATACCTAAATGTTATCATTTAATTTCACACTTTATAATTAATCACTGTGTACATAACTATCAAATATTATACTAGTGACTGTTTCTAATGTATACATGTTTGTACAGAATTGTAATGAATGACATCATTGAAATAAATGTTACTACTACTAAAAGTTTGATGGCACTGGACATACATCAAAATATCACAGTTATTATTCTCTAACCGACAGTTTACTCAAAAAATTACAATATCGGCGCTCACTCTGCTCCAATAAAACATTTATACAGACAGTTTGAAATACCAATTGTAACAAGTGTACTCCAGTTGGTCAGTAGGTCAGTCATTAATGTAAGCGGACACTTTGACGGATGGACCGTGGCTTACGAAATTGTCTGATTGATTCAGCCAGGCAGATAGTCCATCAACATCCTGAATTAATTGCCAACCACAACCAGGCGATATCTTAAATTGCCTCCAATTTTCTGGGACAAAATTGCCACCAATATAGAATGATTGGTGTTACAGGCCTTCAATATCATTATCGTAAGCCGAGCGTTAACTCCGTTTCAGACCAGAACTTTAAAAGAAATTGGAGGTGAGGGTAATTGCATTTCCGGTCACCGAGAAGCAATCTCCTCTCAAGGCCAGCGAGAATGGCTGTCGGTTCAGTTTAGGGCAGGTCGCGGCGTGCGGAGTTATTACTTCCCGCGTAAAATAACAAAAAGTTCCCGCCCGCGCACGAACTGCGCTGAAAGCCACTCGGACGATGCCTGCAAAGTAAAATGTAAGAACTCGGGGTTGTATTGATACCGTTCTCCGAATAAATAAGGGCTGAAAGTTGAGGTTAAACTAGCAGGAGGGTCTCATGTGTGGATTATTTTAAAGCAACAGAAGAGAAAATAAAGATGGGCTTTGAATCCGCATAAAAGAATCTCAAGGGATGGAGAACTGATTTCCGAGCTTACTCGCAGCTTTCGTGGTGGAAATCAAAAGAGAGTTAGACAAATTGTTATTCTCGCCTCGCCTCGGTCCAATCTCTGCTAATCACGTGGGACGTGTACGGGATGCGGTCATTACGGTTTCATTAAGGCAAAGGTTTCGGCTCTAAGGCCTAATATCATGAGAGGTGAAGACAAGATGAAGCCCAGGTTTGGGAAACACAGCTGGGTCCAATGTCGATTGATTCAGAATAGCTTTCAACTGGAAGTCTTTGCATACAGGATTGAACCATTCAGTTAAAGGGTAATCATCTACGATAGAACTGCCCGAATCACGACTGAGAGCCGGTCAGTCAGTGAGATAGGTACAAATGATGAAGAAGGCTGGCTCTCGGGGACCAGCAAAATCATGGTAATGAGATAGACTGTGAATTTCAGTACACATCCAAAACATTGTTGCTGCTCGCACGACCGCAAGAGTTCTCGTGTCCGCCGTATTAAACCAGAACGACAATGCGTAAAAGCCTGCCAATGTCCACCGCTGTGACATTTCTAAAGTGACTCCTGAATCCTCAAAGGGAAATTTAGCCAAGAGAGCGGGATAAAATGTCAGGCTCGGCAGCCTGTTCGTCTGATGTGCCCTTTCCACATTCGGCAAATGAGACCATAGAGTAAAGGTAATTTCAAAATATGAATCGTAAACAACGCTCACAATGCACCGGTGTGTTAATGCGTAGGCCTTAATGGGTAGGGAAATATAGATACTAACACGAATATAGTTCTGAATCTATCCAGTACCCCGCCGGTTTTAGTGGGAATATAAATGCTCAGTATGTATGGATGTTGTATTTACACCGTTTATGCTATAGTCAAATCAAATACATGTATACTAGCGACTGAGTTTGAGTTATCTAGCTTAAAGGCATACCGTTTCAACCTTTCAGGTTGAATTTAGTAAGATAGGACTTGAACATTGAAATAGAACAGTTTAGATTTAGCGTCAGTGGAGTCTGCGTGTAACGCTTCTTAATTCGTCATGTACTAAATGAATATAATATATCAAACATTTTAACAATATAGGAAACAAACATATAGCCAATTGGAGACGTGCTTTACTACGACACTTTGTGTGACTCTGTCTTTATGGCCTCTTGATTATTTTTGAAAGGAACCAGATTGATTGCTTCTGTGAAGTATACATATAAGGAATACATGCAGATTCACATAAAAAAAATCACACCACGCGATTTTCACATGCATAATATATGTTTGATAAGCTTTGGCTGTCATTTCGTGTCAGCCTTTTCCCGTGTGTAGCCCTATATCATATCAGAACTATCGATCATGCCAGCAGAGTGTGTATATTTACAATGGGATAAGAGCAGTCGGGGAAGGCCTGAGTTATGGTTATATGAACGTGTAGTTGATGCAAATTTCAATACGCCGTAGATGCATCGCAACGTGTTTGCTCTAAAGCTGGTGGTTTTCACTGCACGTTAGACTGCGTGTTGTTATGAACCCTTGGAGAACTGGTAACCTCATGTACATGTGTAAACAGAAAGTGGTTGATAAATATCGAAGCTTGAGCAGGAAATATGACGAGTCTCATAATAGAAGGCACGTATTTCATCTATGTCATGTCAATTGAGATCCGTGCGCTAAAACCATTGCATGATGTTTGCTTTTAATGTTAATGTGATGCTGAGCAACATTATCAAGACAACACGCGATCCCACAGGGTAGGTTTGCAACGGCGAAACAAGTCTGATGGTACATTTAGGTTGTAATGTGAGAATAAAATACCGCGTGTTTAAAAACACTTGATTAATAATGACACTTATGAGTGAGAGTACGATCTTAAATATCTTTTGAAGTTTCTTCACCAAAAGAATATTAAATAGATAAACATCTAATAGTCTGTTGGAAATTGATTCCCTGTATTTTATTACTTATACGTTTGATTTATGAAGGTTGACAAGGTTTTAATTCGAATATCACGCTGAGTGCGACTTTAATAATGTCCAATTGAAAAAGCTCAGACATAGAACTGAGTTAGGCGTTAGGCGCATATGTGGACTCCCTTTTTCTTTTCAATTCAATTCAATTCAATCTAGTTCTTATTTCATAACTTCAAAATGAAAACATATTAAGTACGTAACTTAATAGATAAACAAACATAAAAGTAAATGACAAAGATAAACAACAAAGATAAATGAAAAGCAAAGAAGTTATAAGGAAGTTGTAAGAGGTCCAACTTCTAGCGGCACCAAAACTGATTATTAGCTTTTTGGTTAACAATAAGCAACATAAAATGGAAACTATATAGGCCTAGATACAGTTGGGAACGTTTCAGTTGATAAGAACACCAAAAAGATTGATGCTGTTTAATAGATGACGTATTACATGTATAAAATGGTCATAGCATCGTGTACCACATCTTTATTAAGCGTCATTGATACACCATAATCTCAACATTACATGCGGATCCTCAATGGCGATCAGGAAAAAAAACAGGTATCTGGTAACGGCGAACAAACTCGGTAGGGTTTCTTTTTCTCGTATCAAATTTTAAGTTTCTCCATTCGGCACGTGAATTTGGCGTATCCAGCAGGCTGTCTTACTAATGGGGAACGGTGTAACGCCGCACCGTTTTATCAGACCTTGCTGATGTAGATTTAATATAAGGGGCATATAGAGACATCTGATCTGATGTCAAGTCACACGGATACAATTCGCTCGCTGTGTGGAGGATGGAGATGTCTTCAGAATCTCTGGTGTTATTGCTGTGTAAGAACTAGATTGCGACATTACAACTGTCCTAGATATTTGGTTCGAGGCAGATCGCTTAAATCCCGTTGGGAATTTGGTTCAGTGATTCACCGATACTTGATTCTACTTTTGCAGCATCTTGCCACAAAGAAACTGCTTAGTTTAAGGCGTATTGGATTATTTCCTTTTCATGCATTTTGTTCGTTTACAATGATAACGCCGCTCAGTCAAAATCCAAAGAAGAATGTTCAAAACCTGACCTACTGAAGTTTCAGCTCAGTGGATATTACACTTTCATAGAAACAGTGACAAGCATCCGAACCTTTTGATGAGACGACTCACGATCTCGTCTTTAGAACTCTTTATTTCCCTAAATCAGTCAATTGACTGATTCTTGGAAACCACCTACATATCTTGATTTCTTCCAATTGGAAGCAAGCTAAACGGAATAATTTTACGGTGTGTTAAGGACTTATACGATCTTTACTCAACGTAAGCATTTTGATAATAATTCTGTATAGGATACTTTTGGGATAAGTGAAAATGATCCTATTATGCATTTAATATTATGAAGTATACCTGAAACGCATACGAAGCATCATCCAGCTTCGAAAACCAATTAACTATTTTCATGCATCATTACTGTGTCTGTCTGATATATAATAGCACGTTTTCTGTATTATGTGTGCGCCCGTGGCATTGCCTGAAATTAAACATGAGGTTTCAGAAAAGATAGGCTTAAAGGGACTATTCTTTCCATGGATGTTGACCACATAACTTCAAAGTAATTGTAAAACTCAGTTGGGAAGCTTTGAAAATGTAT